GATAGGTTCCTTAATCTGAACCTACTCATTCATAGACCATATCTGGTGCGTGTTGGCTTGAGGATGATCGCTTGAGTCTTGCACCGGTCCCCGACGGGGCCAGTTGGCATCGACGACTTAAGCCTCCTAAAGGCTGGCATGTACTCGGGTCGCCCCTTGGGTTCCCTCATAACAAAAGTCCACTTGGACTTCCAGAGGAAAATTGTTGCTCTTACGTTACAGAGCATTCTTCTCACCCCAGTAGTCGGTATATACTCAAGTTCATACTTACCTGAATACAGTGTTATTCAGGCATAGCATTATAGGCATCAAGAAAGTCATAACTCGGTCATCTGTCAATCAGTCATCTGTCAACTTGGTCACTTATTACTCGGTCATTCTCTGTGTCTTATTATAAGACAGTCTTTCCCTCTTACTCACACACACACTCTCACACTTGATTACTACCAGGTAACCAAGCGATTACTACAACGAATACACTGAGGAATATTTCCCGACTTTGTTCAAGTCCGGTGATCTCAGGAGGATTTTGTTTTGGTTTGTGTTTTATCCAAGACATCATTCTCGTCTGTCACTCCTAGTGTGCCATTTAATAATGTTTAGTAAGTGTCCTACAATCTCCCACTATATATTGATAAGTTGTGTGGGTTGATAAGGGCCGTACTATTTAATAGTCTACAAAGTCGCCTACTGACTCTTGGTATATTATCTAGTAACATTCAGCAAGTCAACAACACCCTATGACACTGGCTCCTAATATATCCTATAGTATCATTTTGTAATGAGCTTACAATAGTCCAAAGTGTTACCTGGCATCACTTTGTAAGAATCTTCAGTAACCTTCAATAGCCTTTAGTAATCTCTTGTAAGTGTCCTAGTGATTATGTTTACAATGACCCTACAATAGTTAGACATGTCATCTAGTATCACTTTGTAAGTTGCTTACAATAGCTTAGTAGACCACCTAGTACCAGTTGATAAGGGCCCTACAGTAGCCTACAAAGTGATATATTGACTCCTAGTCTGTCTGATAATGTTTAGACTGGCAAGTATAGGCACTGCGCAAGGAACGGCAACAGCCACCATCGGAGTCTCAACACACGGTGAGTTTAGAAATCTTGTCGATGGGTGAGGTCCATCGACAAGATTTCTAAACTCAGCCGTGTGTTGAAAGTCAGCATACCGCATTTGGACAAGATTTTCGGACTCAGCCCATGATGTCAAACTTGAATGGCTTGTAGCTCACTCAATTCTACTCGGATTTGGATGAACAAAGCATGCATTCTGACCGACTTTTTGAGCTGAATCTGATGGTATTACTTTCAGAACACTGAAACAACTTCTGCAGTGTTACAAGCCATTTTAGCTCAAAGCACTTGTTTTCACACATCTAGCCAAACTTGCCAGGCTTGTGGTTCACTCAATTCGGATTTGGATAAACCCAGTAGCCATTCTGACACAATTTTCAAGCTAAATCTCATGGTGTTACTCTCAGAACATCAGAATCACTTGCTGGAGTGCTACAATCCATTTTCTCTGTTTTCTCTCACTTCTCCTTGTTTCTTCAAGGAAAAAACAATGTGTACTGCATGTTAAAAATAAGGCGCCCTATCTAGCATGTTTATGTGCATTTCAGAGTCATTCTCAAATTTTCCTGGCATTTATACCATTTTTCTGCACTTCACACTAAGCATTCTAATCTAAAACTGAGATATCTCAGCCAGTTTTAGTCAGATTTACTTGAATTAAGGGAGCATTATGCTCCATTTCCTTCACAGAGTTCAATGGTACTGCCTTCTATGCATTGAAATTAGTATGTGCTTCTATAATTTCACCGACTATGATGCATTGGTTCTCTGTGGCTGCTGTGGCACTTCTATTGATTACTATTTGTACAAGTCACGTTAATTTTCACTACAATCACTTTGAAAGACCGACTGCATGCAAGGTCTAGTACAGTAACAACAGGAACTACAAAGTTTGTAGTTAAACCCTAGACCTAACCCAGGACTAGGTGCAGCCCATGCATACAAATTTGTATTGAAAAGTCATTCTCACGCATAGGGACCGTTTCATCTGTCCCTCAGGATTTTGGCGGAAGTCCTATCCCATAAAGAAAAATTCCTTCGTACCTCAGAAATCGTAATTCGTTGACCCCCACGCAATCAGTTCTGGCTTTCATCAACACCTTGAACACCGCTTCCTCCACCCGTGGTCAGGAATAGTATGGATGTGAGATGCAGCAACATGAGAGGGATGCGAGTGGGATGCCAGCCAATGTAGATATGAAAATAAATGATGATGTTCACAGATTTTACTGTGCTTGAAGCAATTCAATTATGGCATTTAATCAGGCACTTTAGGATGGTACAAATGGCTCAAAGAAAGAATTTCGGGTGCTTATTCTGATATGGCTAAGGAGAACGAGCAAACATGGGACCAGCGCACAATTTGAGCTTTAAACTGATTGTCAATTAACCCGAAGACAGTACTACACTGATATACAAAAGAGACTCTCCAATGCTCCTTGAGAATTCTGTTTCGAGCACCTGAGAGGCACACCTCAAGACTGCAATGAATGTTGAGGCAAGCTTTGATGGGCAGCCTTCACAAAGCCACCATGTGACACTGCACAAACCTCACCTCTGGATGCCACCCTGATCTCGTTGTCAATTGACCGTCAATTGATTTGCAGCTGGAAGGTCAGTCGAAGCTTTCTTATTCATTTTTCGATTTCAACAGCTTGATCTTACTGACACACGAGTCCGAATGTCAAGTCGATATCCAGAAATTTCCGAGGTGTATTAGTATAACATTAAATTTTAGTAGATTTTCACCTAAAGTGACCATTTTGAGTGAATACAAATGGTAAAACCTTTAAATTGATACCAAATAAAAATACAGCATGCTATGCAATGCAATGAACCACTTTTCACAAGTAATCAACTATTAAGGAGTAATACAAAATGATTAATGCATGTGAAAACAATTAGATGATAAAAGAAAGGCAGAAACACAGGACCTCAGGAATCGTTCTCGCCATGCAAAGCAGTGGCCTACTCCCCCAAGTATTTATAAGAAAATGCTAGCACTTTTTAAATGAAAGCATTATAATAGTCTATAATGTTATTCAATAACTGGTATATTGCTTAGTAATATATAGTACACTTCTAATAATATTATACTCTTGACTTACTTATAAGACGTCATCTTATCATAGTTTATAAAAAACTTATAATAGTATATAAGAGTATGCAACACAATTTATAACAATAATATATTATGTTGTCACATGGGTCTTATATGTCTGCTATGTCACCTACTAACTTTTTTCATAGCATTTAATATCAGTTGATAATGTAGTATAATGTATATAATAATTTATTTGTAGCTGCCTAATAATTGTCTAACATATTGCTAAGTATCTCAGAGTCGAATTATCAAAAACATGGCTTTAAAATGATATTACTGTCCTTTTATCAAAACTATATAAGAATATTACTAAAACTTGTTAGTACATCTCTCCTAAAAATCACTTTCAAAATCACTTTAAAATGATCCTACTATATTGTTTTGCAAAAAGTATACAAAACATTACTAAAAAGTGACTAGTATGCATTCTAAAAGACTCAGCTGAAAAATGGCTTCAAAATGATATTACTATGGTGTTTTGCAAAAAGTATATAAAGATATCACTAAAAAGTGACTAGTATGCATTCTAAAAGACTCGGCTGAAAAATGGCTTCAAAATGATGCTACTATGTTGTTTTATAAAATCTCTGTAAAAACATTACTACAAAGTGATTAGTATGCATTCTAAAAGACTGAGCTGAAAAATGGCTTCAAAATGATATTACTACATCATTTTGTAAAATCTATCTAAAAATATAACTACAAAGTGATTAGTATGCATTCTAAAAGACTCGGCTGAAAAATGACTTCAAAATGATGGTACTATGTTATCTTATAAAATCTATATAAAAATATGACTAAAAAGTCATTAATATTTATTTTACAAGGATTACCTTAATAGCCTATGATGTCATGTACCTACTCCAAGGTAACTATCTGATAAAAGTTTCTTAGAATTTTAGATTCTATAGTCATGCCACAATTTTTGTAATTCTTTTATAATTTTTTCGAATCTTTTTCCTACATGTTTGCTCCAATAGACACCTATTTGACAGCAAAAATAAGTTGAGTCTTACATGACTCAAATCATTTTCATCATACAAAAAAATGTCTAAAAGTGGAATATATATAATAGTCTACTATGTCGTCAGATTTCTAATATGACACCTAATACCAGTTTGTAAGCACCTCACAGTAGTCTGACATACTACCTATTATTTTTAATAGAGACCTTACAATGCCCTATAATGTGATCTGGTAATGTCTAGTAAGCTCCTACAATATCTTACTACATACTTGGTTGGAGTGGGCCGATGCTAACGCACGGCAAGGACGATTCCTGATTTTAATATCTATCAGCATAATCCAAAAATGGGTCATGTTAACAGGAGTTTTTGAATTTAGCACTCTGTGTTAGGTCTAACTAGAGTCAAACTAACGTGACTTGCATAAATAGGGCTCAACAAAAGTGGTACAGCAGCCACAAGAGGCTGTGGTGTCATAGTGAGTGAAATGAGGGAAGCAAATAGTAATTATAAGATGTAGTATTAAAATCTATACATAAAATAGTGCACAATCCTCTCTTAAACCTAGTAAATCTGAATAAAACTGGCTGATATATCTTAGTTTTGGATTAGAATGCTCAGCCTAAAGTGTGGAAAAATCGTAAAAATGCCAGTAAAAATTTTAAATGACCCTATAATGCACATAAACACGTTAGATTGGGCGCCTTATTTACAGTGCTTTGCACATGAAACTGCGTTCTGGATCCTGTAAAAGTTATTTGTTGTAGCCAAATAGTCACAGCATGTCACACCAAAAATATATTTTTTGAATTCCCTTGTACCGCCAGGATTGTGTCGTCCATCATGGCACTGCACACCTCTCGTGAGCTGCGAGAACTCATGGTGTCATGGCGCGGCATCAAAAGCATACAGGAAATCACAGCTCTTGCTCACTGTTCTCCGCGCACTGTCAACGAAGTTTTCAGGATACACCGCGACTACGGTGTTGTCCAGAATCCACTTGCACATCCTCGAGGAGCAGCACGAATCTTAAATACTGGTGATGTTAATTACATCTCATCCCTCATTGCAGCAAAACCTTGCATCTATCTTGATGAGCTCCAAGAGGAGCTCTACATTCACCGTAACATTGTTGTTTCACTTGCCACCCTCTCGCGCACCCTTCGTCGATCAGCACTCAGTCATAAGCAGGTGTCAAAGGAAGCCATGGAGCGGAATGAACTCCTGCGGGCAACATGGCAGGCCGAGTATGGGGACATCCCCGCCGATTACTTTGTCTGGCTGGATGAGTCCAGTGTTGACGACACCACAAGCCAACGTATGACAGGATGAGCTGCGCTCGGGCAAGCCTGCATCCGTCGTGCTACGTTCATCCGTGGTCAATGATACTCAATCTTGCCGGCACTCTCGTGTGATGGTATCATTGCCCTTGATATCTTTGAAGGCTCCGTCAACAAGGAAAAATTCCTCAGATTTCTAGAGGAGGATCTAGTGAGTAGCAGCCGAGTTCTCTATTCAATCTGATAGTTGAGGGTGCCCCTTGCTAGGCCCCGCAACTTACACCCTATCCCGGGCCGTGAAGTGTCGTGTTCTTGATAACTGTGCTATTCATCATGATGAAGAAGTCTGGCAGATCATGGTTGAGGAGTGTGGTACGTATGAATGTGAGATAGACAGTTCTGACCGCTGTTACTCATCGAGTTGGCAGGAGCCAAATTGGTCTATCTCCCGCCCTACTTACCTGACTACAATCCAATTGAACAGGCTTTCCATTCCATCAAGGCATGGCTCCATAGGCATGAATCGGAGGCTGTTCGGCCTGAAGTTCGCCCATGGTTGATTGAGCAGGCAATTCAGGCAGTATCTTTGGAGAGTGCAGAGGGATGGATCATTAATTGCGGGTACTCATTTGAGTAGATACATGCTAGTACAGTACGTGCAAGAAGTCAGACTGAAATGAGCTATTCAGCTACAGCGAGATGGATGATCAGCTACTCAACGCATCTACGCTTCTCCGAAAGATGGAGCCTTTTTTCCTCTAAATGAGCAGACCAACTCTTACTGAATGCCTGCAATTTTACTACTCTGCCCTCCACAGCACCCATTACCTCACAGAGACGAGCACAAGGTACTTCTGAAATGATATCTGGAGTGAACTCCAAGACAAGGAGGTCATTTTCGCATGCAGTAAGGTCAATCTCCTTGGCTTCGGCAAATGTACTTAGGCAAGCACGAAGTTCAGAGCCACAGCTAGGCATAGGAGAGAATACAGAAGGAATGATCCTTGACCTCGTTGGCATGCATAGAAAAGGTGTACGCATGGGAGATGGGGAGTGATCATGCTTGCAAGAAAGTCCCGTGATGAGCGGCAATATAGCCGCCATCAACAGAGCTGAAGGATCAGTGAAGCTGGATGAAGGAGTGGGAGTAGAATCTGCATGAGATCCTGTGCGTCCGCGAGACCTGACTGCCGAATGGCAACCGTTGCGTGTGCCGTCAAAGTCAAGTGTATGCGGTGGCTCATGCTTCGTTGCATCTGCCGCAGCCTGGGATGCATTATCAGACATCCGACAGATAACCTAAGATAAAACACCACGTACAATAGCAGAAGCCCATGACTTGAGCTTGCGAGTGTTCATGCCGATATGCTCCGCATTTGGCGTGACGTAGCAGTACCCTGATTCGCCGTGTTCACCTGAATGTTGTTGGCATGACCACTTATCCTTCAGCTGCATGATGATCGCACCGTGCAGCTGAGATTGCGCACTGAATGACTCAATGTGAGGTACCTGGACAGTCCATCGGTAAGCAACTTTGACAGTACACCACCAAAATTATGCAAACCTTAGTGCCATATAAAAGCTCATCTTCAGCAGCGTTCAGGTCCGGATTAACCAACGGAACCTGGATGTTGACACCAAGTGAGATTCACAGTGCACTGGGATGATGAGAGCAAAAGCGTACCAGTTTTTGAATGCGGTAGCCATCCATCTGATCCGTGTTGAATTTCATGCCAACTTGACATGCTCCCTTCTTCTTGAGTAAGGCACCGAGCGCGACTTTGAACTGATGATCATTTTCAATGGTCGGTGCTCGGGTCTTGCCACCGCTAGAAAAGTGTTCGATCAGCATTGAGCATCATATGGAATAATATCTAGTACGAACCTTGATCCCATCCACCAAAGCTTGAAATCTGGACCCAAATGAACACCAGGGCTGAACTGATCAGCGAGATCATGGACAGCCAGAAATGCCTGCATGAAACCAGTGCGCCCGATACCCTCAAGCACAATGTGCTCAAACCTAATATTCATTGTAGGCTTTGGTGCGGCTGCCTTAGATCCTCGCGAACTGACAGTCTTCATTTCGGGTAAGGTAAAGACATGTGTGATCGAGATAATGTGTCCTGCACCCTCAAGTGCTGCAGTAAATGTGGAAGTATCAACACCATATGCAATGGTATTAGAAGAGGCAAACGTACGAGTAGCAGCGGTAGGCCTTATTTGCAGCTCAGCAGCAGCAGCAAGTGGCGGAGCTCTCGGTTGGATGGCAACCAGCGGGACAGAAGGTGGCCGGAGAGCATCCAATGGTGCAGCAAGTGACCGAACAGGCACCAACGGAGGCTGGTCCCTTGAGGTGGTGGGAATATGGATGCCTCCATTGGCAGCAGCGTGGACTGCGTTCACAATCTCAGCATGAGTGTGGTAAAAATGCGGCGGTTTGACACCACCATCTGCCGAATTTTGTAAGCAAACAGATCCCAAAAGGGTTCAATGAAAAGCAACATACCGATCCACGCAGGCTCCCGCAGCCACCCTTCAGACGGTGTGAGGCACTCATTGTTCAGCTGTGGCTGAGTGGATGAAGACCTCGGGGAGGTAGATAAGTGGTGAAGAATGCGCCCGGGAATGGCTCGGGATGAGCTAGCGTTCGAATTGGACATTTTTACAGTGTGTACTAGGGCTATGTGTGCAACGAATAATAACCGAGTACTATAGACAAACCTGACTGTTCACCCACCTTTATACATCTGCTCCCCAGTCCATGCACAGTATGTTGTTTGGTCATGTCCGACCTCAAACAGAGAGGTCCGACGTTGCATAGCTACACAGAGAGACCGAGGCCCGCAGGCTAGCAGATAGTCAATCAGCTGAAAAGATCAGGCCGAGGGTCAGTAAGGATTTCTCTGCTGTTCAACAGCTATAGTCTTCACATACACGAGCTCGGGAACTCTTGGTAATGAATAGTATGTGCAGTACATCGCGAAAAGGATGCTAGCAGTGAACGGTTGAGGAGGCGCTTACCTTACACAGTGTTGTGCTGGCAGTTGGAATAGGTTAGGGTTTGTCACATATTTGGCTGGAACAAACAACTTTTACAGAATTGGGAACGCAGCTTCATGTGCAAAGCACTGTATTACAAGCAGTGCACATTGGTTTTTTCTTGAAGAAACAAGCAGAAGTGAGAGAAAACTATAAAAATGGATTGTAGCACCCAAGGAAGTGATCCTGGTGTTTTGAGAGTAACACCTTCGGATTCATCTTGAAAATAGCGTCAGAATGCCTACCTGGTTCATCAAAATCCGAGTAGAATTGAGTGAGCTACAAGCCCTGCAAGTTTGGCTGAATGTGTGGGAACCCAGTTGCCACAGACTTGCCTAAATTGGTTAAGGTTTGAGCGGACAACGAAAAAGCGTCGATGCGATCCAAAAAATCGAGCGCATCGACACTTTTTTTGTTCTCAGCACTCTGGTGGCTGAAGAATTACTAAATGCAGCAAACTGTTTAAAGTCAGCACTTCTGTTTCTGGACTAAAGTACCTGGAACCACTATAGAGCTTGGCTTCAAGGTTATTAGCTTCATTAGTAACTGTTGCAAGGCAGCTTTTAAGCACTACAAGCTCGGACTTTTGGTATAAGTACAGGTTATGACAACAATGGTAACAGGTCTTGCAAGTCTGAGCTATTGTAAGGTCTCTACAAACCCATACTAGGTGGCATTTCAGACTATTGTAAGGCCTTTACAAACACAAACTAGATGACATATCTGAACATTATGAGGCCCTTACAAACTGATACTAGAGGGTGTACTAGAATTCAATAAATAGTATAATAAGGCATTGTAGGAGGCTTACTGAACATTATGAGACAACATGCTAGGAGTCAATATATCACTTTGTAGGCTACTGTAAGGCCCTTACCAACTGGTACTAGGTGGTATACTAGACTATTGTAAGCATATTATAAACTGACACTAGATGACATATCTAACTATTGTAAGGCCCTTATAAACTCGCATACTAGGGCATTTACTAGACATTACTAGACACTATTGTAGGTTACTAGTGATCTTGCAAAGTGACATCAGCTGACATATTCAGACTGTTGTAAGCTCATTACAAACTGATACTAAAGAGTATATTAGGACCCAGTGTAATAGGTTATTGTTGACTTGCTGAACATTACTAGACAATATACTGAGAGTCAGTAGGTAACTTTATAGACTATTCAATAGTACAGCCCTTATCAACCCACACAGCTTATCAATGTATAGTGGGACATTGTAGGACACTTACTACACATTATTAAATAGCACACTAGGAGTTAGTAGAGGATGTAATAATAATTTCTTGTATACATTTTAATATATTGTTATAGGCATATGTGTAACAGTTTCTGGTGTTATTTTTTGTAGTGGTTCTTATAGGCATGTTTGTAACAGTTTCTAGTGTCATTTTTTGTAGTGATTATTATAGACACATTTGTAACAGTTTCTAGTGTCAGTTTTTGTAGTGATTATTATAGACACATTTGTAGCAGTTTCTAGTGTCATTTCTTGTAGTGATTCTTATAGGCATGTTGGTAACAGTTTCTACAGTCATTTTTTGTAGTGATTCTTGTAAACACATTTGTAACAGTTTCTAGGGTCATTTTTTGTAGTGGTTCTTATAGGTACATTGGTAACAGTTTCTAGGGTCATTTTTTGTAGTGATTCTTAGAGGCATGTTTGTAACAGTTTCTAGTGTCATTTTTTGTAGTGATTATTATAGGCATGTTTGTAACAGTTTCTAGTGTCATTTTTTGTAGTGATTATTATAGACACATTTGTAGCAGTTTCTAGTGTCATTTCTTGTAGTGGTTCTTATAGACACCTTGGTAACAGTTTTTAGTGTCATTTTTTGTAGTGATTCTTATAGGCACATTGGTAACAGTTTCTAGTGTCATTTATTTTTACTCTCAAACAGGCACCTACTAAGAGAAACACTCAAAATAAGTCTGAAAAAAAATAAAAATATCAGCAAAGTTGTAGTATGACCATCAGATTTAAGACTATAAGAAACTTATATGAGATGGTCACCTAGGAGTAAGTGCATGGCCTAGTCGGCTATTATAACTGATACTACATCATCTAGTAGAGGTAATCAGATATATCATCTGGCATTGTAATGTTTTTAGAAGCTTATACTAAGTGCAGTTTCATAATATTATATGGACATTAATTACACACTTATACTATGTAACCTTTTTAGCCTTCAAAGTCTCATTACTCCTAAGAATAATTCTCTTCATTTTTTAGTAATCGTAACTGTAAAGGCTCCTGACTTTCCCAATTTGGGCAAGTGTATTTTGAGGTCAGAAATCTTTAAAAAAGGCAGAAAAAAGCGGAAAAATTAGAGACATGGCCCAGATAACCATGGGTATCTTAGGTAAGTCAGTTCCCAAATTAGGAAACTGACTAAGCAGGCCTTCTTGTCGTTCACCTCAGTATTGCAAAAGTGGTTTATCACTCAAATCTTAATGAAATTGAATGTTCTAAAGTGCTAACTAGATCTATTTTTTGGTTTCAATTCAATAGTAATGGTGATAATGCATTGAACTCAGTCCAACACTCCATCGAAGGTAATTTCAATGTTTCCTGACATATAGCTGTTATCTGTTATCTAATCTAAGCGCTACAGCCATGCATCTGTTGATGGTTATTTATACAAGTCGCGCTGGTTTTCAATACAACTGTTTTGAATGTCTACCTATAGTCAACTTGTAGTTGGGCAAGAAGAGCCAATAGAATGTTTGTAGCTAAGTGCTACCTCTAGGATTTTCTCACAGTTTGGGGAAAAGTGCGTCACGGTTCAGATCAGCCTCCAAAGGCCCACCGCTTATAAGAACGATTCTCTTCGTACCTCAGGAATCGTAATTTTAATAACTTGTAGCAAGTTGCTCAGTATTCTAATGACCTTATAATAGCCTGGTATGCCAGCTAGTATTTATTTGTCAAGCCTTCTAATCACTTCAGGGTACCCTTTATACCTAGCTCTTCTTAGCAACAAGATCTTCTATAGTATGTCATAGCTAAGAGCTTCTTAAGTGTCAGACCGACCATGGTACCTATTATGTCCCAGGGCATTCTGTGAGATTGCCCAGGGCATAGATAGGGTAGTGGCTGGACATATGGGATGATTATTATATGAGATATCCTACTAGGCTAGGACATTAATTGTTTATCCCAGTATTACTAGTTATCCCATGGTGTCAGGGGTACATAAGGATGTCCCACTATTAGCAGAAGATGTATTTTAGGCTGTTGTATATTTGTTGTTTCATCTTTTCATCTACTGCCATACATAAACTGTAATTACATAGTACAGTAAACCAGTGCTTTACTGATACTTCAAATGAGATGGGAGATTCACAAATAGTGGGATATCCCATACTAAGTTTTATATTCACCTGCAGTATTATACTACTAATTACTATTAGTGGTATGTATAACATTTTAAGGACATACCAAAATGTGATTTATTTGTATGCTGACAGCTATTCAGAATATCATTTGTCTGAATATATCTGTTAGACTACTATAATTACCCAAAGACCTATACTTGTCATTGTATTAAGATTGGAGAGTAACAGGTCCTTAGATGGGATATCCCATCCTATAGCATAATGTCCCAGAGTATAAGAAGTCATTGGGTGAATGTCTTTGTGAATGCAACTTTACTGCAATCTTAGGTCAAATGTCTTCCTTGCTTTGTTCAGGTACATTCTATAGTAGCAGACTTGACTAAAGTCTCTTATTTGCTAGTATATAAGTAAACTGAGTTACTGTATTTCTTCTGGTTATTAATGAAAGTTATAGAATATTCATGTTAGATGCAATATACTAAAGGTGACATCACATCAATTTGAACATTGCATCAGAAAAGGTATAATGACTTTTGAAACACGAGAATAAGAATTGTTGTTTGGCCTGTTATAGTTCTTATTTGATCTAATGAACAGGAGATGTCCTTAAAATAGGATGTCCTTAAAATGGAATATCCTTAAAATAGAATGTCCCATTTTTATATAAAGTGTTAATAAAGCACTGATTTACTGTACTATGTAATTACAGTTTATATAGTATGGTAGTAGATGAAAAGATGAAACAACAAATATACAACAGCCTAAAATACATCTTCTGCTAATAGTGGGACATCCTTATGTACCCCTGACACCATGGGACAACTAGTAATACTGGGATAAACAATTAATGTCCTAGCCTAGTAGGATATCCCACATAATAATCATTTCATATGTCCAGCCACTACCCTATCTATGCCCTGGGACATAATAGGTACCATGGTCAGTCTGACACTTAAGAAGCTCTTAGCTATGACATACTATAGAAGATCTTGTTGCTAAGAGCTAGGAATAAAGGGTACCCTGAATTGCTTCTAATAGTCTGAAAGGCCACCTAGTATCAGTTTGTAGGAGTCTTACAACAATCTACAATGTCATCTACTAAATCCTAATATACCACCTATAAACCACAAATAGTCTATTGTATTTTCTACTGATTCCTAGTATGTCATAAAATAATATCTAGTAAGCATTTTACAATGTTTGACTACACTGAGTAGTATGAGTTTATAAGAGCCTTATAGTAGTTTACAAATTTATCTACTGAATTTTAATACATAAGAATCTCTACAAAAAATGAGACTAGAAACTGTTACAAATGTGCCTACAAGGATCACTACAAAAAGTGACCCTAGAAACTGTTACAAATGTGACTATAAGAATCACTACAAAAAATGTTACAAACGTGCCTATAAGAACCACTACAAAAAATGACAGTAGAAACTGTTGCCAATGTCCCTATAAGAATTACTACAAAAAATCACCGCAGAAACTGTTACTAATGTGCCTACAAGAATCACTGCAAAAAATGTTACCAACATGCCTATACAAACTACTACAAAAAAGGACACCAGAAACTGTTACAAATGTGCCTATATGAACCACTACAAAAAATGACAATATATTAAAATGTATATGAGAAGTTGTATTCTCTACTAACTTCTAGTGTGCCATTTAATAATGTGTAGTAAGTGTCCTACAATGTCCCACTATATATTGATAAGTGGTGTGAGTTGATAAGGGCCGTACTATTAAATAGTCTACAAAGTCACCTACTGACTCTTAGTAGATGGTCTAGTAATGTTCAGCAAGTCAACAACACCCTATGATACTGGCTCCCAATAGATCCTATAGTGTCAGTTTGTAATGAGCTTACAATAGTCAGAAGTGCTACCTGGCATCACTTTGTAAGAACCTTCAGTAACCTTCGCTTATAAGAATCACTATAAAAATTGACACTAGAAACTGTCACAAATTTGCTTATAAGAATCACTACAAAAAATGAGACTAGAAACTGTTACAAATGTGCCTATAGCAAGGTATCTGTATACTCTTTAGTATCAGTTTGTATTGAGCTTACAATAGTCTGTATATGTCACCTGATGTCACTTGTAAAAATCTCCAGTAACCTGCAATGGTGTCTAGCAATCTCTAGTAAATGTCCTAGTATGTAAGTTTATAATGGCCTTCCAATAGTTAGATATGTCATCTAGTATCAGTTTATAAGATGCTTACAATAGTCTAGTATACCACTTAGTATCTACTGGTAGGAGCCTTATAGTAGCCTACAAAGGGATATATTGACTTCTAGCATGTTGTATAGTAATACTTAGTAAGCCTCCTACAATGCCTTATTATACTGTTTATTGAATTCTAGTACACTCTCTAGAATCAGTTTGTAAGGGCCTCATAATATTCTGATATGTCATCTAGTTTGTGTTGTAAAGGCCTTATAATAGTTTAAAATGTCATCTAGTATGAGTTTGTAAAGACCTTACAATTGTTGTCATAACCTGTACTTATACCAAAACTTCGAGCCTATAGTGCTTAAAAGCTGCCTTACAACAGTTACTAATAAAGCTAATAACCTGGAAGTCAAGCTTTATAGTGATCCCGGGTATACCTTGTAAATGGCTCTTTAGTCCAGAAACAGAAATGCTGACTTTGAACATTTTTCCGCATTTAATAATTCTTCAGCCACCAGAGCGCTGCACAGGACGCATAGCCCCTTTTTTCCACTGGAAATAATTGGGAAAAACTTGAGAAAGTCAAAAAAGTGTTTCCACAGGAAATGTGATGGGAAATGTCGGAGAAAAGAATAAAACATTTACCGCTTTGTTCCTGTGGAAAAATGATGAGGTAAAAAGGGGCATGAAAATACTTAGTGCATTTTTCTCATTTTTGTAGTGAGAAAAAAGTGGGAAAATCTTTCTGTATTTCTCCCTTTTGTTTCTGGGACCTAAGTGAAGAAAAGTTTTAAAATCTTCCAATGGAAATAACTGAGACATGTTTTATATTTCTCTCAGGGAAAAACATGTAGGAAATTATTTAAGGATTTTCCTGGAAAAAACAGTTGTCCTGTCATGTCCTGTGCAGGCAGAACAAAGGGACAGGACATGACAGGACATGACAGGACAACTGTTTTTTCCAGGAAAATCCTTAAATAATTTTCTACATGTTTTTCTCTGAGAGAAACATAAAACATGTCTCAGTTATTTCCATTGGAAGATTTTAAAACTTTTCTTCACTTAGGTCCCAGAAACAAAAGGGAGAAATACAGAAAGATTTTCCCACTTTTTTCTCACTACAAAAATGAGAAAAATGCACTAAGTATTTTCATGCCCCTTTTTACCTCATCATTTTTCCACAGGAACAAAGCGATAAATGTTTTATTTTTTTCTCCGACATTTCCCATCACATTTCCTGTGGAAACACTTTTTTGACTTTCTCAAGTTTTTCCCAATTATTTCCAGTGTGAAAAAGGGGCTGTGCGTCCTATGCTGAGGATGAAAAAAGTGTTGACGTGCTCAATTTTTTGGATCACATCGACACTATTTTTCACCTGGACCTCATGTATTTAGAAGCTTATTAGCTTGCCGTACGAACCAGGTACGGCCAGCTAACTAGCTTAGAAAGCTTATTCCCCTTACACTCCGAGTAACACCCGCAAATAGTGTTGGCCCCCAATATAAGATATCTCCTCCCTATCTGTGATAAGGCTTCGGGCACTGTGCCGGCGGTCCTGCCCATCGGATCTAGAGATCCCGATGGCCCGCCCTGCTCATCAGACTTCAGGCACGTGCCCTCAAGCTCCGCTGCATCCCGCCACCAAGTGCGCACCCGTCGTCATCGTCACCGCCACTGCCGACTACTCCCCCATTTCCGGCTCATTTCTCTCCACTTTTTTTGCTTCTTGCTGTTCTATATAATACATATGTGTCGGCTATTTGATACCGGTGCAGAATGATGTCCAGCGCCAATGTCTGTGGCATTACGTTGTGTTCAACAAAGTCATGTGATCACACGCCTGCCCTCCCCCGCATTGTTTCCCCACGAGCACCCACAGCCATTCTCACCGCCCCTACTCTGCACGACCGCTATGACGGGCTCAAGAGGCACAAAGCGGCAGGGCCTGTCATGCTCCATGCAGGTCGTTTCCTCTGGGAGCTCCTCAGGCTCAAGCTGACAACTACAAGAAAAGCGGGTGTATGGTGCAAAGGCCATGGCACTTGAACAGCAGCGGGCAGAAGATAGATATCGAGCACAGATATCAGGTAAACTTCTCACCCTTAATGTCTCTGTTTACTCACATGAATTTTAGAGCTGTCCGGGACACCGCTACAAGCGCTTGCAGACATTCAAGGTCAGAATGCAGATACAGCGATGGAGGACATAACCGCATCCCATGATGCTGAAGCCCCTCTCCTCGAGGTAACTGAAGCAATGGATGATGCACAGGGGCCTGATGAAGAGGCTTGAGAGGCTCCCATTCACGCTGTGCATGATATCGCTGGCGAGAGGTAAGTAGTCTTCCCGCTGTGTCGTATATATTCCTGACCAGGTACGTCAGATGGCATGAGCGTTCATACAAGGATGCGTGAACATGGCGGAACCATGTACAGCGGATGGACGAGAACTGGCAGCCCCTTATGCCAGAGCTCATCGACACCTATCTCGCTTGGCAGCATCCGCTCTCAACTCCCGCAGCTCCTGCAGCTGATGAAGCACGAGATAATATGGCGTACACCTTCGACATTGCAGTACTTAATATATACACCCTCACCCCCTCCGTTACAGTCCCTCGTGCTGCGAATGCCACCATGGCCCAGAGTCTCGTGCGAAATGGATACCTCGGTATGACATCTATCAACCCCTCCTTGGCGATCTCTTTGAAGAGCCTAGAGCTCCTCCGAGCTCTCCGACTTTTCAAGGCTTCGTTCAGCATTGAAGCTTTCGCCAAATTACTGTGTCACTACTACAAGGTGAGTCATGCCAGGCAGCCGAGACATGTAAATCAGACTGAAAGTGAGACATAGCTACCGTTTCGACACTGCTATTGTACAGTTCTCACGGACGTGTTCGAGATTTACCTCGCCATCCTGCGTGAGGTAGACAAGTGCATCACAAGCACTCTCGGTCGAGACACACTGAACTGGCGCATACTGAATGCTTGTCCCGCATGTTGCTATAAAGTAAGACTGGCAAGCTAACCTCACTTTCGTTGACATGTCTGCTCACTATTTGTTTCACTTACAGCTGGAAGACGAATCCCCACAGGTATGGAAGAGAATGTTTTGCATAGATGGGAACAACTCCCTCAAGCGTATCGCCCAGGTCGGTGGCAGGTTATGCAGCGATATTTGCGTGTTCAACGAGAGCAACTACTACCTGTTGCTGGAGTATGTCGATCAATTTGCAGATGAGGTGGAGAATGAGATCCTTCAAAAGCATGACACAGATGAGCACAGCAACAAAAATGATCCAGATCAACTCGATGAGATGAATGATCCGATGACAGGCACTTCGGACTCTGCAGTCATCCCATGCACAGATAATTGGAAAGCGGCAGCAGCAGATGAGAAGAAGTGCATGTGGGCAATCTTCGAGGAGACGAGGATCTTCGCAAGTGCCTGTCCGCATGAGTTCGTTCTGTGGCTGATCAACATGGTCCGCAGTGGCAAATTGTAAGTGCTCCCCCATTGTAATTAGAACATACTCACTGATTTTCTGCAGAGCAAAGTATCCTTTGGCCATCATATCGAGGGTGCTTGAGGTGTTTGGCGAGAAGTCACTTTGCGGATATGACATTGGATGCAGTTTTGAAGGGACCATATGCCGCAGCTCTCTGGGTCTCGAGTGGCAACACCATGGGTGTAGATGCTGCGTGAATGCCTTTCACGGGTACTCTCACAACTATCGCTGCCAGACAACAAATCATCCGAACGCAATCATCGGCATGAGCTTAGAGGACCTGGAGACACTCGAGCGTGTCTTCAGCAGGTCGAACGAGCTCACCCCGATTACGTGATATGCATCGCCCTACTGCCGCTGCATCTTCATCGACATTGACTTCAAACAGTGGGATGATGAGAAGTATGCTAACTTGAGTACGATGTTGTACAACAACTATTTACAGGCCCTCAGGATCATCGAGATGGACAATGTGGCCCTTCGTGAAGCCATGGGGTCCCTTGAGATTGAGCAGGACAACATCGAGAAGTGGTATGCCGAAGAAGCACAGTACTTCGCGATGCTCAGACAAGAACCGGAGTGGGATGTCCATGCCATGACGTATGTCGAGTCCCTTCAAGAGCTTCGGGACATTGAGTAAGTCCATTTTGTACTACTTGCTTGACGTATGCACTCGCGAGATGTGTTTTCAGGAAGCAGCTCAGCAGTACATCCTCCACTTTTTATGCGGGAATCCCTGACAGTTACCAGTTCCTTCCTCCAACCCCGGAGGTGCACTCGTACTCGGTGGCTGAAGCCGCTCACACATGCAAGCTAAAGACAAGCGCCAGTCATTGATGGAGTGGCACACAATTGTGTCTCAAGATGTTATTGAGATGGAAGTCAACATGCAGCTTTCGAAGCAGTGGGTGCCGACTGATCATGAATATCTTGACACCGTGCGATACATCTCTACATGCAAGTACCACCACGCACTTGACAACCTGCAGCGGCTCGTGGTGCTGCATTTGTTCGAGCTCCACAAACTCAATCTCTTGCAAACAGGTGAGTCTTGAGTGAGTGTGCTGTGTTCCGTTCTGTACCCTGAGTTGTTCTAGCTTACCGCATGAGGATGCACATCGCAAAGTCTCTGCAGACTCGGTGCGAGGCAATCCGCAATGCTGTGCAGGTATATAATGCAGCAGCAGGGGTGCTCAATCCTCCGAGGCCTACACTAGACTGGGCTAAGATATCACACTACTCATTCCTCGACGAGTTTGACCTCCTACATGACACTCGGAATGATGTGTGCGAGAAGCCATGGGCACGGCAGGCCATCTGCGAGACTATGAAGCTTGCCCGTTCTGCCAGATTTATGCACTGGAAGGATTCTCAGGCATGCCTTCACCAGGTCAGTGCCGCAGTTTGCACCCCCAGGTCATCATCACCGCATCGGACGCACAAGCTCCTGTACACAGCGACATTCTGCAAGAGGATGATGATGCTGCTGGCGAAGATGAGGAGGCTGAGCTCCAGATCAATGGGCTTGTCGAGTACATTTGCAATCTGTCTATCCAGTAGTTGTCGTGTACGAATGCATTGATTTTTGACATCATATATTGAGAATACAGTAAATACAATGTTTGCCCTACAACTCAAATGACGGAACTCGCAGTGAGTGCAGAGGAATCACATTTGAAGGGGTAGACAACAAGTAGGATTGTGAGTCGATCATGCATGAATTTGCGGTGCCACAACTTGACTACTTGAGTGCAAGTTGCGCTGCTTCACTTGATCGATGCGCGTGGCTGTCGATGCTACAATGCCACCCTCCACTCCTGCTGGTACTGTCCTGCAACACATTTATGTTGTTCTGGGGGATCCGACCTGTCGTAATCCAGTGGTGGGAAGTTCACAGTGCCTACATTGCGCCAATACAAACTGTCTATTAAACTCACCGGGATGCCATCAAGTCCTGACATTGCCCATGGCAAGTGCACCACACCCTGGCCGATCATCTTCCAGTGCCACAATATGGAGCAGGTGACTGCCATTACTCTGATCGCCGATATATTCAGCAATCTGTATGCATACATCGACTCTGTTGTGTGCGATGTCAGAAAACACCCGCTCTTGCATCCCAAGATCCATCTAGTCAAGGGGGTCAATAAATGGTATGTGTCCTTGTACAGGAGAGATACAGTGATCTACCTGACTTGGTCAGTGAGCTCTTCATGCACACCTTGTTGACTGACTGACAGCCTCAAAGGCCCGAATGCGAGGCACAAGTCAGTGGATTTCCCGGCATGAAGCACTGCTCCTTTATGCACCTGCAAGATGTGATCGCATTCTACATAGACAAGGGCGATGAAGGTGTCATTCAGCCAGTCAGACCACTAAACATGGGGATTGGACAAACCCCAGCGAAGCCTCCTGCCATGGCACCTTCCACGCCGAGTTCGAACCACCCTGAAGGTTCGTCACAGGCTCTCTTCTATTAAACTTAGTCTGACAGATATCACAGAACCATATGGCTGCAGTACAAGCACACAAGATATTGCAGGCCCCACTGCCGCAATGTTTGCACATAAGTTCCATAGATTCTAGTCGGTCGAATTGCAGTCTAATCCGCTCCTTCAGGCTTGAAAGTGACCGAATCAGGAAGAACACCTCAATCCAGTCCTTCGCGACATAGCCATGGTGTCCATGCACAGCAAGTGGCATTGGTGTCGTGTACTTGCCCTGCACAGAACCCTTCACTGCTCACTGACTATTCCCCTTCTCCCTCGAAGCCTGCTTCACAGACGTCTTGTGCTTCCTATCCACTGATGCTGACCTCCACTCTCCCGCTCATTTACCGATATATTCGCAAGCTTTGTGGTGTCACAGGAACGATCATGGATTGTCAAGTGGCCATCGCACTCCCTCGGGAAGTCACACACCTCCCCTACTGGGTTGATGAGTATGTCTACAGTCACGGTTACAGCACAGGCGCTGTCAGGCTCTTCGAACATGCTTTAGCTCTCGCCATAGACAGAGATCATTTCATTTGTATCTTGGCTCCCCGCGAGATTCCTATCTGCGAGCTTGGCTTTCTCTATAGTCTCACTACAATCCCTTCACCGTGATGATTCATGTATAGTCTATGATATAAATCTATCTACATTCCTCTGCATGTCTTTCCTTCCCCCAGGATTGAGTCACATGCATTGTGGAGAACGCGTTGAATTGAGTCAACCTCGTGTATGTATTCACACCCTACACAGTTCTTCAGTGATTCTATGCCTCACATGGCAGGCGACTCGAGCTCACCGCAGAACCTGCCAGCCCTCGAGCGCTATCACAGTAAGTTCAGGAAGAAGATGATTACCACCAACATGCGCTTTCCATGGCGCCAACGGACAAACGGATGCTCATCCAGAGGACACCAGCAGAGAAGGCCTCCTTAAAGGCCAAGCATGCTGTACACAAGGCGGCGCTCCAGGGAGTGCTTTGAGAAGCTCGTGACGGAGTGTGGGAGCTCGCCATCAAGCTAAATGAGCGCTTCAGATCCAACACTGTCGACTACTTCTTCCAGGCCATCATGCAGACATCTCACCTCATCGGCAAGAAGAGGAAGACAAGCATGTGGAATGCATTTCTGCACAAAGAAGTCCGAACTTTGAATCAAGGTATGTAGTGATGCCTGACTCAGGCTGAAGCCTGTATGACTGACATGTCTCTAGCCCTGCCAGCAGGCATTGCCCACAAGAAGTCATCCACCTACACCCATGAGATATCAAGGAAGTGGCACTCCATGAGCGGAGAGGAGAAGATTGAGGCCACAAAGGATGAAATCAAGGCACTCGAGGAGATACGGGCAATGAAGGTGACAGTGCAGCATAATGTGCCATTGAACGTGTTTCATAATGCTCATGCAACACTGGCCAACATACAATGGGAGGTAGGCTATTTCACATCCTTCAGAATGTTCTATGCCCTGACACAAATTTACACGTAGCTCGACATGCTCTGGGAATGTATGGGTACTGAGGCTCTCCTGGTCTCCGTCCATCAGGGGAAGCTCAGATTCGTATGGTCAACCTTTTGTCTACCACACTAGCGACAACATTCCAGAAATCTTTCATACGGTTACCCAGAAGACTCCCATGGATTTTGTGCTCAAGATGGAAGCCTACTGTGTATCTGGAATTGAGGGTAAGCAGGTAATTGCATGCTGTTGTGCTTATGCTAATTAAATTTCAGGTGTTGTTACTAATCATGTCAAGAATCTTCTCGCCCTGAAAGCAAAGACAGCAGCTCTCATCATGCAGAAGCTGAGTGCATACACCTTCCATGCACTCATGTTTGATACCGCGCTGATAGACTTACACAGATGAAGTAGCACATCCTACGGAGATCCTGCGCATGTACTACAACAACTTCGGCGAGCACATCACGATATGCTATGGCATTGTCGTCGAAAACTGGCCACTCACCGAGTTCAAATGCCACAGCCAGATCACGTCAAGAACTGAAGTCGAGGTTCTGCATCACGCATTCGAAACTAGCATCGCGCGGTTCTGAAAGCTGACTGAGGAGCAGTTCAAGGACTGGCAGGACGGTGAGTTTCAGAAGAGGATAGGCATGATGGACATAGAGGCAGATGATGATGAAGATGGTGAGCCCACAGAGGCTCCACAGACAGGTATATCCATCTCACTTCGTGTTTATGACATAGCTAATTAATCTCACAGGTGCTCAAGCCGTCAACACCGAGGATATCACCTCCCCTGCCGACATCCTACCTTCGACTTCTCCGCTTTTTTTGCTTCTTGTTGTCATTCTTTCCTGCTATACAATACTATACTTATAGAGTGAAGCTACCATAAATTAACCACCTTATTATATATCTTATGCTCAGTGTGTGGAGCAACGGCGCACCCAAGCCATTGCACAAAGTCAGTCACGTCGTGATTTGGCATATACTAGGAGTGATACAAAAATTCTATATGAAAACCCGGCACCACCTGCTCACGTAGTCGTTGCATGAATGGCGGCTGAGATGCTGGCGGCCGTAGCTGGCGGCGGCGGCAGCAGCAGCGGCAGGGTCAACGGACAAGGCATTCAGCAAGATGGTAGAGAAGGGGGCACTGGTAGTGGGAGCAGCAGCGGTGGATGCAGTGTAGGCACCGCCTGCAGCGACGTTTGCAGGTGAACTAGGGCTGGCCGCCACATTCTGCTGCCGCCTTCTTCCTGGGACCCTTCTTCACGCCCTTGTCACTCCGTACCTTGCAAGGCTTTTTCTGAACAATTAGCCCTGAGCCATCCGACGCCGTGACTGCATTGACAAGGTCAGTAGATAGCGGCTGGCTGGTCTTCGACTTCTCGCGTCGTCCAGTGGCATTGTCTGATGCACGCCGCTTCTTGCCAATGACTGCAGTGTTGCCCTCCATGGTGGGGGTGCTTGTATTCACTGGCGTGGACGTAAGTGGAACCGGAGAGAAATGAGCCAGAAATGGGAGTAGTCAACGGCGGCGGTGACAGCGACAATGATGACGGGTGCGCACTCGGGGGCAGGATGTGGCGGAGCTTGAGGGCATGTGCCTGAAGTCTGATGGACAGGGCGGGCCATCGGGATCTTTAGATCCGATGGGCGGGACTGCTGGCACAGCGCCCGAAGCCTTATCAGAGATAGTGAGGAGATATCTTATATTGGGGGCCGACACTATTTGCGGGTGCTACTCGGAGTGTAAGGGGAATAAGCTTTCTAAGCTAGTTAGCTGGCCGTACCCGGTCCGTACGGCAAGCTAATAAGCTTCTAAACACGTGAGGTCCAGGTGTCATAACCTGTTAGAAATTGTGCTTAGTTCCCAATTAGGAAGGTAGTGATGGGTGCTCTGCTTTCCCAACAAAAAGTCTAAATAAGCTCCTAAGAAAAAGTTGGGTTTCCCTGATGCACCGGATTTTGGCCGGTTATACCTGCCTCCGGACTCGGGGGTCAGTGGGGTTCGAGGATCAGTTATATATGTTCGGATAGGACATGGTACTGTATATGCAGGAGTCCTATTTAAATCAACTTGCTAAAGTTGCTATAAGCACTATCAAAAACTCCTCAGAAAGTAATAAGTATTAGTGCTACAGATGGGGGTATACAAGATGATCAATTCAAGCACATTTTGTGCATAATTATATGTTCGCATCCCGCCTTGTGACCCGGGTCCATATTTCCAATCACCCTAAACTTCCACTGTCCAATTTCCTCCCCGACAACATTAAGCCTACACCGTCGTCTGACGATATCGACAATAAATCCAGCACCGTCTACACGACGTTTTGAGCGTAGATTACCGCAGGTAGGCAGAGTGCACACCCATCATGAGAGCAAGGGTCATCGAATGGCCACGAGGGTGGATCTGCACGGCGGCGACGGAAAACCAGCTGATACATAGCATAGACTTATCTTGGGGGGTCATCCACTCCCTGTCCGCGGCGACCATCCGTCTTAGCTCCCGAACTAGATCACAAACACAAATTCGCAAGTTTCGATGAGAATCATCGCCGTCCACCGAGGCTGACACAGATGTCGAGGATGAGTGGAGAGCCCCTGAGCAGCCCTCGCGTCAGATGCGGGTTCTATCGAATTCATGGCATGGAGGTGGGCTGGCCGGGGTTCCACGAGCTGCGATAGAAGCTCTTCTTCTTGCGCACACTGGCATTGTACGCGGCTCGGATGGCATCCGTCGCAGTACGGTCCGGCGCCGTCGCCGTTGACACGAACGATGGCGAAGGGGAAGTTGCCGTGCTGAGCTCGGGGCTCGACCTGGGTGTCGCTAGTGTCAGCCGAGGGAGCTGCACAGTAGCCGGCGGGGACATTGGCAGCAACGGCGGCGGCGGCGGCGTGAGTGGCGACGACCCACAGCTATGGTAGTGGCTCGAGTTGGAATCCGTGGACAAGCTGTGTGGTGAAAGCGGCGGCGACGTGGGCACCGGCCCGGGCGCCGAAACAAGCGCAGAGGGTAGAGAAAAGAGAGGGGACGGTGTCGGCTGCTGTTCTGCCGTGCGGAAGGACTCGGGGAGTGTAGGAGGAAACGCAGAGAGGAAGCGCGAAATGCGATGCGCGGAGCCAACATCGACGCCGACGTCCTCGGGTGGCGTAGCGTGCGGGGCGGGGGCGACGTCCGCAAGCTCAGTGCTGCGAGCCTCCCATGTCGCAAGGTTTTCGCGACATTGCGCCGCAAAGGGTTCCATTGCTGAAAAAGTACGGTGGTAAGGCAGAAATGTCAGTCGCGCCCCGGATATGAGGAAGAAGGGGTGTACCGGGGATGCCCTGTGCGATGAGCTCGAATAGTGGTCGCACGAAGGTGTTGATGAACCATATCTGACCGCGCGCCTCGCTCAGCGGATTGTCCGAGGGCTTGACGGATTCGGGCAGACGGAGATGCTTCTCGAGCAGCAGCTGGCTGCTCCACTCCGACTCGAGCGCGGTGACCCAGTGCTGCGAGACTATGTAGGGGCGACTCTATAGGCAATCACAGCACTAATTAGCTGGCGGAACGTGCAAAGCACGATCCCACGCAAGAGCGCGCGACTCACGGGATTGCTGATGTCCGCGCACTTGATGAGCGCCTGACAAACCAACACCTTCCGTCGGAGTTCAGGCGTCTCACCATCTGAGATGAGCTCACGAAAGCCCGTTATGAAGTCATAGTGGATGCCCATGTCCGTCCCGAGCACGGTACCGACCAGTACCTTGCGGAACGTTGCGCCGCCCGTGGAGCAGTCGAGCAAAGATCCGAGTCCATTGTGCCGCATGATCTGCAGGATTAACGCGGCGTGCATCTGCTCAAGCACTGACTTGTCGTCGTACACCACCGCCAGAGGTGTTTTGGCGTTTTTCTACAAAGTCAGTATGGAGTTGGTTACGCGCACGGAAGTGATCGTACTTACCATGAACGTATTCGTGAGTCCGGGATGCCCGACATCGTGGCCTACCGCTGCAATGAGTAATGCAAACAGATCTTCATTATTGAGACAACAAAGGAGGGAATCATCAGTTTGGTCTTTATCTCGTTTCCATGTTCGTGGGTCTGCATGCAGTAAAATTGATACAGGAGGGGCCATCCCCGCAGAATACAAGAAGAAGTATGTGGCTTGCAAGACATCGAGCGCATGCTGGAAGTTGTGGTAGGTGTTGCCCTGACGGTATACCTGCCGTAGGTGGTACAGGAAGCCGGCAATATGGCCTGTGCAGGGATAATATGAGCGGAGTGAGGTAGGAAACGAGCAGTCACTTACTCAAGGGTACACACAGCCTCTCCTGCATACCTTCGATACGAAACAGGGCCTCAAAAAGAACGTAGGTGCAGGCGAGGATCTCTTCGTCTGGAAGCTTCTGCGGCTCAAAATTCCAGCTCCCAAGGAACTCAACGAGGCGTGTACGTATGGGATTCTCGAGCGCGGTGAAGGACAAACTAAAAAGAGATGAGTACGAGAAATAGTCGTGCAGTAGATACGGGGCAAGACTGACTCTGGCATGGCCTCAAGATTGATGACAGTCTCGGTGTGTGCACGCACGTCGATGAGCACTTCGGCATACCTACGGAACTTGAGATTGAGTTAGGGTGTGATGGCGTGTACGCACTTTGTTTCGCCTTTCTCTGTCTCCTCCCAGCCTCCCCAACCGTGCCCCAGTGTGCCATCGCTAAGGGCTAACGCCAGACCGCCGACGTCAACACTGCGACGCCGTCCAAATGCTACTTCGGTCATAACGATGAGAGTAAGGTCAGATTGACGTCCGTGGACAAAGGCAGCGTGTGCGACCGTCCGAATGAAGTCGCACGGCCAGAAAGCCGAATACAACAGCTTGAGGTTTACAAGCGCTACACAGAAGATTGAGATGGTACTTTCAGGTATGTTGAGTAGGAGAAAACGGAAGGAAAGATGGCATCTGGACGAGGAGACGAGGAATATTTCAAGGGCTGTGTGCTTCCCGCGATGCGGGCGCCTCGAGCACGTGGAGGAGAGTTTGGGCGCTCCGAGACGCGCCAACTCCGACGCGATGAGTCGTCCTCGGCTCGGCGTCTGCCACCATTGTCTTCAGCTTCTTGTTTCGTAGCTGGCCGCATCAATGAAACTTGTACTTGTTAATCATCCCTTGTAAATATTACAGTTCACCGTCACATCTATCACCCAAACCACATCATAATTGGCAGGTCTGATCCGATTACCCTCACAGCAATGTTTTGGTTCATGGTGCAGGAAATCCTGTTCTAATCCTAACTTTCATCATCGGGCGCTGAACAATTTCACCTCAACACGAGGCGAGTTCCACCCTCCCGTACGTCTTATCGTCAGCTAGATGTTCCTACACTTCTCTCCCCTAACCACATTAGCTCCTCGCGGTTCTCTCCTTGTGGACGCGATCCACCAGCTGCGGACTTCGCTGCGTGTCCTGCCGATCCCGGCTAGCAGCTTCTCGAGTGGTCACACTATCATTACTGATCCAGACTCCCAGCCGGGCAGCAGTGGAAGCACACCTGCGGTGCTCCTGGTGGTCAAAATTTTCCTTTGTGGTCGCGATCCACGTTCCCCCGTTCACGCTACCGTTGCGCGGTCCGTGCGTGGCCTGGATGGTCCTCTGCACAATCGCCAACCTCTATCGATTGAGCCCCGCGTCGTGCTCACGCTTCTTCCTGTCATCTCAGATTGCGGGCCGCCCAGCGGTTCGTGCGGTCCGCCTCTCCACCCAAGCGTCTCGACGATTCTCTGTCGAAACATATTCTAACGTATCGCCTGCAGCGTGCTCATCCCCCCGCGGCGTGCGCAGCATATGTGTGCTCTACAATCGATTGAACCTGTCGTTGCACGGTTGGCATTCACACCGCCATGATGCTGACTATACTCGATAGACGACCGCAGTCGTAGGAGTTCAGTGGTTTTCTCTTATCTGGACATTCTGGTCTCGACTTGGTCGTCTGGCATGGAGGCAGAGTCGCGTATGTTTCTGCTTACCTCGTCCTGGTGTGCTCACCGCTTCGCGGACTTGGTTCTTGAGGGCCGGACGATCTGCATATGTCCCTCTCGATCATCGGCATTGCGCTACACATCCCGATCCATTCATTCACCCCGCATTGCGGGTGTAATAGCTCTTGACTCTTTGGCTGTCATAAGCACTGATCTGCGTTCGAGTTCAAGTTGCGGATTTTACTCCGTCACAGTCTGATGGTCTAAATATTCTAATCGGCGTGCTCGTCCCATACCTCCTCTCAGCCGCCGATCCATCACGTTATAGTATACATGCGTCCATCCCGGCGCTATCCACCGCGGAATTCCGTGCCCGCAAGCTGATCTACAAATTCCGCTGCAGATTTCCTCTCCCGCGAGCTCATCTATAAATTCCGCGACTCCAGACGGCGCGCGAGCGCCCGCGAAGCAACTCTAATTCTCCGTGGCCGCCTCCCTTCTCCCGCCATGCGTCTACATGGCCCTCCGTGCTTCTAGTCCACGAGGGCTCCCCGTTCAGCGCTTATGGGTGAAGGACCGATGCGCGCAGGGCGCAATCCTGCGGAAAAATGCGCTCGGCCGGTGAGCGTGCGCGGAGGCCAGTCACCGGCGCGGCATGGAGTGATGCGCCTTGACATCGGTGCTCTGGGGCCACCGTATGACGTTCGGACTCGATTTTTTTTCTGCGGTACCCTCGGTGCCGGCTCATGTGCGGGGATGCAGGGCCCGATCTCGCCAATGGCCTCTCAGGAAAATTACACCGAATTCTTCTGCGTGCAAGCCCCGGTCGGTGGTCGGTGCGTGTTCCCTCCGTCTGTGCGTGGGTTCGAATATGTGGATGGAGACCGCGTGGCTGTGGCGCACACGACCCTTGTTTAGAACACATCCGTGGTGCGATGCGGTCCTACTGGGTCGCGTCTCCCCTGATGCCTGCTGGCTTTTGTGCTGGAGAGACGCATGATGCGGCATCGGTCTGCGGTGCAATCTCGACGTTTATGTCGTTGGTCCGTTACAGACTGAACGGTGGAATTGCGTTCGCTGGTTGTGTTTCTTCTCCAGTGAATTCAAATATTTGAGACCGTGGAGCAGTGTGGCGATATTCTCTTCTCGTGCGTGGACAGTATGAATTGATGCAGCGGCGGACCACGTCCAATTTTTTTTTGCCGATAATATCCTTGATCGATGCCCGCCGGTGCGTTCATATTGCAAATTTTTACCGCTGCTGCGATTGCAAAAATTTCTATGATACATATGACGAGTACATCTCCACCAAGAGACAATATGAAGCTAAGAGCGTGAGATGTCGTTAAAACGGATATCTATATTTACACGCGGGTATCGGCCATGTATGTGAGAATCAAACATTCCATTGTCGTTCGGCGCCGACGCGTCCAGCGGCGCAGACCCGATAGGCGGGAAGGACGCGGACCCGCCGCCGTGCACCCGCAGAGCGCCGGACCCCCGCACAGCTAAGCGTAGCACTCGGACAAGAGCGCGCGGCGATACCACGCGTAGGCGTCGGGCGCGGCGCGCTCACAGTCCGCGGGCATGGTGAACTCGTCGGTCGCACCGAAGGCGGTGGTGGTGGAAGAGGTGGAGGCATACGATGCTGGCTGCGACGACGTGGACTGCGAATGCGAGTGCGTGCGTACGTTCCGCGCAAGGGGGTGCGCGGGGTGCATGGGAGCGGAGAATTGCTGGGAGAGCGAGACGGAGCGCATGGCATGGTCGAGGCCCGTTGGCGTGTGCTGGTCGTGCCTGCGTTGCAGTTGCTGCAGCTGCCGCAGTTGCAGTTGCTGTTGCTGCTGCTGCTGTTGCTGTTGCTGCTGCTGCTGTTGCTGCTGCTGCTGCTGCTGCTGTTGGTGCAGATACTTGGGCGCGAGACTCTGCTGCGGGGGACGAGAAACTGGTGGGAGAAATTGTGAGATCAGCAGCGTTGACGCGTAGGAGAGTAATGCAACTCACCCTGCGCTTCGGCAGGTGTTGGGAAGGGGATGGTGCCGTCGACGCCGTAGCGCATGCTCCAGTGGAGGCTCTGGGCGGGGGTCATGAGGGGCGCAAAGGGCGGAGGTTCGACGGGGCTCGAGGGATACGGGAGGTCGGCGTCGGCAAAGCGCCAGTTGCACTGGTCCTCGCGGGCGTCGGATGGGTCTGGATATGTGCTGGAGGCTGGGGATGGGGAGCGGAGCCAAGCGGAGGGCTGTTCGCGGGCGTGCATGCGCTGGCGGGTGTACTGGGGGCGGTCGTCGTCTGGCTCGGGAGACTGGGGGACGAGGGGATGTGGGAGATAGACCTGGAACTCGACCATGATGGGCTCCTCGGTGAGGGGCCCGACGTCGACGAGGGGCACGGCAGCGACGGCAGCGCCGCGGCCGTTGTGGACGGCAAAAGGGTGCAGGCGGAAGACGCTCATCATCTTGCGCATCGCGGGGGATGCGTTGGTGGCGCGGAGGGGGACCTCGGTGCACGAGGAGAGATGGTCGGGATCGGTCGGGGGCGGGGAGGCGGGCTCGAGCTCGAAGATGAAGTCGGAGTCGGGGTCCGAGGGCTCCGGCTTGATGTTCTCGGCCGGGGACGGGGAGCGGGGGCTGGGGAGGAAGATGGCCCGGTCGACGGCGGGCGCGGGCTCGGACTCGATGGTGTACAGCTGCTGCGCCCGGGACCACTGCGGCGGGCGGGCGGAGGGCCCCCCGGACGGGCGGGGATCGGCGAGGACGGTGCGGTGGGACGACTCGGGGTAGTCGGGCATCGCGCCGGGGAACGCGGACGGGGAGAGATCGGCGGGGGCGAACGCGGGCCCGGCGGGCTCTTGCTCAAGGGCGGGGAAAGGTGGCCATCGGTGATCGTCTTGGGCGGTGTCCCATGTGGAGAACATGGCTCCGGTGACAGACGGGTACGCCTGATCGGCATTCGCGGTGGGGACAAAGCCCGGGGCAATGGCGGCGGGCTGCTCGAGGGGAAAGTTGAAGGCTGGGTAGGACGGGATCGGACCGGAGACAGAATCTGCCGTCGGTGCATAGTACGCCATGGGTGCGGGCAGTCGAGCACAGGCGGAAGAGCTCTCGCGGAGATGACGGGCGGTGGGTGGACTGGGGGAGCACGGATGGGAAGGGCAGGACGACTGCTCTATTTGAGTCCGTGACGCCCTGCCCGCCTTTCTACCGGTCCCCCAAGTCCCTCGGACACGCCTCCTCTGATCCCTACCACGTCCCTCAGCCTCGCCGTCCCCCTCCTGCTCTCTCACCCACCCTCTTCGATCCTCTCCCTCCTTGCCTAATCGGGACGACTTCTCCAAGCGATCCACATTGTTTGGCCGCCCTTCGAATACTGCAAAACAAATCTTACCCACCGGCATACGCGGGATCCTCCCCATCCACTCGCGTACAAGATCTCCCCAGCCTATACTAACTTGTCGACTGCTCGTCCAGTCGGTCCGTTCGCCCACAGGGCCACCGTCGCATTTACGTTTTTTGGTCTCCGCTCGGTGTTGGAACTCCGCGGCACTGCCACCATCTGCGCCAATCTACCTCCGTGTCTCCACCGCCACTCGACCTCTTCGCACTCTCTCTGGCACATCGACGTATCGCGCGGCCGAGCTCGCCGACACGCTTTCCTCACGGCATTTTATCGCCCATCCGCGACATCTGCAGACATTTCGCGCTGCTTTTATACATCTCGCGCTATCCCCGCGATTCGGGCCTCGTCGCTGACCACGCAGACGCGGGCGTGGTATGGAATTTAAACTTATTGGGGGAATTACCTCATCCCGGGCCAGATCCAGTATTTACTACTCACCACCGTTCGACCCGCGTGCTGGACTAGTGGGTCATCACCCTCGCCGTCATCCAACGCACGCATCAACGCGCGGACCCATTCACGCTTCGCCCTTCGCACGCGTGTGCACGCCCTCGCTCTATTGCCATACAATGTCGAGCGATCGTCCCCGTGGATCGGTCCCAGAATAGGGTCACGTGCCCGCGCTTGCCGAATGGACGGAATGCAGCTCCGTGACGCTACACGACGGCCAGCTGGTGCGGGTCGATGGGTGCGTACGTCATGGCTCGGGTACAGGTCGCGAGGGCGCGATCGCGTCGCGTACGGGTGGCTGTGGCTCGCAAGGGCGCGATCGCGCCGCGTTCCTAGTCGCGGCGCCCAGTGCGGGGTTAGACCTGCACCCGGCCGATCTTCGCTATCCTCCCTGCCTTTCCTCTGCTGATGTACGTACTCTGCTCGTTCGTGCTGCATGCGGCCACCCTGGTTGTCCCCGTCACCTTCTATGGCAAATGGGCAACGGCCAGAGGGGTCCTCCCTGAGCGATGCGTGAACACGCGGCTACCGGCCGCTCAGGGTCAGTCGCGTCTATTTGCTGTGGTATGCTACCTCAGCTTCTGGCCCATCTAACGTTCACCGACCGAGGATTTTTCCAGGACAAAATCCAGCTGTGACAGACGTCGCGGGTCTCGGAGGGCTCCGATCGCGGACCCCGGTGTGTCCACACGCGCCGGTGTTCAGGCGTACATCGCTATCCCGGCGACTTCTCCAGAGTGCTCTTCCCGAATTCTCTTCCCGCCTCGCGAGTGCAGAAATTGTCTTTCACCAAGTACTGACGTCAATACGTCCACCCGCCCATATCGCGCCATAGCGGTGCTTCGCGAGCTTGAGCTTGGCCTGCGGGCTACAGGCGCGGACGGAGATTAAAACGCTCCTCGCTCCGGGACGTGCTCCTGTCTTTCCGGGCGGGGCGTCGCGAGAGGATCCGCTCCGTATCCTACGTCCCGATCCCAGCTGACAACGCAAGGCACGCCCGCGCCGTTATCTAGGCTCCGGTACCGTTTATCGTCGGGGCCAACGCTGAAGAGGCTTACTACTGCGTAGGCGTTCTGAGCCCGGTGTGAACCCCGGGCGCGTTCGAGGACCGAGAGTGCGTGGGGGTGCTGTGCTGCTTCGGTCATCAGATTGCGGAGGCGAGGCGGGGTGCAAGGCGTAATGCGTACTGGCGAATGTTCTGCGCAGCGAACTTGATGATCTTCTTCCGCGAACGTTGGCCGTTCGGTGGGCCGTGCGTCCAAGGGTTTGACGGCAGTTCAGGTGTGGCGTCGGCGTGTCTGTGGGTTTGAATGCAGAACAGAGTTGCTTGTGGCCGTGGTGGACGTGATGTCATCCGTCGTTGATGTTGATGCACATTCCATCCCTTCTCGCTCAGAGCTCCCTTCTTCGAGGCGTGTCTGATGTGCTATCGCAGCGTGGACGACTCGGGGGTCCCTCAATTATTCCCTCTCAGGTCTGGTAGATGACACAGTCGTCTTCAAGATCATGTAATGGGCCAAACTGCGCTGCTCCATCTACCGCGCGTAGTCGCTCAAGCTCAACTTCCGACCCCCCACGAGGCCCCTGCGCCGACCTCCGGTCGAGCACCAGAACCCACCCATCACCTTACAGTAACCTTCGGATTCTCTTCCTTTGACGAGAACGGTCTCGCACCTCAGTCAGAGACCCGGCTACGTACATCCACGTCAGCGAGGCTCGTCGCGCCACCGTGCCTGCCAACTAACAATAGGCGCTGGGCTCGGTGCTCGCAGCGCGGGAGATGCGGCTGGGCGCGCGCGCGCGGTGGCTAGGGGAGATCATCGCGCCATCGCGTCGGCCACTGTCGGCGAACGGACGAGTGGAACGGTGACAGCGGCGCTGATAGGACGTGGTTCGTACAGACTCGCGTCGGCCGGGCGCGCGGGCCGCCAGGCTCCTGGGCCGCGGTGGCCAGGGTGCCCTCGGTTTGGTCAACGTCGACCGTCGTTGCGGAGGCTGCGCCAAGCGCCTGCTAGCTTGGGACGGCGTGCGAGGCCGCTTTCGGTGCTGGTGCCCGACCCTAATGCGTGCCTGGCGGGGCGCGATCGGGCGCGCAGGGCACATTGTACGTGTCGTCTGCGATCACGCATCTCCGTACGCTGCGACTTGCGGCTTGGTAGGGACGTCGCTAGTGCGCGCAGAATCCCGCTCGCGGCTGCTAGCGACCATTTGCTACGTGAGCTCGTCGTTCTTTCCTCAGTGGGCCGACCCGGTAACTAGCAAGTTTTTTCCAGTCCCCCTAGCAAGTCCAGATCACCACCGCCTGCGCCAAGGCCTGCGCGTAGGCCGCCGCCAGATGTGCGCCTGTTGCGCTGGCGAACGCGTGAACGCGCATCGGCGCCATGCCTACGGTTAGTACTTCAACAGTTCTCCGACTCCATTCCCATCAGCTGCCGCCGTACCTCGAACCATTGTTTTTCATCTCATTCTAGTACTATTGTCGCTCGAAGACGGATTCTCCGTCGGTGCCAATGAGCGGATACGCGATCCTGCCCGCCACGCTCAAGCTCAGGATCTCAAGCCACCGCCCCTCTCCTTTGTGCCGGTCACATGTAGTCTTGTACATTTCAGCGCCAGCGAATTAGGATCGCGCTTCTGTCGTACGAGCCCAAACTCCTGGTTGGCCTTGTTTCCGCCGACTCGGGTTCTGACGCGCAATTTTGAAGACGCGTACTCGACGCTGCTGATAGCGCACCGCTAGAAACGATGCATTGTTCTCATCTCGAAGCTGACATTGACATGAAGTATGCCCCGTCCTCACGTTGGCGACGCGTTTGATATAGCGGACAAACAGCGACGTTGTTCTCGGTGGTAACACATCAGCATCGTGCGTGCCATCTTCCTTGTTTATCGCTAGATGTTGATGCACTCGCAATTCATATACCTGACACCATCCCGAATTTGCTGATCGCACACATGCCAGATGTCGCACTGCCGCACGTTCTGATCCATTCGAAGCCTGGCGATGTACACTCGTCGCAAATTCGGTTCGTCAATTCAGCCTCGGTCTTCCATGCAGACGGCAGACTTTGTTGACCCATTCCGTGCGCCCACAACGAATGACAATGTGAGTCGTTGAAATTCTCCATTTACCCGGGCACAAATCGGTCCAAGATAACAATAGTACAATGGCAGAACCCACTCGAAGCGGTGGTCTTCCGTGACCACCAACTCGGATTTGTTGACAGCAGAAAGGCTAGATGTCGCACTATCGCAGGGTAGCAAGTTCTGAGCCATGCGAAGTCTGAGGATGTGATCATCACAAATTCAATTAATGCAATCGAGTCTCGGTGAATACAATCTTCAATGCGGATGCAAACTCCGTTGATTACTCATATGCTCTACCTACAAAAAATTGCGCATTACCGGACCGTGAGTCGCTCAAAATTTGCATTTATCCCAGGTCACAATTAAATCCAGGGCGATTTCACTGTGACAGTACAAGGGCAGACCCTGCTCGAAGTGGTGCTTTTTGTTGATCGCGTGGTACTGACAGTCAAACTGACAGGAACCGCTGTCCTCACGCTGCGGACACAAGCATTTCATATCGCCCTCGGACATGCACGGCGTCGACATCGTCCCATCGCCTGCAGTGCGGTGCTGTAAGTATCAACATCAGCATCGGTGCCGTCCAGCAGCCGTGTTCTTCCGCGAGGGCACAGGCTCACATGTCGCGGTGGGATTTCAAATGACACGAAGTACTTTCGCTCAAGCCGCCTGCGAGGTGAGTGCCCGTGGCCAATCGAATTTTTTTGCGCGCGTCGGCGCTGAAGTGCGGATCCGGGCCAGTGCAGGCACTCCCCAGGTGGCGGTGGATTTTTTTGCGCTGCGGCGCGCCTTGGCGGCGTTACGAGGCTCTCTGCAGGCGGCCCTGTGATTCTAGTGTGCTCGGGAGGTTTTAGAATGCGAACGCGCCGTGGGCTCGGTGTCGTGCGCGCTCGGTACCGGTCGCAATAACCCCTCGCGCGTGCTGGTTTACGAAAGATGTGCCTGTGTCGGATATGATAGAGGGGATACTCATCCATGAGCAGACACTGTGACACTGCATCCTCCGACACAGGCACGAGCATCGCTCGCTGCGCGTGCTGGTTCACAAAAGTCGCTACACCGGCCGGGGCATATAGCCCGCCACCCCCAGAGCTTCGGTGTAACTACAGGCCGTTCTGCGAGAACGTGTGTATGTTTTCGAGATGCTCGGGATCGCGGGCAGTGATTATTGAGCGCGCACGAAGGCGTGTGTGCAGACGAAGTGATGCGATGGCTGGCCATTTGCGCGAGCTTCTCTGACGTGTCTTTTTCGTTTTCTCGTTTTCTGGCGCGGATGGAGTTCTAGAGTTCGCCTGGATCTAATGCGGGATGGGGCTACGGTGTGGTGGTGCGCAGGCTGTGACTCGGAGATGGGCGTGGTCCGTGGGTGGAAGCCTAGGCCGGTGTACGTGGGGCGCGCAGTTGGAGCACCTTACAAACTTTAAAAGAAATTTGTGGTCACTGCGCGCGGTACGGCACGCGCATCATGCATTCGAACGCGGCTTAGACTAGCGTGGGGATAAACGGGCTATGGCAGGGACAATGCAAAAGGGAGCGGGCGCGCTTTGCGGAGCGGTGCCCTGGCCAGTGCTTCTGTGGATCTGTCGCAGAGACAGGATGGGCGGGTGCATGTGCGCCCGACGCGGTGGGACACGACACCGCGGAGCACCGTCGCTGTCGTGCACACTATTGTGTACGCGTCGTGGACAATACTTACTGTGTCTGGCGTCGTTCGCGATAGAACGGCAGATGGAACGTGCTTGCGCGTTGGAGTTGTACGTGATTTCGCTGGGTGCTTATCGTGTATTTGTTCTACCAGCGCGCCACAGAACTTTGTCGGAATGCCGTACTATCGTACCAGACGTCGAGGTGCGCAAACACGAACTCTGCGGTGAAGTTAGGGTTCTAAATTGGCTGTTAATGGCGACTCCAGGACCGGCTCGGCTCGAAGCACAAGTTGACGATCCGCGGGACGCACTTGGGCTTCTCTCGCTCGGGATCGCGCCACTGCGCGACGTGGAGCTCCGAGGACGCCACCCCGCATCGGCGGGTATCTGAGCGGGCACCTGGACTGAGTGGCCGGTCTGTTCTCGCGGGTACGCCACCGGTCACCTATCCCGCCTCCCGCCTCCGGCCCCGCCGCCCCGCCGCTATCAGTGGCGATGTGGCGGGTGCATGTGGCCGGCGTGGCGTGGCCGTTCGCGTCGATCGTCCTCTTTTGTCATCTCTGCTCAGTCTTCGGCCGCATCGGCATGTCCGCTCCCAGTTGAGTGGCCGCTATGAGTGGCCGTTCCAAGTCTCCGTTATCTCGGTTCCCTTTCGTTCCTACTGCCGCCGCGTGCGCTTGCCGGATCACCTGACTTGTCTCCGGTGATTTGATTCAATTTGGACGATAAAGTTAATGTCCCTGAAGTAGTCTTTCGCATCCAGCCGTCTCTTTCCCGCCTGATCCCTTTCATTCTCAGCGCCTCTTCGGTAAGCGTCGGTCCCAGTTCTGTACACTCAACCGGGTCCATTGAGTACTCACCCATGTCCTTCGCCCTTCCCTCCTCCGTTACGTCCAGCCCGCGCAAAATACCTCGAGCACATTGCATGCGCCGTACGTCAATGGCGACGTCTCTATCAATGCTTCATCCTGGCCGCATGGATCCCTTTCTTGCCACTTCCGTCAGCCATTCTAACCGTTTGCGACGTGGTGGGTCTTTATTACAATTGGGTCTCTGACATGATCCAGCTCAATGTACTCCTTCTAACCGCTTACTTGACAGTTCTTTTAAGTATTCGTGCAGTCGACTAGATTTCACAAATACACTCAGTGTATGTCGCCCCATGAAAAAAGCTTTCGAGCAGTGGATCACATTGTTGACTCACGGAGAACACGGTGTGCGTCCTTTTTTTATACGCAGTCAAGGCTGTTTACCCGCTTAACTTGCGGTTTCCGTCATAGTCCCTTAATCTGCTGTGTCACAACCCTCGGTTCGATCAGAACGACATACAGCATCAACGTGAGTGCGAACAGACTGTATTCCGAAGCCTCCCCTTCTCGCGCCTATTACCTCTTCATGCACCATTTCTCCGCCGTCGTTATGCGAAGTGACACTGTCCCCGCTCGTTGGCCATCCACTGACAACGAGCCTGCAAGAGTGACGCAACTGAGCGAACTAGAATACGAAGGGAATAGGTGATGGTAACCTCATCGATACCTCGCCTGATGTGATGAGTGACAGCACATCCCTTACAATTTGGTCGATTGGACGTTCTCCGCCGGCCAGAAGCCCCGCATTAACGCATTTCATTGTCAGAATTTACGGGGCAGCATATACCGTTTGCGCTGGTTCCTCAGTGCCTTGCTTTCTCGCGGCTATGCTAGAATAACGGTTGGATCCACTCCGAGCGCTGTACAATCGTACGTCCTCCACGCACTCAGGGACTTGTGCGTGAATGCACTCCGAGTTTCTAACCCTAGGTCCCCTGACAGCATTCACGCTGCGGACCCAATCGTTCGGATGCTTATTCGAGCACGCAAGGAGATACGGCCGCGTCATGGCCACAGCACTGCGTAGAAACTCGTCGGTAGCCAATGATGCGGACATCCAGTGTCACCTTCTCCCTTCCACTGATGGCGTGGATTCCGCCCAGCTCTGCCTGCAGGTGTGTCTTCATAGAATTGGCGGAAGTTCAAGGCATGATTGTTTGCAAAGCTTGCGTCAGGGTCTCGCTGCACGCATCTCATCACGCAGTTCATTCAGGACAGCGTGATCACACGAACATCGGGCCCTCCATGTCCGCTGTCCCCACACCGTGGCTGGCAGAGCAGTTCCGTGGAATAATCAGTCTCGCATGTGTCACCGTGGGTATTAGTGCGGTCGACGCACCCTGAAGAGGTGCGTCTGTTCTGATCGCGCGAATACGTTCGCTGGGCTGGATCTGACTGCTGACATTGCTAATCCTACTAATCCGGCTGGCGCGTGTACTGCGCGCGGGGTCTGCCCTTCTAACGAAGTCCGCGCGTCGCTGGAATCCTGGTCGCCTGTTCCTTCCAGGACCCTGGATAATCCCCCCAATTTACAAAAATCTGTCCGGCCCTTTTTTGGCCGGTTTAGGGAGTTTTTTGTCCGGAAATAGCGACATCCTCGCTCTGGGGACGTCCATTTTAGGCAATTTGTGGCTATTTTTAGCCTTTTTCGGCTTTTTCCGGCGATTTTCCGGCGATTTTTGCCCCAGAACAGTTCCATGTCCGGATAGTACGACGGCTACATGGTCCTTAGGGGGTCCATTTGTCCGGACATGACGACGGCGTGAGGTCGATTTTCGCAAAAATCTGTCCGGATTTGGCGACGACCTTTGTGGGGATTATCCAGGGTCCTTTCCTTCCCTGCTGCCAAGCTTTCCAGTGGACCTCCTCTTCTGCCGCCGGCTGGTGAAGAACCCGCAGATGCACAAACCTTACCTCCGTCCTCCCTGTGCTTCACGTGCTTATGGGTGTGAGCCTGGGCTCCTGTTGCTCGCTTCTATGCTCATGCACTCTGTCGTCAGCGCGCTCACTTACAGCCGTGCATCGGAGGTGGCTCTGAAGCGCGCCATGTGGTCGTTCTGATTCCACCTCATCACCGACCAGCTTATATCATCGCATTTAACTTCATTGCGATACGGCGTCTTGTCACGACGATCACACGGCTCGCAAACCAGGTGAACCGTCTGTTCTCACGCTGGACAGTTTGCTCTCCTGAATGACCCCCAAGTTGTCTTCGCTCCTGCTGGTGGTCGCGCTTGTCAGGGACTGCTGCCTCACAGCGCTCACTTTACCGCGGTTTGATGGCGTCGGCTGAGCTCCCTATCGAACCGAGACATCCAGCCTGCCAATCATCTCCGTAGCCTTCCATTTCCACGTTGTGGTACTTGTGTCGAGACAAATATATATTTTTCTCATCATGGCTTAGTGGTGAACTTCAGGACGCACGAGTACTGCTAGTTTTCGAATCTGTACAGGTATCGTTTACGTAGGATACGATGTTTTCGACTGGTCTTGCTCAAGCCCGTTTCGTCATAACATGCTGCTCGATTCCCAAACTCGAACATACTGTATGTATAATACAAGATCCCACAGGTATGGGATGGCCGGGGCTGCATGCGAACAATTCTTCTTCTACCATATTATAACCGAAGCAAAAGGAGTGGCCATTTATGCGTACTCGCACATAATAACTGGGTACAAGTATCTGCGCTATCAAGCGACCAAGAAGGTTTAATGGAAAGTAAAAATGAACAAAACGGGCATTAATAAAATGAGTGTAGGAATGTAAGGCAATGCCGAGCAGGGTGTAAGAAACGGATCGAGCGAGTGGGTTAAGTGGAAGGAGAAAAGAACATACGAAAGCAAGCGCGAATAACATAACGCAGCCCTACTATTGGTCATGCGCCCCAACAGATATCCCTGGAACAGCTTTGGCCGACCGTCGCGTGCCAAACCGCGAGAAGAACGAGCCGCCGTCGTGCGACGTTGAGCTGCCTGCACGGGATCGGAAGGACCACGCAGGCGATGCGGGGCGTGGCGGGTGCGCGTCCTGCACCATCGTGTCGAGATGCTGATCTCGCGAGCGTGAGGCGTCACGAGGGGTATGGGTATGGTGATGGTGATGATGAATCTTCCCAGAACGTCCGACTGTGTGCCGCCCATCGCAGCACGCACGCACGTTCTCGAGTCCTTCGAACCCATCGTCCGACATCGTATCGTCGTGCAGCTCAAATTCAACGTCGTCGTCGTCGTCCTGTGGCGCAATTTGCTCATACTCCTTCGTCGGGCTATGCAGGTTGTCATGCCCAGCCCAGCGCAGGTATTCAGCAGCGGGTGTACCGGAGCGCTTGCCCATGGAGCCACCAAGGGAGAGCTGAGACTGACTTCGTTGGCCACGAGGAGTGACGTTCCATGACTCTACGCTTAGAGCGGTCCTACCACTAAGTGCGCTGCGCTGGCTTTGAGGACTCGAGATCCCACGAGGTTGCTGGCTCACGTCATCCGGCAGCTCGCCATTGAGAGACATTGGGCTCAACGGCGCAGGAGCCGCGCCTCCAGGTGAATTGACAGGCGCTGCGCCGGGACGTGACAACAAGTACTTCAATGCCTGTGATTGAAGAGAATGATTAGGTAGACCCAGCGGTTACGAAACGAATCAACACACGTTAATCCAGATATCATGGCGCTCCTTTGTTGGCGCAGTGAACTTCATCTCCCGCTGCGGAGTTGATACAACAACGCTATACTGATATATACCTGGTGGCATGGGGTTAGGATCAAGTACCGCTCTGACATTCTCAATGTAAGCTATATCGTATTGAGCGATCAGTCATCGCACTCCCCTCGACGAGAGATTACTTACCGCTCTTCGCGCTGGACTCAGAGACATTGGACGAGCCTGGATCCGCTGAGCTCCAGTAAAGAGTTCTCGTGTACGGATGCACCCAGAAGAAACGTTTGTGTCTGCTCGAGCCGTGGCCTTTGCCAATAGCGCGGCGTGTGTACTTATACAAGAACTCGCCAATCATTGTCTGCGTGATTGCATGGATGATGGCTGGATCTGTCGAGTTGCCGCTGCGGTCCATACCCATGGTACGATCAGGTGTGGCGGTTGCTGCAGGACGTTTCTGCGAATGCTGCTCGGAGACATGATCCGAGGAGATGGAAGAACGCTGAGACCCCATACTCTGCCGACCAGAAGTCAATGACGTGGAAGAAAGCTCGCGACGCTCTCTTTCCCGGACCCCAAACGACATCGTCGAAGGCGTCGGGCTGGACAGCGGCGCCCGCGCCGCAGCATTAGCGGCAGACCTAAAGCTGCTCGTTGATGGCAGTTGGCGGAGACCTTGAGATGGAGGCATGCTGCCGTGTTGTCGGAATCCAAAGGCACGACTACCAGGCACCGCCAGAGCAGATCCAAACGTCGGCGTCGTTGCACGTTGTATCAATTCTGCGGGCGGCGGGGAGGAGGGACGAGGAGGGGGTATCTCATGTGAGAAGCGCTTCTCGGGTATGAACGGAGGCGGCAACATGGAGTTAGGTGGCGGAGGTTGGCGAGGAGGAGGGGGGAGGAGCATCATCGGCGGGCGAGATTTATCAATTACATTGGGTACGTTAGATGGTGTACGGGACCGGCTGACGAGATCATCCATTACGGACGATAGAGTAGATTCTATCGACTGTCTCCTATCAGAGTGAGACGTACGAGGACGGGAAATGAACGTCGCATTGGACTCTCGGATGCTGGCGTTAGATGAAGGAGCGGAGACAATTGGTAGCGACGTGGTAGTAGGACCGGCAGACGATGGTGGCGAAATGAATTGAAATTGCTGAATGCTCGTTCTCTGCTGTTGACTGGCGTTGCTAACACGGATTAATGCTGGTACAGGAGTAGGTGACGGTGCAGCGGTGGGGGCTGTTGAGACTGACGCTGACATAGGCACTTTGGCAAGCACGGCAACAGGCGCTGGATCAGGATCTGAAGGGGAGGCTAAGGCGGGGAATGATGCAGAAACTGATACAGGGACTGAGGCAGGGACGGCGGACGAGCCTGGCGATGGAATTGGAGAATGGATGTAGGAAGGGCCTAAGGGTTGGCCTGAGGCAAGGGCCGAGGAAGAGCCTGATCCTGATGCAAAGACTGGCGAAGGGACTGTCACCGAGACGGACGGAGGAACCGTTGCGACCGGGGGTGGGCTCCACTCATCTGTCTGGATCGACATCTCCTTCAACTGCGGTTTAGGTTCTGGCTGGGGTTCGGGAGGATGCTCAACCTTCGGTTCCTCGGGTGCAGGTTCCGTGAACTGCAGCTCTTCGAGGATGTCTGCGGAGACCGCCTTGTCTTCGTACATCAGTGCAGGTGTAAAGAATGCGGTTGGTGACATTGGAGATGGTTCCACCATGTCAATGGCAGAAGATGGCGCTGTTATCGCCTGACGACTGGGTAAGCGGGAAGCCTTGATACTCTGATTGTCTTCCTCGTCTTCGCTGGAGAAATCATTGTCTGACACCGTTCTGATTGAGTGGAAATCATCCATAGAATCAGTTGGTGTAGTCAGGGACATGCTCTGTCTGGCGTCCTGGTAATCATCCGCATCAGTTGGCAAGACAGAGCCCGTCTCCGTCTCAGAATCATAATCCAAATCGTGAACGTCATCTACGGACAAGAGCGACGACGCTGGGAGTGCGTGAATGGTGGTGTCGCCACTGGAGTCGCCGAAGGATAAGCTTTGTTCAATTAGCGGAGGGTTATCAACCTGTACCTCGACCTCTGCAATTAACACGGAGGTCTGAACTTCCATTTCCACAGATGTAGGCAGGGGTGTCTGAGTATCCATGTCAACCTTGGCGATATGCACTGATGCTGGCTCGGGAATTGTCTGTGTGTCAACATCAACTACATCCACCGTGGAAGTTTGCACTTGAGCCTGGGCCAAGGTGGGCTGTGGCTGCTCAGGCTCAGGATCGGTGTTGGTACTGCTCGATGCGTATACTTTCTCGGGCACGACGACTTCATGCTGCACGCCCACGTTCAAGAGAATTGGAGAGACCTCCTCGTCTGTCTGGAGTGATACGTCAGACTTGACCGCCTCAGGTAATGGTTCAGGGTCAACCTGAATCGCAATCTCTGTTGTGGCAGGGGAGACGAGGATAGGCGGAGGAGGCGAAGGAGGCGAAGGAGGCGGAGGAAGGACTTCTTCCGGATCAGTCTGGCAGCCGAACTCTGCAGTTTGGATGTCATGAAGAGTCTCTTGTTCGGCGACAAGAGAACCATCCAGAGATGGTTCCATAAGACCGAGCTCGTCTGCGAGAGCCTCTGGTTGGCCAACCAATGAAGGTGGCCGTGTCTCCTGGTATGCTGCCCCACCTCTGGACCGCCGAGGATGAGTCCCTCCTCGCGACGTTCTGGCGAGGACCGACCGATGAAGAGGACTGCCGTTCGACAACACAGAACTTCCGGATGCTGACCGACGGAGGACATTCGCGAACACTGGATCCAATCCATCCACGCTCGTGCGATTCGAGGGTATCGGGGGAGATGGAGAAGCCTGAAGGTCTGGCTCCTCTTCCTCATCTTGTTCGACCTTGTTGGCATTAGACTCGGTCTGAAATGCAGCAGGAAGCGGCGGTACAGGTGGAGGAGAAGATGGTTCATGAAGGTCGTCATCATCGCCGTTGTATTCAGAAGACGGGCTATTGGCAGCCATGCCCAGCCGTTGAATAAGAGTGAGACCAACTTTGCTTCTGCCTCTACCTCTACCGCGACCAGAACGGTAAGGTGTGAGGCGAAGCCTAGGCTTCGGCCGTTCATTCTCTTCTTCGATCTCTTCGACCTCTTCCTCGATGGCATATCCAGGAGACGAATCGAGTTTGCGTTTATACTCGATCCGCAGTTCCTTTTCCCTCTGTAACGCGCCCTTGAGGGTACTGATCTGCCTCTGCGCGTGAGCCAACCGTTGCTGCAACGCCTCGTTTTCATTGCTAGGATGATTGGGAGCCAAGAAGGGCTTCGAAGGAGACGGTTCAGGAGAAGAGTCCCCAAATTCAGAACCAAAGCCTTCGGGTGGAAACAGTGAATTGTCGAACCTCTTCCGGTTGTTGGTCGAGGCGCCGCCTGTAGTGCCGCCAAACACATCGTCCTCATCGGCATTGCTGGGAGTCAAAGCATCCGGGCCAACGGACCCGTTCGGCGTCAATGGGGAGCCCAATCGAGGGAACCTCTTCGCCCTCGCTGCCTCAGCCTTCATTGAATCGAGTGTCTGCTGCAAGTCCGACTTGTCGCGTTGCAAGCTGGCTGCGTGCTTCCGCGAGTGGGCGACCTCGGTCTCGTGCTTGGCTTTGAGCTCGAGGAAAGCATTTTGTTGCCGTTCCGCCTCATTCTTGTGCTGATCAGCAGCCTCGCGAGCACTGGTCAACATCTTCGTAAGACGCTTGTGCTCGCCCTCTAGGCGTTGCACCGCCGCTTGCGAATCAGACAACTGGGTGCGCAGTTCTTGAAGGGAGACCTCAAGGTTCCAGTTCTCCTCTTTGAACTTGTCGGCGGACTGTCCTTGCTGGCGCAGTGTCGTTCGGAGATCCTCCAGGGTTTTCTCAAGATCGTCCTTCTCCTCTTTCATGTCCTGAATTGCCTTGTCCCGTTCTGCAAGCAGGCTCTGGAGCCGACGCACTTCCGTGAGTAAACCACTTCCGATCTCGAAAGCAAACTCTAACAGCAGAATGAGAGATGCTCAGCAAGCTAAGGGAAATGGCACCCACCGACGTCATCTGCACGATGGGCAGCATTCTTGGCGCGACGCGAAGACTGAACAGCGGAGGGCCCTGCAGTGGACGCCTTCGATCGTTCGAGCGAGCGGTCGACCTCGTTACGCGAGATATCCATGTGCCGGGACGCAGGAGATAGCTGCGTGCCGTTCGTGAGTGGCTATATCGCGTTTCTTTCAGCCTGAAGAAGCTACTGTAAGGCGTGGCTGCAACTTGCCTTTTCCCAGAACAGGCTTAAGAGCTGCTCATTCTCCCCGTCCCAAGCTTTAATGGTGTGTGCCAAGTCGCGGAATCGCTCGCGCACACTGACGTCAAGATCGTCGTCGTCGGCGGTCTCACCCTCGAGGTCCATCTCCTGCAACTGTCTGGTTCGTTCCTCGAGTTCCATGCGCTGCGCAAGCAGCTGCTGCCCGAGCGTCCCTGCTTGCTGAAGTTCTTTTTCCTTGTCGTCCAGGAGATTCTGAAGATAAAGGCGCATGTCGCCGGGGGAAGAAAGAGAGGGAATGGGTAAATCAGACATCTTGGTGGCTTCGACACTGTCGTCGCCGTCAGAGAAGGTGGGCATCGTTGGCTTTGACGCAGCCAACGTGCGGCGGTTGCAGAGCGTCCTCTCTGCACGCGTCCCGCGTCCCAATCCTGTCACGCCGTCGCCTTCAACTTGTCACGTCACGATTGCCTTTCTGGTCACCGCGAGTCGATCATCACTTGTTGTCATCCTCGACCACGACCACGACCACGACACCGCTGACCATGTCCTCCGCGAACGAAGAAGACGGGAGCCCGTACGAGTTGCTCGGGGTCACCCTGGAGTCCACAGAACAGGATATCCGTACTGCTTACCGCCAGCGCTCGCTCAAGGTCCACCCAGACAGAGTATGTGCTTACCCTTCTCATGTGTTCATTTCGGTCTTGAACGTTGCTCTCTGACCCAAGTCTCCTTGACAAGAATCGAGGTAATCCAGATGCAGGTATGGTCTTCTCCCTAGGCCTGCCCCCCAAATCTCGCTCACATTGCACTCCCTCAGCACGCAAGTTCCATGAACTCAACCAAGCGTATGAACTCCTCCTCGACCCGTTGCGCCGCATGGCGCTCGATGCAAAGATGCGCATCAAAGAAGCACGCAAGGCCCGGTTTGCCAATTACGATGCGAAACGCAAGGGCCTCGTCGAGGAGCTCGAAGAACGCGAGCGGGCGCTCAAGAAGGTGCGTGTGGAGAAGGAACAGGAGCAGAACCAGCTTTGGAAAGAGAACGAGCGCATCATGGAGGAGGGTAGAAAGATTCGTGAGGAGCGTGAGAAAGAGCTGAGAAAGAAGGAGCTGGAGAGAGAAGAGACGGAGCGGAACGCTAGAGCCTGTTTAGAGCCTCCTGAGTTAGGTGTGTTATCTCTCCATTCCATTCGACCTGTTCTTGACTCCCTATCAATGTCCAGGCTCCCGCGACACAACTGTCAGGTTGAAATACCCCCTCTCCGCACGTTCATCCCTCACCACTCCCAATACCATCAGCGCCCTTCTATCTCCCTTTGGTGCTGTTGACGAAGAGTTAATCCTTATGTCACTGAAACCCTCGCCGCCCAAAAAGCCAAAACGGGCAACAGTGCTCGTCCCGTTTCGTCAGATCGGTGGTGCTTTCGCGGCGGTATGCGCCAGTGGTCGCGCCGAGCGTGGACTTGCAGATATTGAAATAGATTGGGCAGATGGAAAAGAACCAGAATTAATTGGGTGGCTGAAGAGAATGGGCAAATTGGGCGGTGGGCAAGCAGAGCGTCCAGATTCGATGAAGCACCATATCTCGCCTGCCCTGACGGCATCCACATTCAGATCCACTCCAGCTACAAGTAAAGACAAGTTGATCCCACCAACGTCCTCATCATTCACAACATTTCCTTCCACTTTCGTGCGTCTTCACACTCTCTCCTTCATATACATTCCATTGATGATGGCCTGCGCAAGCCTGACCTTGATGCTGCGCCTCCGATGCCTTCCTCTGCCAACTTAGGCAGCACGGCAGGGCTAGATTACGAATCTCTTACCCTCATGCGACTCCGTCAAGCTGAACGCGAAAGACTGGAACGAGAGATCAGGGAGCGCGAAGCGGAAGAATGACGAAATATTGTGTACAGCCGTTCCAGTTCTTGCCCTCCATTGCTAGTACACCTGTTTATGGATTAACTCGCCGTGAAATCTGTACGTTGCATTTTAACTGCGAGTATTAGTTTTGCCGCGAGAGCCGAGACTCTGCTTCAGCCTTCATAACTCACGATGACGCATCCATGCACACCAGCTCACCGAAACTCTGTTCTGAAGTCGCGCACCTTTTTTTTCTCAGGTCACGCGAAGATATGAAGACGATGAGCAAGAGAATGAAGATCAGTGATATACAATTGTTGTAAGAATATACAGATACATTCTGCTTTTTTCCATCCAAAGCACAAATTCGAACGTGTGATGTCCACTAAGCCTTGGCTCGCGCATTCACCCAGTACGACCCATGCGGCCACTCGAATTCGGCGATACTTGTCTGGTGCATTTCGATGCTATCGCAAGGAACACGTCAGCGATCTTGACCCTTCAATAACATGGATGATGGGGATTACCTGTAGCCCTCCACTGGGTTGCTGGGAACGTTGTACCGCCCGTTTTTGTTGATGGAGCAAGGATAGAGGAAGTGCTCGTGCAAGTGGTCGACGAATTCAAGTACATTACGTTCCATTGTGCCGGAAATGGCGATGTAGTCGATGAGACTGCTCATTTAACGTCGTCAGACCAGTTCGAGATACGAGGTCCGCTATCCTGACCTTAGGTGGATCACATATTCACAGAGACCGACACCTCCTGCATGGGGACACACGGGCACACCAAACCTGTCAGCAGTCTCGTCAGCACTCGCGGCAGCAGCAAGCAGAAGAAACACACTTAGCCGCCATTAGCAGCACGCTTAACACCTCGCTGACACCGCCGAGACGACACGAGTCGATCTGACATACGTCGATGGCCTCAGCCTGCAATAATTGCTTGAATACCATGCGATTGTGCGCGTGTTCACCGGTGGCTACGCCAATACCATACGGCTTCAGCGCCTTGCGAATTGCAGCGTGACCAAGAATGTCGTCGGGCGCAGTGGGTTCCTCGATGAACCTATAGAGCGGTCAGTCTATGTATTGTATTGGTCTTACCTAGCTTACCATGGCTTAATCTCAGCTAGGCTCTTCACGTAGTCTATGGCTTGCGGGACGTCCCATACTTGGTTCGCATCGATCATGAGCACACTACCTGTGGGCCCCGCATTTTTGCCCACCAGCTCTGGGCTGTTCGGATCGCGGGCCTTGTGGCCTGAGGGGAGGTACTGTGGATCATCGATGATAGACCGCATGATTTTCCCTCTCCGCAGGTCCGAGTCACGATCTGCGCCAACCTTCATCTTGAAGTGGTTGAAACCGGCCTCAACAGCCTCCTTGGTGAGACGCGCGACCTTCTCATCGCTGTATCCCAGCCATCCGGCCGATGTGACGTATGCGGGATACCCAAGCTCTTTGACTCTGGCCTCCCGCTCCGCCTTCGTCGCAGCTTTGGCCTTAAGCATTTCCAAAGCTTCCTCACGCGTGATCGCGTCCGTGATGTATCGGAATGCAGTGGCGTTGACGAGCTCCTCCTGTAGCATATATTAGGCACCGTACTACTAGAGGAGGTAATGAGACGTACGGGAGTCATGTCTACGACCAATTTCCAAAGTGGCTTCCCGCGAGCGCGGGCGTACATGTCCCAAAGTGCGTTGCCTACTGCACCCAGTGCGATATGAATCACACCTTTCTCAGGGCCGATCCTACATCGACAGAGATGGTGGACGACCCAGGCCCATACATAAGGACAAAACATACCATCGTAGCTGCGAATCAGCCGAGAGATAATCCCACGTCATTCCCATGTTGGCAAAGAGTTCCTCAACCTCCTTGCCAAGTAGACGGTTCGCCAGTTCCTTGATTGCCATGCAGACGATATCGTTCCCTCTACCGATGGTAAAGGTCAAACCGTACCCGGTGAGATCCGTCGAAGTAAAGAGTTTGACATAGGCAGCAGAATAGTCGCAGTCCGTGTTCATGGCATCCGTTCCATCTCCGGTCAAGGAGGTCGGGAACCTGATGTCTGCAGGGCGCTGGTTAGTATGGAACGCAGTACGTGGAAGCTCACAATTACCATGAGTTTCGTACCCTGTAATCTTGACAGCCATGTTGGCTGGGGAAGGGGAGAGCGAAGAGTCGAACCGGGGAAGCACCCATGGTCAGGAGTGGATGTACTTATAGGTCTGGAGGAGAGCAAGGTCGGTCTGCCGGTCCGGCCGGGCCGCTGCGAGTTGCGGTTCACAAATATTGCAAGTACTCCTACTGTGCACCCGGGGTGTGTGTCCACAGTACTACGTCCGCTCTACCTATGGTCGCACAAGTAATATATCGCCCACAATGCTCAGAATATTTCCCGGTGCGGAAGACGGGACCCGCTATTCACTCACTAGATCAAGTCTCGGTCTTCCGAAGTACTCACCTGATCCTAGGCTGAGTTCCCTCTGCTCCTAATGCCGTCCATTTCGTTGGCATTCCGGTATCAATCCAGGGTTTTCATCGTCTCCAGGGTCGCAGGCGCGTCCGCCCGAACATCTCCCGCGCAATCTGGATACGAGCGTCGGTCGTCCGACTTCAATTGCTCTCAAAAACAGACAATGTGATCGATATTACTTCCAACATAAGTGCAGAATATATGTCTCAAGAGTCGCTCGTTTTGACCGTAGCTTGTGCCAGTAATCTTGTGCACAGACTCGGAGGTTTACGTCAGACCTGAGCGGCGTAAGCCCTGGGCCTAAACGCAAACATCCATTTGCGACCCCACGCGACGACCTCGTCTTCCCCCCACGCGAATCTGAGCTTCTCCATGCCGAAACACCATTCTCGATGTTCTGTCCGGACGCCTAATTAATCCCATACCTTTTATTCCATATATAGCTGCGACGTACTGGCCATCAGGGTGTAACGCGGATCCTCGAAGTTGATGATGGACGGAAGGGGAGACTGCAGATGAGATGAGACGATCCCAAGGACCAGATCCTGCTGTCACGTTGAGTGAGCTCTTTGCAACCGGGTGCGTGACGTACGTACTGCTATGTCGTGCTGAGCCTTGAAGTACGATGCGATAGTATCTACTGTCTCAGGCCTATGGAGATCAATTAGGGCGAACGATATGCATGCCAAATGATACCCACCCGTCCGATTTGACAGTCACTTGAACGACGTGAGGGACAGACGTGGGTCCGTCGTCCGGGTCCAAGAAGATGATCACCGTATCGTTGAGTGGTAGGAGAATGCGCGACATACTCATGCTTGAACTCGTTATAAAGTATTAATGTTGACGGTCACGGGAAGAGCGAGACTTGGTGGCTCGCTCTTTGTGCCACCGTCGTCAGTCGGCTGACGTCCCTCGACCTGCCATGGAAGTGTTCTTGAAAGCTACTATATTTGGCTCTGCGATGTCTTCTTTGGGAACCACAGGCGGCCCGAAGATTCTTCAGCCACAGCCCATAAATACTTCCCTCTAGGCTCTGTTCGATTTGCAATTGCTGTGCACAGCCTCCCAAGCACGTGAAAAGATAACGGTGATTGAAGCACAAGTGGATAGTAAAACATCGGATACATATGTGCACCTACACGAGAACAGCTCTGATTGCTGTAGTAAATCAAGTCCGTTGGTACAACGATAGGCTGTGGGAAGGCTGTTGAACGATATATTGACTGTGCACATGACCAGGCGTACTCACGAAACATCGCATGAAAATTCAGTCGCGGTAATAACCCGTGTCTCCTCCATCGGCCGCCACTCATCAGATCACGCGAACCGTGTGCACAACGGAGCGCAGCTGCTCCAGCACTTCCTCATCAAGCCCCTCACAGTGGGCAATCTTCAGAAAGCAGATGCCATTTGCATCTGATATTGCTGTATCACGCCGTGCACGGACGACACGGAGTAATTCGTGTCCTGTGATCTCCCCGCATTGTTGCACACATAGAGCGCGGAGCTGCGGCAAGATCCACGCGCCCGTCGTAGCAGGACCTGCCGCAAGAAGCTCGAAAAATTGCATACTGAGGGGGCCGAGGCGAGGCGAGGATAATGACAATGCAGTCAGCTGTGGTAGCTGATGCAAGGCACGTACGAAAGACACGAGCGCTGTCCCATCGATGTTGCATGCGCGCAAATCCAGCTGCCGGAGTGAGGGTGAACGTGAACGTAAAGCAGATGACATGCACGACAACCAGTGCATATTTTCGTCCGAGGACGGTTCCATGTTCACCGAAAGTCGAGTCAACGCCGGAAGGGAGGTCGATTCTAGAAAGAGTGCAATATTTGGCGAATCTACGAGATAGAAAGAGAGAACCCTGAGCGATGGGATGATAGTCACAGCTGGGTCACTCTGGAATACTTCCTCGTTCCCCTCAACGAGGAATGCGACCGATTGAAACCGCACCTCTTCTATTGTGGGTGTCGCGCGTAAGGTGGTAACCAGATCCTTGAAGAAAATACCAAACCGGCCATTGTGACCGCGACGATCACGATATTGCAGGTCGCGCATCAGGTACAACCGACGAAGTGCAGAAAAGTGGCACTGGTAGATGCATGCCAGTGGAATATGTTCCAAGACAATCGACTTCAAGCGAGAACACTCTGGCGCAAGGAGTGTCCGGTAGGGCATCGATTCCAGGAGATTAGATCCGTGGATCCGCAGATGCAGCATTTCCAACGACGGTCCAAGATCTGCCAGGTACTCGCGCATGGATGATACGAAATCCCAGCTCGGTGAGGAAAGACGGAATGAAAAGCACCTGGCGAAGTGCGGCCTGAGCTCTACCATCACCTCCTGTAGCTCCTCAAAATCCAAGTAATTCTGGTCGATGTCGATTAGCAACTTGCACATCTGTGCACGTGCCAGGAATACGCGCAATTTGCACACGAAGGATGGAATATTCCAGGGGCTTTTCAAAATGATGTACGTCCATAAGGAAGGTGTTGCAAGTGCTAGTTCACGCCAATGACGGCAAACCAGAGAGAGCACGGTCAGGAGTTCTGGGACATCATGGACCCCAAACTCGAATATGCGGGACATGATCTCCGCAGGGAGGCGGTATATTAGGGCCCGACTTGCGAGGATATGGGCCTTCTTCATTCTGAGGCGTGCAAGCTCAGCCTCCAGCTCAGCCAGACATCTGTCTATCTCGACAACATCTGGTGGAGTGATTCGTGGGTCGCTGGAGCAGATACCAGCTTCAGATGAGCTGGAATCGTTGCAAGCTGAATTACTCACATGCTTCTAGGATCAGGAAATTCTTCATCGGATCCTGCAGACGATACTCCATCGTCAAGTAAGTCGTCCCATACACCAAGGTCCTCAAATGATAGGGCTTCATCCATGATAGTAGACGAATGAAGGGAAGGGGAGACCACGTAAATCGGTAAAATGTTGCACAGCTACCAGCAAGGTAAGGTTTACCAGGAACGTCGAGCGCCGTATCGGGTGCGCAGTTATGGTCAGGCAACAATCTGCGGTCTTTCCGCACGGAACGAGCCCAATGAAATTAGCAAGCCGGGGGTTCACACAACCTGGTTGTGGTCTGCAAGTCCTTCACTCCGAATCATGCAGAGTGTGATACTCCGCTTCAACCTTCAACCTTCAAGCTTCAACGTTTAAACCTCCGTGCCCTTGCGGTACTTATCCACGGCGCCAGCCTTGACATGTTCTCAGCGGATTGAAGGCGACTTGAATTTCAAATTGAAAGTAACAGCCTCGCGTCCATTCTGCATCATAGCAGCTACATAACGACAGATTACCCTGGCCTACATCATACCACATAGTATACTGTACTACCATTTCGATCCCTTTGATGATGCGGGACGGCCTGGTAGCAATGATGAAGACCTCGAGCTTTACCGGTACCACCGTGACTGTATGCGCGTAGCAGTACTAGTAGTAGGCGCGCGAAGGCAAGAAAAATTGCTATATCGATGATGCAGTCAAGGGGCTGCAAGTCGACGAACCTTCCCATTCTCCCGATCGCGACGGCAATTCATTCACTCCACAAATTTGTGGCAAGTTAGAGACACCCACATGGCTGAATCAAACTTCACCTGTGGATCTGTCACCCTGAGCCGCAGCCCTCTGCATCTGCGTCTTCACCCGAGGACTCGCCGTCTGACGCAATTCCCCTTCTCGGGTACCCACCTCACGTCCTATGTATCCGATTCCAACGCCCATCATTACACATGTCGCACAACGATGCATTCCGCCGGCCGTCCGTCCCCAATTTTCATAGCAACGTCCCTGTTGCTAACTACACATCGCCTCACCGTATTCGCATTATTCTCCACTGACATCGGCACACGACCGCGGCGACACGCACAACTCCCCATGTGCCGAGCCCGGCGGATTCCTGTCCCGCCAGCGCTCCGTACACACGTCACTCACTTGCTGTGACTCACATGGAGCGTCTCCCCAGGCATCCGTAGGCAAACAAAGTGATACAACGCAATACGGAGCTGGTATACGGCAACTGTGGCGCGCACATACTTGTTGGACGGCGGCCGAGCGCGCATATGTGCGCGACGTCGGTGCCCCCTCCCGGTCCCTTGCCCGTGCCCGACTGCTCTTTTGGGGCACCTTACCTGGGGGAGCAGCCGCCAACACCCCCACAGCCTGCGTAGCCACCCACCGTGCGTATGCGCTGGAGTCGAGCAGGGATGGGTCGTGCGAGGAGGATGAGTACGACGCGTATGAACACGGTGTACGGCTCCTGCCTGCGTAACCGTACGAGTTTGGCGCACATCCGAGTGGGCCGATTGCGCGCTTCGTCAGCATGGCGAGTGTAGGTGGGAGTGAGTTGAGCTTGTAGGGAATAACAACCACTGGCTAGTCTCCCAAAGGCAGACTGACACTCTGCTTCAACCTTCGTTCCTCAGGATATCCGTGTCTGGCGTCTGCTATCATTAAGGTGGTCCTTATCGGTAGGTTGGGTATTTTCATCTCCGCAAATCACGTGCACGCGACGCGTCAAAACGCGTTCTCATCTACCCATGCAAGTCTCGCGTTTCTGCCGCATCCTCATAGCTCTCTGGTGCACAGGACATTCTCCTGTTATGTACTGTCTGTAGACTGAATGTATTTTCAGAAAATCCATGCCTCAGAGCCCTCAGAACAGCTAAATCCACTAGTACTGTATTTTAGGTGGGGGATATCAATATGCCGCACAGTTTACAACCATGGTAGTGGTAGCCAGAGTGACTCCCAATTAGTCTTCTGGATTTCTTCAACAGTCTTATGCTAGAAGGAGGAACAAAATTATTGGGATGTGACAGTGTCCAAGTTCAAGCCAGAACTTTCACAACCCATCCTCAGTAGTTGCTTCTCTTGTTTAGATGTGCTTCTTTTGCTTGTCTCCTACAGCTTAAAAGGCATGCCATTTGACTGAGATATCTCGAATGTAACAACGACCGCTTCCCTGGAGTATGTAGTATCTGCGCACCGTGAGCTTGCGGCGAGCGCTTGTTCTCTTATTTCCAGCTCCGACTCATTCTCTTGCAGGCGAGTTGATCGGTCACGCAATTCTTTCCCTGAAAGTCCAAGCTCCGAACGAAATTGGGGACCTACCGATAAGCCCCCCGCGTTAAAAACTAGACTACCACTGGCTGAGATAGGCGCCTGCCGCTCCTGCATTAACGACCATGGTAAGAATCTCGGTATGAAACCATGTGCATATAAGAGCGGCCTAGCTAGCAGAGCTCATACATAAATCATCCACGCTCCACTGGTAACTCTCCAGTTCGTGTCGATGTTTCTTGTTCTGCCGCTGGAAGAGCTTCTTCTCGCAATGATCTGTGTGAGACAGTATATGATGATTCCAAACTGATTTGGAGGTGGTGGCGGACCTGTGTACGCCGGTTTTCTTGGACTTTACCATCTGTTCTTCTGCAAGGTAATTAGTAACTGCTGGACACGTTAAGTGATATTTAACGGTGCGGACTCACTGTCAAGAAGGCTTCTGCAGGGTCGTTCCACCGATCTTGTGCTTTGAGGTCTTCATTGAGTTCCACATCGTCGCGGCTCCTCGCAAACACAGCCTCCTCTTTCGTTTCTTCGCGTCTTCCCGCTGTACGACACCCTTTCCCCCATCCTGCTCCTCTCTCTCACGCCTTTTCCGCGTCGCTTCAGCACGCTCTGCGCTCTTGTCTACACGTCCGGAAGTATCGCGTCTCCTGCGCTGCCTCGCGTCGTCGCAGTGGCCGGGGCGCGCTTGGGTAGTGATTTATTGAGCTGCGCGGGCGTGAGCAGACCACCCTTGAACGTCTGCTCTTGTACGATTTGCGGTTGCTCGTCAGCCTCTCTCGCCCTCGCGCACAGTGGCCCAGCCCGAGTCCGTGTCAGTGCGCTGCCGCTTCTTGAAGCCACGATCTGAAGCTACCACAGGCTCAGTCACATCGTCTTCGCCGACGTCTTCCCTGTCATTATCCCATCCGAGGACGTCGTCGTCGTTGATTATGGAAGGACCGCAGACGAAGCCTTGCGCAAGTCCGCGGCTCTGTGCGGCGATTTCGACTTTGATCGAGTGCATTCCGAGTCGGTCACAGGGCCGGCTCCGAGTGCTCTGCCCAACGCGGACAGCGGTAGTACCATGAGGCGTTCAGCCTGAGTTTCAAAGGGTCGACGTGCGACTTGATAGAAGTCTGCGGGGTGGTCTACAATGCGCTCTTCTGGGTTCTGTGTCCTGCCTAGGCCTCGCTGTGGCGGCGCTGTGGTCGTCGTCGGGTAGTGCCGGTGCGCGTCATCGGATCTATTTAGGATCTTCCGCGTGGGGAAAGCCGGCGGGATCTGGATCGTGTGAGAAAGATGGGATCGGGGTATCGTGCCACGTGTGGGAAATCGAGTGCCAGGGCCCTGCAGACGCGTTCCGCTCTCTCATAAGTAAGCGGCTGCCCTCTTCTCCATCTCAACTTCCCCCATCATCTCCACCCACGATGTCCTCCTCCATCTACAACGTACGTCTCCCCTTCGTCTTCCTCCTCGTGCTCGTCTTCACAGCGAGCTCACACTCACTCCCGTCGTAATCCCCAGCATAAACACCTTCAGCCCACAGGCGCTTCTACCCAGGGTCCCTCCCAGCAACAGCACACGCAAGCCAGGCTCAATGAATGCTTCGACACCATCCGCGCAGAATTCGACGTCGTTGCCCAGGAGCTTGGCGTTCTCCGTGGTCAGCGCGATGATCTCGACAACAAGGGTGCGCGCCTTCTATCTCCGAGTTGCGTTCCCCATCACTCACTTCTTCCGTCCAGTTACAGGTCAGGTGAATGAGCTGAATATAATCCGCCAGTCCCTCTACGAGCTCGAGACTTCGCACGGCAAGATTCGACAGCAGTACGAGGACGAAATTCGCGCGCTCCGCCAGGAGCTCCAAGCTCTACGACATCAAGGCCGCGAGCGCGAGACTCTTGGCCTTGCTTCCCTTGGCCGCGATCGAGAACGGGAACGGGACCGCGAACGCGACAGAGATAGAGACCGCGATCGCGAGCGGGACAGAGACATCGGAATGGGTCCTGGTATGCGTGGTGAAGCGCTCGGTAGAGACGCGCTCGGTCTCGGTCGTCCTTCGATGGGTGTCAGTACTGGTCCAACTCCCGGTCCGGGTGGCGAAGGAATGGGAGCACTGGCCCTAACCCCACATGCGGGTCCGGTAGGTCTTGGCGTGGGTGCGGGTCCAGGTAGTGGTGGCGGTGCGGGGTATGTGGATCCTTTCTATGGGGGCAGAGATAGGGACAGAGAGAGAGACCGGGAGCGCGAGCGTGAAAGGGCTGCTGAAAGGGGGGACCGAGAGCGGGATCGAGAGCGGGATACGAGGGACGTGAAAAGGATAAAAACTGAGCGTATGAAGCCTGACAGGCCTGGTGGTGCGTAATTTTCCATTCGGTTTGTTGTCCCTGCCTTCTCTCCTGCAATTCCATTGCACTTTGTTCAGTTTCCGTTATCGGCTTCTGACCGCAATTTCTTGTTCTTGTTTCACGGAGAGCAGATCCTTTCTCTCCTTCCCAGAATCCGCTTCCCCACCACCATCCACATCAATCCATCACCCTCGGTTCCTCAATACCTTCATCCGGGCCTAATGCCAATGGCCTCACTGCCTCTACACCCACTACGTCCCCAAATGTATCAACCAATCCAAACGCGATTACAAACGCGAACGGCTCTACCTCAAGTGCGAACTTGAACGGTCCCGGCACGAACAATGGCCTTCTTAGCGCGACACCGAAGCTTCCGCCTACGCCTGGCGTGGGCATTGCCACCGGCGTATCGCTTCCGCCGCCTCCGTACGCTGGACAGTCTCAGTCAGCGGGCGTTGTACAACAAAATCAGCAACCTGGGCAGGAGGGTCAAAACGCGCAGGCCAGTACGAACGGTGAGCTCCACTGCATCATTCTCATTGATCGTACCATCTGCCTGTGTTGCGTTGTATATCGCTACAATACGTCTGTCACAACATACTCTCGGACGTTGAGGTGTACTTTGCAACACAACATATTACATCTTCCAAGTTACCAATACTACTACGCCTCTTGTTTGTTCACTTTCTAGACGCTAGATGGACCAAGTTCTTGTACTTCATCTCTATACATACTAAATTTTTCCCACAGGAAGTGCCCCATCATCAACCTCAGTGATTGACCATTCATCGGGAGGCCCGACATCAGCGCCTGTCGACCTCAGCCTGGACCCGGTCAACGTACCGTCAGAACTCAAGAAGGAGGGCACAGACTGGTTCGCGGTGTTCAACCCGCACGCAGCAAAAGACACTGCGGGCGGCAAGAAGCGTGCGTTGGACGTTGCACTGCTGCATAACCTTTCACACGAGAGGTGCGTTGCCTTGACCTGTAGTATGCACGTGAATGCGGCATGAGTTTATGCCCATGCTCATCGGAGTTATCGGCCCCTCATGGCGTGTCTCTTGCGTTGCTACGCCTTGATTGCATGTTCGCAGTGCTGACGCTGCTGTGCTAGTGTTGTTTGTTGTGTGCGTTTCTCGGCGGATGGCAAGTACCTTGCAACAGGATGCAACCGAACGGCTCAAATCTACGACACGAAAACTGGTCAGAAAACCTGGTGTGTTCCCAAGCTTTCTAATCTCCTCCTTGGTCTCATGGTAGGGATCTTTTTGACTCCGTGTAGTGTGCTCGTCGACGAAGCTGCAAGCAAAACCGGTGACCTATACATTCGCAGCGTATGCTTCAGCCCAGATGGAAAGCTACTTGCTACTGGAGCTGAGGATAAGCTTATTAGGGTGAGAGCGCATTCTTCACATCCAGTTTATCGTCTGCGGATACTGGGTGCTTCTTCCTGTTGACTTGTTTTCTAGATTTGGGACATCGCGAAGAAGCGCATTCGCACTGTGTACGATGGTCATCAGCAGGAAATCTATTCATTGGATTTTTCCAGGGATGGCCGACTAATTGTGTCCGGTTCTGGCGATAAGACGGCACGTATATGGGACATGGCAGATGGAAGCACAAGCAAGATCTGTGAGTCACGTCGCTTTACTCTATTCTAGGGTGTGCTGTTAAAACTAGCCGATGCAGTAACTATCAATGAGCCGGACTCCATCGATGCGGGCGTAACATCCGTCTGCATCTCACCTGATGGTCGCCTCGTCGCCGCGGGTTCGCTTGATACCATCGTGCGCATCTGGGACGTGCAAACGGGAGCACTTGTTGAGCGACTGAAGGGCCATCGAGATAGTGTCTACAGCGTCGCGTTCACGCCAGATGGCAAGGGACTTGTCAGCGGCAGTCTTGACAAGACGCTCAAGTACTGGGACGTCCGTCCAATCTTGCGCAGAGATAGCTCAGCCGGTGCTGTCATTACACAATCGAGTGCGAAGAATGGCATAAAGGACGGGGGCGACAAGGGCAGCCAGTGCACGATGAACTTCACAGGCCATAAGGTACCAATTTTTCTTCATCTGGCTGATGTTCCTCATTTGCATCGGATGTAGGACTACGTACTTTCAGTTGCGGTATCGCACGACGGGCAGTGGATCGTGTCCGGTTCGAAAGATCGAGGTGTGCAATTTTGGGATGCGAAGACCGCTGTCGTGCAATGCATGCTGCAAGGTCACAAGAACTCAGGTGAGTTCCAATATGCTATTTCGTTTGGCACTGCAGCTGGACCACCTCTACTTTAGTTATCTCCATCGACCTCAGTCCAGCAGGGAGCATTCTCGCAACAGGTAGCGGGGACTGGCAGGCTCGAATATGTAGGACTTGTTTCATCGTGCGCGGTCAGATCTCATTCGTTGCTCACATCTGTTTGTTTCAGGGAGCTATACAGCATTGTGATAATTTCTCATGCTGGATGACAACACTTCGGGATCTCAGCTGTTTTCGCCGTCTTGTTTACCTTTGTGGCTATGCTAATGTCACCAAGGTTTTCTGTGTTCACATGATCTACAACTCGACATTCATGTTCTGTGTTGGCGAAAGCTCTAGATGCAATATACTCTGATGGACACACGATCAGTTTGTACCTAATGTTATAAGACCGGGTGAAAAATTCGGAAGGATATGAGACTCGTGCATGTTACAAAGTCTCATCGTACCTCATCTGCTCCATCCAATTTTGCTGATCATAATACCAAGACCATTTCCGAGGCTTGGGCGATCCAATCTTACTGATCAGATTGGTGTTACTTTGTAATGCCGGCTTCAAACCGGTAGTTAGGAACCGTTTCTCAACAACCGGGACATGGTTACAAGCCTGAGCCTCAGAGGGTGTCGAACTTAACATGTACCTGTGGGATCTGAATATTCCAGTCACTATTAGTGCGAAGTGGCGATGTCACTCAAGTATGTTAGTTGTCGGATCGATCGGAGAAAATCATGTTGTTCAGGGCTGTTTGTACAGGGTCTTCCTCCCCTCCAGATTTCTGACTCTGAACTAATCAACTGGATGTCACAGAAATCCGACACTATCGCCCAGCTCATCCACCAAGTGAAAGATCTATTGATAAATCCAGTACAAATACAAGCTGGCGACTATTGGCGACGACGAAGCAGATGCGATATCCAATGGGGCTTTCACCGCGTGAACCACGCCTCGCTGACATACCTACCCTCTGGTCCGTGAACTTCATATCCCACCCCGAACTGCGTCACTTCTGCACCCTCGAACACAAACTTGTACACCAGTTTGGATACTTCTTTCTCAGTCGCCGCCGCTTCCCAGTGTTCCAGCGCGTTATGCTCTACGAACCATGTGATGTCTTGCTCCTGCAGAGGCCCAGGCCGCCTGAACGACACGCGAGAGATATCGTGAAGCCAATCCTCTACCTCTCCCTGCTCTGGAGGCCCGTCGTAATCATCGGACGTGACGCCCCAAACCGAGATCGTGTCAGAAGGGGGAGAATATCGATACACGTACTTCCTGTGCAAATCGGACTTCTTCCCGGACGTGGAGACAAATACGCCGTGTTCGTGATACAAGTACTCCCGCATACCCAGCTCTGCTGTCGAATATCCTGAGGGTAAGGCGGAAGGCGGGCGCATGTGGAACATGGCGAAGCCCTCAAACTGTCCGTTCAGCTCTTTCTGCATTGCGCCGTGGACTCGGCGATTGACCTTCCAGTGACCTGCCCAGGAGCGGAACACTGCACCAGGAATCCACGCTCCATCACTCGAAAGTGCATCCGCATGCTGAACGTCGCGCATGATCTTCTCCACGTCTTCATTCTCCTGAAGCGGGTAATTCGCCGCGACGATATGGTCCTCGTCGGAGTAAGGGATATCAAGAAGAGCAGCGTAGCTTTCGAACAGGCCCGCGTAGTCGCCGTGAGGGAACTGGATCCCTGTCTGACGGGCCGCTTCCCGTACGCTCTTCTCGATCTCCACGCCCTTCCTCATCTCCTCCTCTGACGGCCAGCTCTTCTCCCCAGAGAAGATAGCAGCTAGATATCGCGCCTGGATCTCGATCACTCCGTAGTAGGACCCTCTATAGACCCCCACAAACCCAGCCTTCGGGAGGTCAGGATGAAGCACGAGGCGATGAGTGAGGAACGGAACACTGTGGTTGTCATGCTGATAGCTTATTGCTTCCAAAGCACTAGGCGTAAGGTAAGGGAACGAGACGCTGTAACCAGTGCAGAGAATGACAAAGTCCGGGGAATAAATTCGTTCTCCATTGGATAGTACCAATGCACCCGCCTCGGGATCGATCGACTCCAACCTCGCAAGGTACGTTTTCACGACATTTGTCTGGATCCCGCCTCTGTAGAGTTCTGAAAAGCCAACCTGAGGAGGAGTGCTTGTGTCGAAGTTAAAATTGGGGAGGATATTCTTGGGAAACAATGATGCGAAGTAACTATGTTTCTTGCGATTGTCCTCAGGTGTAGGGTTTATCAGCTCCCTTCTGCGGCCATCCAAGTACGCCCGTCTGTACGAGTCGAGGTCCCACGGCGCGAAGCGGGGAATTTCGGAGTTCTCAGAGGTCGTCGGCACAAAGAGAGGGTTGACGTAGAATGGCGCTGGGGTGATGTGGTGGATCTTCGCAGCATACGGGGACAAAGCACCGGCAATCTCGACCGCAGATAGAGATCCGCCCACGACCGCGACGCTCTTGCCTCTGTACGCATCGGGGTCTCGGAAGACGGCAGAGTGTTCGACGGGAAATGGAGATGCATCGAGACCAGGAAGCGCAGGTATGTATGGGTTCGAGAAGAACCCAGTCGCAGTAATCAGGTAATCGAAGGCTTCCTCGGGCTGCGGGGTTTCATTTCCATCGTGCACAACAGTGCTGTTCAAAGCCCATTTGCCATCGCGCAGGTCGACCTTGGTGACTTTCGTATTCATCCTCACGTCCCCATCGCGTAGGTATCGCTGAGCGTATACGTTGAGGAAGTTTCCCATGTCCCCAGAGTACCGAAAGAGGTCTTTCCTCTTGGGGCCAGCATCGGCAGGCCATGGAACGTCCGAGTACAGGCAGGTATGACGACAGATGTTGGTCGTCATAAGCGGGCGGTGGTAGGGATGATCAGTGGACCAGATTCCACCTAGGGAAGACGAGGCTTCGAAGAGAGTGGGTTTGAGATTCGGGTAATGGATCATGTGTCGGTAGGCTACGAGACCAGACTCGCCGCCGCCTAGATCAAAGCGGGAGCATGAGCGACTCTGAACGAAGGGATTGGGACAATGGCGATAATCGATGTTATTATATACCTATGATCGCGACAAGTTTCTGAGGCTTGGCCATGGTGACGTAGAATGTCGACCTAGAACTGAAGATAGAAAAGATCTAGCGACGATGTGTTGAGGGCGACAGACTGAGAGGGCGCAACGGTCCTGAAAGGAATGCAGAGGATGCTATGATGGTTATATAGAGACGGGATATATAAAAATCAAAATTGATTCAGTCGGGCATGTGACTTGATCCGCGAACACGCCTTGCCTTCTGCCGACACAGGATGTCAAGTAGAGTGGAATGGATGCACTAGGATCCGGGTGGAGATCAATTCAGTCGGAAATTCTGTCCTGCAAAGATTGCCCGTCAAGTATGTGGCAGCGGGGTTCTCTTGCCTGTTTGCAAAACCTGCCAGTCAGTTTAACAAAAGCGAAGTTACGGGTGGTTCAAGATGGATCACAAAATATAGACACCACATCGCCACTTCTTCCTTGGCTGAAGACGTGCATTGGCTGCCAACGCGCGTATGAAAGTCTGTGGAGGCCCATGGCAGTAATTGGTACTATTCCTTCTGCAAGATTCTGGGATTAGGGGGGTTTATATCCCCGGAGATGATGTTCAATGATGATCTGATTAAGAAAGCAGGAAGGATAGGAACTCGGACATACGTCGAAGGACACGTGTGAGGAAACTAACTGAGGAGCGCTCCAGGCCGAAGCAATGCGGCCACCCGGGTTTCTCTGGTCCCACGTCGAGAAGTAGAAACACAGAAGACCTCCTTCAAATATATGGTGTGGCGACGGGCTTCGTGTCAGGAGGGAATCGAGAAAGAGGCCCCTGGGGAGTGAGATGGTCGATGCCCGCATAAAACCCCGGTACGAAATCAAACTTCATTGGTAGCATGCTCAGAGTCGAATAGCATGGAAGGACTTTCCGTGCATATCTAATGCATGGTGAGAAGCTGTTCAAGGGCTACAGTATTTCATGCTCACCTGCGCATCACATATATGATGACATGACTTGTAAATACTGCATTTTGAACCTGAAGCCTGACGCCTGAGATTCAGTATACACTGCCAGTCACGGTGAGCGAACAGAAAAACATACTGTGCTTCGACCATCTTCCACCAAGCCTGTGAGTCACGTTGGTGTTTAGGGGGTAGACGAGTATTCGCGCGAATACTCGATCCTCGAGTTTCCCGAGGACACACGGCTGTCACACACTTTTTTAGGCTGCCGTTCCCACGCATCGCATGCCGATGGCGACGACAGCGACGAGCAGGATATTCATGTCACATCCAAGGTCTCTTTCTCCCTCAGGCGGCTAGAGAACGGTAATACAAATGTAAATATGTTGGTTCGCTTCTCCTGAGGGCTCAGATAGAAGGGCTGCTCGCTGTGTTAGTGGGCGTTGTGACCCGATATGGTACTGTGCCACGACGAGCAGGGCGCGACGGCGTGGCAAGCGGCTGCCTACGCGCTTGTGCCGGCAGGTCACACCGGGTCACACCACCTGCCATTGCCGTAAAAATGCCGATGATCGAGTACAGTACACTATCTCATACAGTGTGTTGCATATGACTCTGCAGTTGCGCGACGCGCAATTTTGGGAATCTTTGTTTGTACGAGCCAAATAAGTGATCAATTTGTCACGCATGTCCGGCGATGTCTTTCTTACAGATCCAGCATGGCATTGCTAATATCACTTGAGATGCGCCAGAATATGGTAGTCTGGCAGTTTGAACAGAAGAGAACTATTCTGAACCCTGATATTGAGCACAGAGGTGTCAATTTGCCACGGGGACCAGCTGGAAGTCAGATCCACCAGGACAGTGTTCCCTTACACTCACAATGACAATGCCTTGAGTTCAAATGCTTACAAGGTAGGTCACTACACTGCACGTATGGTAGAATCAACTAGATGCAGACGGTGAGCCTAGCAGGATGATCCCAGCAGTTCAGACATGGGAGGTACGTGAAAGCGTGACAACGGTCACTTATTTGGCTCGTACAAACAAAGATTCTCGCGCGTCGCGCAACTGCAGAGTCATATGCAACACACTGTAATGCATACTATCGATGACCCGGATGTGTCATAATATGGCACTTCTGGTCCCGCCGCACGCTGTCTTGCCCGATTGACTTCAGCATCTCAGAGAATGTTTCGATAGCATATAGAATACTAGAGCCCATTTTTCTGATTTTTTTGAGTGGGGTTGAACATTTTGGTGACATGCCGAGGTGTGGCACCAGCCAAATTTGCTCATGCAATCCCGATTTTTGTGGGACCCAGGTTGGCCACATTTAATTCTCAAATTTTTACAGTGTTAAAATACAATGTACAAGAGCATCTACAAATAATTTTGAGGCAATCGGTGCAAAGGATCCAGCTGTAGGAAAAAATATGGCACTTCTGGGTCGTATGGCATATCCGGGTCACTGATAGTAGCGTCGGTGCCCGGATTTTGCTATGCATCATGAGGTTTTATGCATTATGGCATTGGAATTTGGCTGTGAAGTGCGGTTTTGTACCGCCCAAGGCCTATGCACTATGAGGTATTATGCGTTGCCATGTTATGCATTGTGAGATAGTGTACTGTACTATTCGCGTGAATACAGTACTCAGTCTCCGACCGCGCCGCGCTAGAGCCGCGGCGTCTAAACTTTCACTCGTCTCTTGCCAATCTCTTGCTCATCTCCGATTCCTTTCCAGTTCTCTCCCCCCAAATCTGCTTCAAACTGACTCGGACTTCTATCTACCTCGGAATAACCGATCTGCTCTGAACACAGTTTACTTCAGTCCGTGGATGTTTTCCCCCTTCGGACAGAATGTAAGTGTGTCAGTTATGATGTCGTATTCGGCCGTCATGTGCCGATCTGGAAAGAATGACTCGGATCCTCTTGCTTTCTTCAAATACTGCTCGACGGGCTCTGTGTTAGTAATAGACAACGCTCACCACCTCTGAGCTGCACTTGTGCTAGACCATCGCGTATCAATTTCAGTAACATCATACCGCTGCTCACTCGGTCCTCTTCGTCACTCATCCTTTCGATAGTGCTTGCAGTCGTTGAAGACACCGAAGTGCCTCGTACATCTGTCCCTTCTCTCTCGAGTTCCTGAAATGGAATTGCAACAGCATACTCATTTTCCCATCCTCACTAAACGGCATCGGCATGCATTCTCATCCGTGCATCAGTCACTGTCAGACGGGAAGGGACGTCCAGACACCACCGGAGCTGACGACAGCACCGACGCACCACATTCTCCTACGCAGAGAAACAGGGATCTGGGCACCATCTTCCATTCCCTATCCGGCGACTGGCATGTTCGTCGTGTCATTCACCACCACGGCTTAGCTGCAAACGCAGTGGACGGGAGATTCGACGGTACTGCGACCTTCCTCCCACGCACACCGTCGACAGAAGCACCGGAGGCCGGCACCGAAGAATACCTATATCGCGAGTACGGCACGTTCTGCACTGCAACCGGCACCTCGTTCCCAGCGCAGATGAAGTACATATACCAGTACCATCCCTCGTCGAACCGCCTCTCCGTCTGGCGCGTCAAGTCCGGTGCATCTGCAAGCCTCCCAGACGAAGGCGAGGTCGACAACTGGTTTCACGATATCACGCTCGAACCCCCGTCAGGCGCGGATGGGCTGGCTTGGTTTTCGGGCTATCAGGGAGCAGGAGACTGTGTGGCCAAAGGGAGCGAGCATCTTTGCGTCAGGGATACGTACAAGCCGTACTATCGGTTTTGCTTTCGGGGAGATAAGGTGTCAGAATTTGGGATTGGGTACGATGTGAGTGGGCCGGAGAAGGCGTATGTTAGCGAAGGGTGGTTTGAGCGGACGTAGTTGCGTTGTGTACCAGTGAGTCTGTATGAACTTGTATACACCTTGACCCTATATAATCATCTTGGCCTCGAGCTCTTCACGTGGGGGTCAGCCCGAATTCTACATTGCCATCAGCTAGTTTCGGATATCACCTGGGTGTGTGACACTACGGCTCTTTGTAATTAATGCACACAGCTTTCCTCTGCGCTTCATTCACTTTCGCTCATGGGCAGAGGAGGGATGTGTTCCGAACATTGAGTCCTGGGCACAAAAGTCACGGGGCAAACGTCAAACTTATGGCATGTATCAGGTACATTTTTACGGAGACCTGCAGGGCCTACAATTTTCTAGATCCATGCTAACCTTTGTGAGTTTAGTTCGTTTCATGTGCCGCCGATGTACTCACTAGCCCAGCACTAGAGCACTAGTGCCTGAGGTTCCGTCGGAAAGAAAGTGGCGCTGTTGGGAATATCTCATATATGGTCAGTCGCTTTCCATTTCCGGTTGGCATTCAACGTTCAACGTCCAGGCGCATCGACTCATCGTTTATGTTTCATCGTGTATTTCTCCCACTCAAGATGGTGACGCCAAATTTCGCCCGTGACATATCGAAATTGCAATGAAGAACGACAGTCAATTCTTTTAGCTCCACGGTAAGGCGTGAGTACTCGTTGGATGCTTCTCGCCGCAGTGGTGTTGCCGTGGCATCGTCTGCCGACGCTTCGAACGCATGCCAGTGGGAAATTGTCAACGATAACATATATAAAGGCGAATCAACTATCCCTCACGAAACTCTGTCCGATGCATTCCAAGGTTGGTGCTGCGCTGTTCGTCTGGCTCTTTGCTCGCTGGACTGCCTGTGCATTCGCCTCGAACATCACCTGCGCTTGCGAGGAGATTGCCGCAGCCATCTCGTCCGTGTCTGATGTTTACTGGCCTCGTGTGTACTGCTGAAAAATTACGGCGTTGGATGGAAAATGACTATCTTCTCACAGTAGAATTGCAGTACACGACTGATATCTACCACTATGCTTCGTCTAGCACCGCCCAGGCTGCGTGTTCTGTTGAGCCTGGCACTGCCGAAGACCTGGGTATCATAGTAAGTGCTTCCAATATGGGTTCAGCACCTTCTTTCTAACAGGATCATTGACAGCTTCAAATATTGGGGAAAACCCGGACGCCGTTCGGCGTGAGTGCTGTCTTGCTCGTTTTCTGGGTAAAGCAAGTCAAACATAAATTATTCCAGGTGAAAGGTGGTGGCCACATTATGAACCCAGGATGGTCCTCCAGTACAGGAGTGCAAATTGCCATGTATCGTTTCAACGAGATCAATTACGATGCTGCGTCGCAATCGGTCGATCTGGGGTCTGGCCTCATCTGGGACGACGTCTATGCGGCGCTCGAGCCGTACAATGTGAGTGTCCTTGGTGGGAGAGTCAGTGGGATCGGTGTGGCTGGATTCTCTCTGGGCGGAGGTATGCGTTTCATTACTTTAAATCTACGGGAAAATGCAGCTCAACTTGATAATTCCCCGTAGGATATGCGTGGAAGACCAATCAATATGGGTTGACCGTTGACAATATCCTAGCGTATGAACTTGTGCTTCCCAACGGTACGATTGTGGATGTCTCGGAGTCATCATGCCCGGATCTATATTTCGGTTTGAAGGTTGGTGTCCGAATCATATCCCACTGTCGTCCAGCCTAACAATTTCCTCAGGGCGGGTTCAACAACTTTGTGAGTAAGACTTAGTGGGAACCGAGAAACATCGTTAAATGTCAAATTTCGCAGGGCGTCGTCACGAAATTCACTATGAAGGCATGGCCGCAAACTGAAATTTGGGTGGGAGTAGATTATTCCGCTGTGCTGTGTCTTGCTGACCTTGAAGCGTAGGGTGGCGTCATCGAAATCGATGGTTACCTCTACGCGGAGGATTTCAAATCCGCGACGGCAAATTTTTCCACTAACGTCACTGATCCTAAGGCGACCGTGTTGTTGGCATACAACTACGCCATCGGTGTTGTATGTCATATTTATATTCAAATCCGACCGAATCTGATGATGCGACCTGACCACAGTACTTGATGACTGCAATTATATTTTACGACGCCCCTACACCCCCCCGGGGCATTTTTGACGAGTTCCTCGCGATCCCGTACTTGTCGAGTGATGTGTGCACACGTTCATTCTTGTCACTTGTGCAAGCCTCTCCTTCCAATATCACTTCCTTGGAACGGTGCGTATCTCCTTGCTCCGTCCCCTTCAACGTGAGAAATGACCGCCTAAATGATGCCCAGTGGATTCTTCAATACTGTCTCATTACAGGCTATCACACCCACTCTGCTCGATGTGGTCCACAACGAGAGTCTGGTATGTGACCTGTACATAGTAACACTATAGTAGCACCTCACCCTCGTTTGGATTACAGTACTGGGGTGCCCTGATGTCGCTCGACTCCGGCACTCTGATCAGCTACGACGTAGAGCCCTTCCTGCCAAATATTCTCACGCACGGCGGCCCCAGTGCATTCCCACCCACGCGCAGCGAGCGCTACCTCCCACTGAATCTCTACTACAGCTGGACGCTGCCAACCTCGGACGATGCCATGTACGATGTGCTCGTGAAGTCCGCGGACACGATCACGAACGCGGCCATCGCGGAGGGCCAGGACATTTCGGGCGCGGCGCTGTATCCCAACTATGCGCTGTATGGGACGGCGGTGGAGAAGATGTATGGTGACAATGCGGGCACCTTGGCTGCGCTGAAGGCGAAGTATGACCCGGAGAATGTCATGGGTCTCGCGGGAGGGTGGAAGTTCTGAAAACCAGACTCTGCCAGCTTATGTCCTTGGAATCTACGGACATCTACATATACTTATCATGGCATATTAGTAAGTTGATTGGGGGATTTCCCGTCTTTGCCTTAGCGCGAAACCATGGATTTTGGTGCATGCAGTCAGTCTCTCGTCTTTTTTTGAAAATACTGTAAACCATGAAGTTGTCGTGAATCTTAGGTATTTCAGCCGGATAAATTTCAGCTGACCAGTGGCCAACGAAGAAACTCGCTGGGTGTACGATGCGGGTGACTTGTTCAAATACATGGAGCACAAGAGATAGCTGAATTGCCGCTCTTGATTCTACGAGAACAGGGAACTATTCAGCAAGGACAGGATTACATCGAGGAATGGGATATGCTCGCCTCAGTAGAGTCCCTGCAGTGCATACGTGTACGTCCGTGAAATTGACTCAGACCAGCCCAGGCTGTCCATAACTGACTTTGAGCCGAGTCGCATGCTCAACCTCTTTGATACCGACTTCGTTCCGCTAGCTAGAACTCGCGATATACGAAAGTCCTTATAGCCGTTTGCAGAGAAGGCAACTTGAATTTATAATCGTGCATCCATTCTGCATCGTAACAGCTACGTAACGACAGAGCCTCCATAGGGAGAGAAATCACCGACTGAAATACTTAAGCACACACCTGTGCATCTGCGCCGGTGCTGCATTGATGACCATGGTAAAAATCTCGGTTTGAAGCCGAACCATGTGCAGATAAGAGCGGCCTAGCAATCCTAGCAGCGCTCACATATCATCCACGCTCCACTGATAACTCTCCTGCCCGTGTCGGCGCTTCTCGTTCTGCCGCTGGAAGAGCTTTTGCTCAAAACCATTGCCACGATCTATATGAGCCAATAGGTGAGTATGTGTTTGGAGAGGAATAGCGCGCATCCTCTACGCACCCACACCATCCCATCTGTAGCCAGGTCTGATTCCAAACCGATTTGGAGGTGGTGGCGGACCTGTGTACTCCGGTTTTCTTGGACCTTTCGATCTGTTCTTCTGCAAGATATTTACTAATTGCTAGACAGCTTAAGAGAGGTTTAATGCGGACTCACTGTCAGGAAGGCTGCTGCAGGATCGTTCCACCGATCTTGTGCTTTGAGGTCTTCATTGAGTTCTACATCGTCACGGCTCCTCGCAAACGTGTGATCTCGCATCGTAGCCTCCTCATTCTTTCGCTTCTCCGCCTCTTCCCGCTGTACGACACCCTTTCCCCATTCCATCTTACGAGCTTCCCGCTCCTCTCGCTCTCGCTTTTTCCGCGCCGCCTCAGCACGCTCTGCAGCCATGTCAACACGCTGTCCAGAAGCATCACGGTACACCGTCTCCTGTGCTGCGGCGCGCTCCTCCTCCGTCGCAGTGGCCGGGGCGCGCTTGGGCAGCGATTTCCTGAGCTGCGCGGTCGTGAGCAGACCGCCCTTGAATGTCTCCTCCTCTTGTACGATTTGCGGCTGCTCGTCAGCCGCTGGAGGACTCTCTCCTCCTTTCTCGCCCTCGCGCACGGTGGCCCAGCCCGAGTCCGTGTCAGTGCGCTGCCGCTTCTTAAAGCGACGATCTGAGGCAACTACAGCTTCAGCCACATCGTCTTCGTCGGCGTCTTGCCTGCCATTGTCCCATCCGAGGATGTCGTCGTCTTTGATTATGGAAGGACCGGCAGAAGAGGACTTGGAGGTTGAACCCAGCCTCCGTTTCTTCTTCTTGGGTGCGTCAGTCCGCGCGAGTATAGCATCAGCTTTCGGGCCAGACATATATTTTGCAGCAAGATATGCTTGCATATTTGTCGCCATGGGTATGAGCAGACTCGACGACTGCAGAAGGGAAGTTGCTTATGTAAAGAAGCGTAGTCTCGTTTCGGCGGAACAGGCGTGACGTCATCACTCCCGTGGCTGTACCGCCACTTTCTGCCAGTGATGCGGCTACTAGTAGCATCGCTAATGTCACTGTCCATATGTCGCAATCTAGCCACCATCATTCCAACGCATGTTCCAGTCATCAGGCACTCCGACTTGGTCTTTCGTGCAGGATTGTCGCTGATAAAGTCACGATATTGGCCAGTGCCGCGTCTCTTGTCCCGCTGGGGGCTTTTTCGGCAAAGTCTACGGCTTAAGTGGGCGATTGATGCCTATCCCGCAGTGATGTAGTTCAATGGTAGAGACAAAGTTCAGTTGTATCACGCTCTGTTACAGGAACCATTGTAAGTAGATTTGTCAAATCTCAACGAGCGCCGTGGCCCGTGCGTCGAGTCGACCGTATATGTACTACCTAGTAGGTCGTCTGACCGTATTCTGACAGTTCTATTACATGCCCCAGGTTTATACTTCGCTATCACACTCCCCGTTAACTTGCCACTGGACAGAGTTCAGGTTGTCCCTTCAGTAGCCGCACCATATCGATGGACGATGTCGGCATGCCAAGGTCAGCCCCATGGTGAGCTGCCCTCGTTCTTCGCTGGATCAATGATTGATCTTATACCGAAGTCCCGATGCCTCATTCTTGATGGACAGGCCCTCTTCTGTCAGGCACACGCTCAACACAATCATCCAGTAGGACCGGTTGATTTTACTTGCGTCTATAATCCTCCATAGACCGGCCCTGTGTTTCGCCTCTGACAGATGGCACAGCACTCGCAGAGTCCGCAGGATACATAAGGGATGTTCATGTGCCCCGATCGCCAGCGATTACACTGGATCCAACTTTCTCGCTCCCGATTTTATTATTTGTGATTAATGTCGACCACAGAGATTCAGGCAGAGCTTCAGGTGCTGTATTCGACCCTCCGAGGACTTCAAGTAGCGGGACTCAGTTCAGGTCAGTTCCGTCTTGTGATTGCCCGGAATGTGTTAACCCAAAAATGCATCGTAGTGGCTGCGCTCACATGGCTAACTTTCGACATATTGATGACATTCGGACAGGAGGTGTGTGTAGTTTCCAGTACTTTAACTTGTGGGAAGCAGCACTCACTGGCTCGATTCTTGTACAATATAGGTGGATTACATATGGAAGTAGGTATTCGCTAGTTCCACGGGTTTATTTTTAATGACAGTAATCCCCGCAGGGCAAAATGGACGTATCCAAAGTGCCTCTATATTACGGCAAGATACTACGGTCTTGTTAATCTAATGTGCGTATACATCTCCGCCTTTGGAATCGTTGTCGTGACTAATTGCGCGTCATAGCATACTCACAGCTGGTAAGCCTATCTCCCGGCCCGCTCCCGATTATATTTCCGACCAATCATTATCAGTGTCCGTCAATACGAATCTCTCAGTAGAAGTCCGTCTTTCCACTCACATCGTCATGACGTGTCACTAAAATCAAATCGCAGTTGTGAGGTCCTCGACTAGCGTTTAGTCTCCCCATGACTAAATCCAATCCCGCGCCGCAGCTGTAAAGGATGGATCTGGTTCGACGGCTAGTAAGGCTTCCATGTTACCTCGGAGACGTTTCACACTGCTGAGTTCAAACAGCGGCAGTACGGTCATTATCATGACAGTAGTCACGCAAATCTTCCTTCTCCGAGTGAATGCCTTATATGGCGGTAACAAAATACGTACGTTCACCTTTCGTTTGAGAACCTTACAACCAACCATATGCGATCTCCCAGTACTGGCATTTCTGATAGTCTGCTGGCTTGGTGAGTGCATTGTTTAAAATCCAAAAAACATGGCTACAGCTTGGATACAGCTGAATTCATTGTACGTCGAAGTTTCACGGCTATGTCCGAAATTCTCATTTGCCACCTCCTGAAGGTGACCTGCGTCAACACAGCCATGACCCTCCGCCCCGTGGAAATCATCCCAAAACCACTCGGCCTCCCCTTCCTCGGCTGCCTGAGCAAGGAGATCAGTGCACGCTCCAGTCTCGCGTCGTGGTAAGTACCTGCTTTTTGTAACGATAAACATACTGTTGACCATGCATCTTCGGCAGGGTGACCTGTCTCACAGTAGCCTGTGAGGACCACTTTTGCCTAATGAATTATCATCTGCAATGCTAACCTCGCATAGGCGTGTACTATGTCCTCACGATCTACAAGCTCGCCCAGACAGTAATATTCAAGGATTGGTTTGACGTGCGGCATATCTTTGGCAAGAAGAGCCCATACCCGATCATGACTGCATTCCTTCGCGACGGCTCTGTGTTCTTTGGCATGTAAGAGCGCGCTTCTCCATTTCATAGTTGCAAGCTTATGTACTGCGTTTTGTGCAGGATTTTCTGCATGTTGTTTCATCTTGCTGCTAGAGGCAACTGCTGATGGTGGTTTACGCCTGCAGTGGCGGTTCTCCTCAATACGGTGACGACGGTCGTCGGCGGGACCATTCTGGCTATCAGTGCACCGTAAGCTAACTGAATACTCCTTGTGCGAAGCTGATCACTTCACCTCTCCCACCAGCTGGCTCAGAGCGACGTACTCAATAGCCGTGAGTACCTTCACTCCATATCGTCCTCGCTAGCGTCATGAACCAATTGACCATCTTGCAGGGTTCGCGCCTGATCCTGAACCTGCGCTCGCTCTCCTCGTCTATGAACACGAGCCTCGACATGCAGAGCTTCTCGGGGCCGAGTCCTAAGCGCACGTATGCAAACGCGTTACCGCTGGAGTTTCGCATACAGACGCACGAGGCGGCGAGTGCAGGGACCGCGGGATTGTCACCTGTATAAACGATCCTGCATTCTTCGGTGACGGGAAGTGTGGATAACTTGGCCGTGTGTGGATGTTCGATGTAGTATGCTCGTGTACGTCATACTTACTTTGTACCAACGCTGGCGCTCGAAGCGCGCAGTAATTTATTGCCTGGGACTTCTACATATGTAATCGAAATTATATGCATGGACACGACTATAGGGTATGTTGACTACTCGGCAAGCTTGTATTTGATCAGATGCAGGTAGTCTATCCAAATGTACGTGAAAAAAATACGACGCCGACTGTTCGAGTACAACGGCAACCTGTAAGGGTTTCGTCCGGGGAGACCGGTAAAGCACCTAATAGATCTAGTGCCTGGGAATATGACTCTCCAGTGGAGGGATGTTAGCGAAGTCTGAGTAGTCGCAATTGGAGAGAACAAATCAACGTTCGTCTTTGCGCAGAGATACACGCCGACGCAGCCTGTCCACGACTCGCCGCATTTTTGCAAAGACTTTACTGCCACTGAATTGGGCACAGATAAGACGATGTAATTTGCAAACAGACCACACCTACCAAGACTTTCGAGGGGAGCCAATGAGTGTGCCACGGGCATCCTGAGCAGAATCGACACCAGTTGACGACGAGACAAGAACGGACGAGCGATGGGTCGGACCAGTTGCCGGAGGAGATGAGTGGTCAGTCTGCTCTGGAATACCGGACGCATCGTGCGCCAGCAGAGGATGGTCGTTGTCTGGGCCGACGCGCATCTGTGTTGGGGACGATGCGATGGGAAGAACTGTCGCGTCGACAGAATCTGTGCGGTCGTTGCCGGAGGTTGGAGGCTCGAATGGAATGGCTGGGACTCGCAGCGCTTCCTCGTCACAGGAATCCACTGCTGTGAATTTGACTGCATGGTGCCCACTAATAAGCTCAAGGCGCAGCAAGATGCTGAGTTTCATCCTTATGGTACTTACATATACGAACGCGACCATTATAGTCGCCTGTGACTATCAGCTCATTATTCGGACTGATTCTCACTGCGCCCACTGTAGACACTATATAAGAGGGTATTCCAACCAATGCACATACACTCACCTGACGTACCAGCATGGGCCCGTAAAACACACTGCACCGCGGTTGTTTTGGTGTCCCATATGTGGACCATACCCCTCTGATCACCAGACACAACCCATTTTCCATCATGCGAGATGTCGAACGACACTGCCGAATACTGCGCAACGTCTGTCATGCGAATAATGAAACAAAAGGAGAATGTATACATGCCTCGTGCCCAACAAAGACACCACTGTGAGGTACATTATCAGAATTACTGAGCACAGTGGATTGGTTGGATTCTAGTGTGTTCTCATTGATCTCACTATGTGGTGCTGCACTGGTCAGTATTGTGCTCATGTCCCACACCTTCAAATCTGTATCGATGCTCCCTGTTAACACTGCCTCGCCGTGAAGGGTAAAGACAGCATCATTCACAGTACTCCGGTGGGCTTTGAACCGTTTGATGACTGTGCGTTTCTCCAGGCTCCATATTTCGACCTTGCCGAGTCTCCCGTCTACGGCAATGAAGCGTCCATCCGGAGATATGGAAGCAAATTCCAACTCGGTAGGGAACTCCATACCTATAAGCAGATGTATGAATAGGTTGTACACAAGTGCAATATATCAAACAACACCAACAGTGGACAGCACTCCCGCTGGTCGTATCCCAGATCCGCACGGTATTATCATGTGATGCCGACATGAGCCACCGTCCATCAGTTGAAACCTCGAGAGCCCATACCAGTGCGGTATGATCGTCAAGTGCATGTTTCACGACGTCGCCATTCCAAATCTGAAGCGCACTATTCAGCAGTGATGTCATTTCAGCAGGAGGAATACATTCCAGCTCCACATAACAGAAGGAAATGATTGAATAGTGACTTACACTGATGTGACCATCTGCATACCCTGTTGCAAGGATCTGTCCATCTGGGCCAAAGCAGAAAGAACAAACTGAGCCATCTTCAAAAGTACTGTGTGACGATAGGTATCGACAAATACAGTAAGTCCACATTCACAGAAAATAAATGAAGGGAGCATCTCACCGGATTACTGAAGCTGTTGCAATGTCAACAACCCTCACACGTTCCCGGGCGCACTCAAACGCGAGGTATTTGCTGTCTGCACTAAATTGTGCATCATAGATAGCTTCCCTATAGTCATAGAAGCAAAGTCAAGGCGAATGTGAGCATGTGGGGAGCTACGGTTCAGAGTGAGATATCACCATTCGAAGGAACACAATAGTTCTAACTGTACCGCTCGTTTTGCTATCCCTTTCTGATCGCGTATGAGGTTGTAGTTCGCAGACCATTCCGCCTCCGTCTGAGTACCTTCAGGTGGATCGAGATCTCTTCGGCACAAGAGACACTTATTATTATCACGCGCCCAAAGTTCCGCACACCGTTTCTACGTCAAAGACAAGTCAATTGAAATCATGATTTACATGAGTTCGGACGACACATACGTGGAAAGCATGGCCACACGCAAACTGCCTGAGCGGTTCGGGGGCCTTCCGCGCAGACGCAGTCGCTAGTGACTTCTTCCGGGGCGGCTGGTAGTCCTCCCAGCATATGTAGCACCTAGAATTGTGATCCTCCAGAGGAAAATCTGCGAACTCCGAGTCCTCCCAATCATCGGACTCGGGAGCGGGCGTGAACCCGTCCTTGCACGCTGGAACGTAGCGAACGAGAGGGAGAATTTCCATCATCCTGCTGCGTAAAAATTTCGCGCTGGAGATGTGGTGGTCCGACGACTCAGCCCCGTCATCCATGGCACAAGATTCAGAAAGAATAGATGTGTCTATGTAAAACAACTTGAAGTCCAAGATTGAGAGATTGAGTTATGGTCAGAGCATAGTACGTACCTCCGGTGTCGACCGTCAGAGACTACGCACCGAGGTTACTCAGAACCGATTGGATGCGAGCGTAGTATAGTAGAGGACCGTTGAACGCAGCCAGGTGGTGGCAAAACTCCAGCAGGCACCGCCCATGTGACCGCTCTCATCGCCGCGAGGCGAAGACATACTAAGTAGAAGTAGACCATCATATAGGCCCCTGCCCAAGCCTCTGCCAGTGTATTGCTACTTATTAGTATGCTCGTGTACGTCATACTTTGTACCAACGTTGGCGCTCGAAGCGTGCAGTAATTTAATGCCTGGGACTTCTACATATGTAATCGAAAATATATGCATGGACACGACTATAGAGTAAGTATGTTGGCTACTCGGCAAGCATGTATTTGATCAGATGCAGATAGTCTATCCAAATGTACGTGAAAAAATACGACGACATGCCGACGGTTCGAGTAGAACAGCAACCTGCGAGGGTTTCGTTCGGCGAGACCTATAAAGCACCTAATAGATTCAGTGCCTGGGAATATGACTCGCCAATGGAGGGACGTTAGCGAAGTCTGAGTGCTCGCAATCGGAGATAACAATCAACATTCGTCTTTGCGCAGAGATACACGCCGACGCAGCCTGTCCACGACTCGCCGCATTTTTGCAAAAACTTTACTGCTATTGAATGGGGCACGGATGAGATTATATAACTTGCAAACAGACCACACCTACCAAGACTTTCGAGGGGAACCAATAACTGCATCACGGGCATCCTGAGCTGAATCGACATCAGCAGTTAACGACGAGACAAGAACGGACGAGCGATGGGTCGGGCCAGTTGCCGGAAGAGATGAGCGGTCAGTCTGCTCTGGAATACCGGACGCATCGTGCGCCAGCAGAGGACGGTCGTTATCTGGGCCGACGCGCATCTGTGTTGGGGACGATACGATGGGAAGAACCGTCGCGTCGACAGAATCTGTGCGGTCGTTGCCGGAGGTTGGAGGCTCGAATGGAATGGCTGGGACTCGCAGCGCTTCCTCGTCACAGGAATCCACTGCTGTGAATTTGACTGCATGGTGCCCACTAATAAGCTCAAGGCGCAGCAAGATGCTGAGTTTCATCCTTATGGTACTTACATATACGAACGCGACCATTATCGTCGCCTGTGACTATCAGCTCGTTATTCGGACTGATTCTCGCTGCGCCCACTGTAGACACTATATAAGAGGGTATTCCAACCAATGCACATACACTCACCTGACGTATCAGCATGGGCCCGTAAAACACACTGCACCGCGGTTGTTTTGGTGTCCCATATGTGGACCATACCCCTCTGATCACCCGACACAACCCATTTTCCATCATGCGAGATGTCGAACGACACTGCCGAATACTGCGCAACGTCTGTCATGCGAACAATGAAACAAAAGGAGAACGTATACATGCCTCGTGCCCAACAAAGACACCACTGTGAGGTACATTATCAGAAATACTGAGCACAGTGGATTGGTTGGATTCTAGTGTGTTCTCATTGATCTCACTATGTGGTGCTGCACTGGTCAGTATTGTGCTCATGTCCCACACCTTCAACTTTGTATCGATGCTCCCCGTTAACACTGCCTCGCCGTGAAGGGTAAAGACAGCATCATTCACAGTACTCCGGTGTGCTTTGAACCGTTTGATGACTGTGCGTTTCTCCAGGCTCCATATTTCGACCTTGCCGAGTCTCCCGTCTACGGCAATGAAGCGTCCATCCGGAGATATGGACGCAAATTCCAACTCAGTAGGCAACTCTATACCTATAAGCAGATGTGAGAATAGGTTGAACACAAATGCAGTATATCAAACAACACCAACAGTGGACAGCACTCCCGCTGGTCGTATCCCAGATCCGCACAGTATTATCATGTGATGCCGACATGAGCAACTGTCCATCAGTTGAAACCTCGAGAGCCCATACCAGTGCGGTATGATCGTCAAGTGCATGTTTCACGACGTCGCCATTCCAAATCTGGAGTGCACTATTCAGCAGTGATGTCATTTCAGCAGGAGGAGTGTATTCCAGCTCCACATAACAGAAGGAAATGATTGAAAAATGACTTACGCTGATGTGACCATCTGCATACCCTGTTGCAAGGATCTGTCCATCTGGGCCAAAGCAGAAAGAACAAGCTGAGCCATCTTCAAAAGTACTGTGTGACGATAGGTATGCACAAATACAGTAAGTTCATATTCACAGAAAATAAATGAGGGGAGCATCTCACCGGATCACTGAAGCTGTTGCAATGTCAACAACCCTCACACGTTCACGAGCGCACTCAAACGCGAGGTATTTGCTGTCTGCACTAAATTGTGCATAATAGATAGTTTCCCTATAGTCATAGAAGCAAAGTCAAGGCGAATGTGAGCATGTGGGGAGCTACGGTTCAGAGTGAGATATCACCATTCGAAGGAACATAACAGTTCTAATTGTACCGCTCGTTTTGCTATCCCTTTCTGATCACGTATGAGGTTGTACTTCGCAGACCATTCCGCCTCCGTCTGAGTACCTTCAGGTGGATCGAGATCTCTTCGGCACAAGAGACACTTATTATTATCACGCGCCCAAAGTTCCGCACACCGTTTCTACGTCAAAGACAAGTCAATTGAGATCATGATTTACATGAGCTCGGACGACACATACATGGAAAGCATGGCCACACGCAAACTGCCTGAGTAGTTCGGGGTCCTTCTGCACAGACGCAGACGCTAGTGACTTCTTCCGGGGCGGCTGGTAGTCCTCCCAGCATATGTAGCACCTAGAATTGTGATCCTCCAGAGGAAAATCTGCGAACTCCGAGTCCTCCCAATCATCGGACTCGGGAGCGGGCGTGAACCCGTCCTTGCACGCTGGAACGTAGCGAACGAGAGGGAGAATTTCCATCATCCTGCTGCGTAAAAATTGCGTGCTGGAGATGTGGTGGTCCGACGATTCTGCCCCGTCGTCCATGGCACAAGATTCAGAATAGATGTGTCTATGTAAAACAACTTGAAGTCCAAGATTGAGAGATTGAGTTATGGTCACCGGTATCGACTGTCAGAGACTACGCACTGAGGTTACGCAAAACCGATCGGATGCCAGCGTAGTATAGTGGGGGACCGTTGAACGCAGCCAGCTGGTGGCAAAACTCCAGCAGGCACCGCCCATGTGACCGCTCTCATCGCCGCGAGGCGAAAATATACTAGAAGTAGACCATCATCATATACTATGCCAGACCGCTCAGGCACTTTCAGGGTTTCCACCAATCAGAGAGCACTGTTGGGCTTGGATGTGGGCGCCTGGTCTCGCGTAACACATATTTCTTGCCTATATATGGTGCGCCGAGTAGGGAGGGGCGCCGACTGAGCGGTCTGGCATAGTAGACCTCTGCTCAAGCCTCTGCCAGTGGTTTGCTATGCTCGGGCGAACCCGAGAGAGGCGAAGTAGTCTCCCAAAGGCAGTGTAGCTACTCTGCTTCAACCTTCGTGTCTCAGGATATCCGTATCTGACGTCTGCTTTCCTTAAGGGGGGTGTTTCTAAGAGGTCGGCCGCGCGGAACATTGCCGAGCCGGCACGTCATGTGCACGTACAAACAGATCATAACTTATCGAACGCGTCTTGTTTACACGCGCCTCGCGATCGTTAGAGCGCGTCCCTGCTGTCCACTCTCGACCAGCGACCTCGTCTCATCATGTATTATTTATTTCTCTGACATCTAAGTCTGTTCAACGTGCGCAACTTCTCGACAGTAGACTGATCACCACCAACAAGAATTAGCCCCTTCTCTACTTCCTCTTTGGACATCTGGAGTTGGTCCACCAGAAGATCCTCCAATACCTTTGCATTCTCAGCAGTGTTCCCCTCATTGTGATTGGATGTCGCGAGTGGGTGGACTCCTGTCTGACGTCCCGTGCGCATACGATGAACCATCAGTGTTGTTTTCAGCCGCAACTGGACCATCTCGTGATGTACCGCCAATGCCGGCACCGCTTCGACTAGAAAGCTCAGTACGTGAGTAGTGATGGTAGCATTCAACCTTTCCCAGTCAACCCGCTTATACAGCGTCTCGAGGTTGAGATCCTTCCTGCGCTCCGCTTGCTGTGCATGGTGAAGGCGATTGACGTCAAAAGCTTTGGTCACGTCACAGTCATCTAGTTCCACGAATGTCGCCGCCGTGCCATTGTGGATTGTATCCTTCTGGCCTAAGTCCGGATCCCACGCTCGTGACATTTGGTTGATGTTGTCATATATCAGCAAGAATGCACGAGACTTTGCCTTCTGCTGAATGAGGCTCTTGGCAGACTGCGAGAGACTGCGCAACAGCTTGAGGACAGATGTGTACGAGACCGTGAAGCCGAAGCGAGTGAGAATAGCATATACTCCATGTTGTGAGGTGTGTGCGAAGAGCCATACACCAACGACTTTCCGAAAAGCTGAAAAGTGAAGATTTCGGGCACTCATCAGGAGGACGAGAGCGACCAGGACAATCTAGAGAGCTTAGATATTAAATGCCCAGTAACACACAGAGAGTCTTTCACAGTACATACCACGAAAGGGTCTCGGCGATTCTTACCGATCCCGTGCAGGGCATCCTTTGTGAGATACGCAGCATAGGACGTGGCAGGCTGAGCTATGCTCGCACTGGTTGGTATCACCGTTGTTGCAGGAGGGATTGTCTCAATGGCAGTAGTATTCATGATCGTCGTGGCACTTGCACTGCTAGTAGTGCTTGCGGGGGTGGTGGTAGTTGCGCGACCATCGGTGGAAGCAGCTGTGGCAGCATTCATGGGAACGACAGCAGTCGCAGTGCTTGCACCATGTGCAGCCAGTGCGACTGGTTGTGGTTGTCGTACGGGTCGTCTTCCAGGAGGCATAGCGCACGCTACGAGTAAGCGTAGGATGGTCGGGCCCCTCTTTTCAACAAGGAGTAATATATTTTTCAGGGAAAAGTTAAGGACAAAGTCCCAAGTCGCATTCGAATTTTTCAGGTGAAATCCATTGCCTTTACCAGACACTTCTTCGGCCTCCAAATTGACTACATCCTCCACTTTTTGGATAGCCCATTCTTGCAAACGACTGCGTGCCATCTTGGCCTGCTTGGAGCCCTCCACGATGTTTGCAGGAAGCATTGATGCCGTACGTGATCCGGTTAGAGCGCTGTGTTTGCTTGAGTACATCAGCTCGGCAATATCTTGAGCTTGAATGGTGGAACGATCCGAGAGAAAATGAGCCACCATCTGTAAACGAACTTGCGATATATTCTTGTCGCCGGCTGCGGGTTCCGTGAAGACAGCCTGGAGGAAGGAACCGAGGGTCCATCGACGCTGCTGGATGAGCTTTAATATGGCCTCAAGATGTGCGATCTGGGTTTTATCGAAAGAAACAGCTGGCGAGACCGTTGCTGGCTTCGATGGCCCTGCCATGGAGAGCTTCGTGCCAGAGACACTTAGCAGAGACACTTAGCCGCCTCCGCGTCCGAGAAAGCAGTAACGTGACTCTACAATACTTGAGCTTCCGCTGTAGCCAACATTACTGTACTTTCCAGCTCCGTCTAAATTGTCCGACCTCTCGACTAACCCCCCGCGTCAGAAAGCAGACTAAGGCGAAGTGGCGACTGAGGTTGCCCGACTCACCGCCTTCTTCCCCGCAACATGTGATTTCCCCGCATTCCATCGACTCTGATCCAACGACATTCCACTTAAGCTCTCGTCTTGTCTCTCACCTCTCCCCGCCGGTGATCGTCATGCTTGTCACAGCGCTCACGAAGCTTCTCGACATCCGAGTGTACGTTCTGCTCTTCAACCACTGGTGTGCATACACCAATACTCATACCAACCCTCCGCGCAGCCCTGTCGTACAGGGTGGCATGCAATGGTACAGTGGTTCATCGACGCTATCAGACACGTTCTCCAATGGCGCGCAGACCTGTCTCAGAGGCAGATGACTTTCGTATGCATGCCTCGAAAGCATCGAGTTCTGACCTGTTGCGGTATGAGCTTGTGCAAAGCCCCACCGTATCATCAGTCACTGTGGGACGCTCAAGTACCAGAGATAGTCTGCGTTGCGGAGAGACTCGTGTCTAGCGTAGTTACTGTCCATTCTGTCTGACCACCCACGGCGAGTACAGGGTCGGCGTGCCGCAGCTGGCAGCAGCTGTCTCTAACGCAGGCGGCCTCGGTAGGTACCTCGTCTGCGGCTCAGCTACCTTCTGCTCACTATACACGGTAAGGTATCTTGACTGCGCTCACGCAACCCGACCCGCAAGCACTGCGCCTCGCCATCCGTGAGACCCGCAAGCGGACGTCCAACAACTTCGGCGTGAATATCACCCTGCTGCCCACCATCAACCCCCCGGACTATGAGGGCTACGCGCGCGCTGCAGTCGCGGAGGGCGTGAGGATCTTTGAGACCGCAGGCAACAACCGTGCGTGTACACGGCGCGTAATGACACCCGTCAGCTGAAGTCGGAGCCCTTGCAGCGGGGCCATTGATCAAGTTCTTCAAGTCCCAGGGGTGCGTTGTCATCCACAAATGCACTACGATACGGCATGCGCAGGTGCGCGCCATGTACTTCGAGCGCATCCGAGTCTGAATCTGTCTAAAGTCTGCAATCCGTCTTGGAGTCGATATGTTGAGCATCGACGGCTTCGAATGTGCGTCTACGCTGTTGGCCAGTTGTACTCCGCTCATTCTTCCCGTCTAGGTGCCGGACATCCCGGAGAGCAGGACATCGGCGGTCTCGTGCTCGTGTGTTCTGCGTTCTTCATACGCGCCGTTACCTTCTCATGACCTCTCGCAGCTGGCACGGGCGGCGCAAGAGTTGAAGATTCCGTACATTGCGTCCGGAGGAATTGCCGATGGGCGTGGCTTGGCTGCCGCACTCGCATTGGGGGCCTGTGTAAGCTCTCATGTCGTTCTTCTACTTATAAGTTAGCTCATATACATCTCACCAGGGCGTGAACATGGGTAAGTGCGCATCATCTCCCGCTAATGACCGCTGACTGTACGCCTCCTTTCCCAGGAACGCGCTTCATGTGCACGGTGGAAAGGCACGTCTCCTTACATCCTCCGGGCCCACTTTGTGCTAACCACAACTGTCGGACAGCCCGATCCACCAAAACATCAAGGACGCGATCGTCGACGCGACCGAGACGGATACGGTGCACATCTTCCGCACGCTACACAACACCGCGCGCGTCTTCCGAAACCGCGTCTCGGAGGAGGTCGTCGCAATCGAGCGGCGCCCCGGCGGCGCGCGCTTCGAGGACGTGCGCGAGCTCGTCTCTGGTGCACGTGGGCGTCAGGTATTCGAGCGTGGCGACCCCGACTTCGGCATCTGGACCGCGGGCGTCGTGATCGGCCTGATCCACGACTGCCCCTCATGCGAGGAGCTGATCGCACGCATTGAGCGTGAGGCGGAAGACGTCATTGATGGGATGGCCAAGTTGCGCGTGCCAGAGGCCCAGGCGAAGCTATGACAGCACTGCGATAGTACGTCTATAATCCTGTATCAGTCTATGGGATCAGTGTGTTGTTATACATAGATGCTAAGGAACCCATCTAACGTTGTATTGGATTGGATATAAGTCCCCGAGCAAGCAAGAAACGACTGTCTAGCGTCTGGAATCTCGCACCGACATATCATCCCTTCCCATCCTTCAAGCTTCAAGGCCCTATTTTTTTCAAGATCCAACAGGGAAAAATAGAGCCTTGAAGTTGTAGTGCAGCAGTATACTTATTGAGTATTCTGGCACCCTGGAACTTCTTGGACGCAGGCAATGCGGTTCTATACCATGAATTTCTCTGTCTGTGGTACCAACCCCGAGACGAAGGTGTGCACCACTGGTCGGTATTATATTCAGCGCAAGAACGAGTTCGCAGGGACATTGACACTGTCATCGATGCGTGCATGCTAGACCGTAATACGGTGATTTCTGAACTAGAGCTGACCTGACTTAAGAGGAATGTCCTCTTGCGGCGAAGACTTGTATACCGTAGTCGAAAGGCTCTGCATTTCCAGCGTTGTGTTAGCGAGATCCCTGCCCGGAAATTCAGTCAGGACTTTTCCCGATAGCTGAGGAACCGACTCACTGCCACACAGCATGTCGCTTTGAGCTAGCTATGTGAGGGTGTTAGATTGCCGCCGCGAGGATGACCGTAGAAGAGCAATAGCGAAGGGTATTGCTATAGCCATTAAGGTTCCTCCGATGACTATTGCCGCAGTATTAATTACCAGGACAGCTGAAGAAGTACTGGTGTCTCGCTTTCACTGTTGCTAGCATGGAAATGCACCGAAGATCCTGCCAATCTCTGTTCAACTAGCATCAACGAAATTTTCAGGAGCTGGACTCACATGCCAAAGGACACCGACCCATCCCGTAAAAAAGCCGATAGATGGGAAACGTACTTTGTGTCTGGGATCCTCGGTACAGCGCTTTCGTTCAGGCGTGGAATGGATTTGCGCCCCTACAAACGCCCGACAAGTGTCTCTGGTTCAAGGCTTATCTTACATAGAGTCTTAGGCTATTAACTTAGAAGTACAGCAGCAGTCTCCGGGACGGCCTCATATGTGGTCCGCAAAGTTTGGAAGGGCTTGTGTATGATGGAAATGATACTAGATTCCAATTATTCACTGCTTTAGTACAATAATACAGCTGGCCTCCACCAAGATACCCAACACGCAGGAACAATACAATCCTTGTAATACAACAATTAGTTACAGTAACCAATTCATCTATTCTTTGTAAATGTATTCTGCAGCATTTGGTGCGTCATTGTGGAAGCATTATACGTGGGCGGCTGCAGGTGCCGCCGTGGCGGGTCGGCGACGCTCGCGCTTCACCATGCGGTACGGGTGGAAGCGCGCATCCCCAAAGCGATGTATGGAGCTCCGCAGCTGCATCAGCCCGGGCATCCCGACGAACAAGAGTGGCCGGTCAAATCCCTGGTTCCTAGAGGAGGATAACGTGGGCGCAGGTGACAAGGGGTCGGAGATAGCGGGCGGGGGAACGACCAGGATAGCGTCTACTTTGTCCCAAGTGGTGAGAACGAGATCGACGTTGGGTTCTCGGTTGGGAGCTGCCTCGACGCTCGCTGGGGAGGTCTCCCTGGAGGAGGTCGATAGCGTGGAAGAGACTGAGCTCTGGCGAGAGCGCATATAGCCATTCTGTCTCGTGACAATTGGTGTTGCTACAGCCCGTCTCTTCGAATTCTGGTAGAACGTCAGCAGGTTGAACGAACAACAGCAAATGCAGAGCCTACGGGAAGGTCATTAGATTCATTCAACTTCAGGTTACGTGAAGTCTCAGTCTAATGAAACGTAGACCGTCAGCGATTCGAACACTCAAAGCGAGAATAATCGAACGCACCGGTTGGTCATTACGTTCATGTAGCTTGCAAATGGGAGGCACTTCACTCCTCCTGAACTGGTGAATATCAAACAGCCCAAGAGAACGGAGAGACGGAAGGGTAATGCCAGAGGGAGAAGCAGAGGGAGAAGCCGAGGACGACATGCTATTCGATACAGCGGGAAGTTGCAAGGAACAGTGGAGTGAAGTGTGGTCGATGAAGTATGAGGCAGAATGAGAGATGCTAGGAGCGTCCACCAGGGTACACAAGGCCTGCCTGTTATTGGGTATGAGCGAAGAGGAGGGTATCGAGCGGAGTGCGGAGCAGAGGATGGAGCGGAAACTGAAGGGAAACTGAACGCTGAGTGGTTCCGCCGGATAACTTTATAGCTTGCAACATCTCGCTCTTCGCCATTGTGGCATACCGTCAAGACACATTACGCGCGCTTTGATCAATGGGCCTCTAGTGTGCGTCGCAAAACCATTCTGGACTTGACGAAACAATGGCTTTCAATGTCAATGGCACGCGACGCGTTGTTTGGTCGTGTTGACCAGTACCCCCGTCGGAGTTTCAAGGATATTGTTCACTCCAGTGGAGCATTTCTTCCCCCCAGGTTCCACAGTTTGCGGAACAGCGAGACCAAGACATATGCCTACATAACTTGTAAATACTCGTGTACTCTAGGGAGACGCAGCTCGGAAGGTCAACTAAAGTCTCTCAGAATCGATTTGTTGGTGCATGTGTATCGCGTCTATTGAGCCATTTTCCTTTTCTCCGATTCCCACGTTCATTTTCTCTTTGTTCGCTCAGTTCGTCGTCGATGGCAGACTCAACGCCGCCCAAAATCAGAATCGTGTGTTTCCTCATTGTGCAACATCGACCGCATTGACTCATTGGACTCATGGTTACCGTTGCTTATACACCATTTCCCGGAATGCCTGACAAAAGCTAAAAGGTGCAGAGCCAGACCTGTCTGCCGCAACGTACCAAATTCATGACGAGTCGCACACCATCGGAAATGCTCTGCGCTGGATGATAATGAAGAAGTATGCTTTCTGGTCGCCCAAATACATGTTTGGTATTCATGTTTGATTCACGCTTGGTTTGGAAGCCCGAAGGTCGAGTTCTGCGGTTACAGGTGAGCATATCTCTCAGTATTTCTGTTCTCAATTGCGTGGCCTGCACTGAGGGCTGTACTGAGGACAATTGTCTCGTTGTTGAATTACGTTGGTCCGTGCCATGCATGGGCCAAATTCAAATATGACAATGGTTGCGCGGCCATTCACACAGATTGTGCATGATGCGTATGGTCTAACGACCGCTTTTTCCAGCGTTTTCTCATTCATCCCCAATCTCTACTCGTTACTTCCTTGTTCACGTTGCCCTCCCATCTATGTATTATTCTCTCTTCAGGTACTGACTACCGCGGTTCCCAGTGTCCCACACCCTTCAGAAAACCACATCCAGATGCGCATCCAGATGTACGGTATGGTTGAAGCCCTTAACATACATCGTATACCACTAACCCCTAAGCTCAGACAATCTGTCTTCCCTCACCGCGCTCCTGACAGCGCTGTCGGATCTCGACAACCTATGCGGGACCATCGAGGGTGCGTACAATGCCAGCCTGCAGCAGGGCTCGTACGAACGATGGCACGAGGAAAGCTGAGTACAAATTGTATACGATATCCTCGCTGTGTAGATGTACGTTACTGTATCATTATTCGATCTTCAGGCATCGTTATTGCATTATTCTTCGAATTTCCAGTGCGATGTAACTTCGCGGCAACTATTCGTTCATTCGGATGACGATGGCGACTAACGTACCGTGTGCTTCAAAGAGAAGACGTGTACATTGTCTCCACTTCCTGGTCAACCGACGATTGCACCATCAATATTCTATGATTTTTTAAGGGACTCATTCTGCTCTCCACTTCGTCTCGATTGCCTGCGATTTACAACGAGGAGCACACGTGTCAACGTATGTGCACGTCTATCTCAAGGGTACTGAACCGACCATCTCCCAAGACGTTATTAAGGCACTTCCAGTCGACTCTACTCTGGTAAATGCTCCGCCGGCCTCGAGTGTCATTCTCCAGAGCGAGCAGCTGATGTGAAGTGAGACGGGTTGGAACTACGTGCTACCGCAAAGAGATGCACGACAGGAAGCATGCTAGCCGCATACGGCTCGACTCAACTTTCCTCCAGCTCGTGGACGCCATAGCTGTCTCCAGGTGCTCCAGCAATGGTCCCAGTTTCTTCACCAGATTTTGCAAGGCGTGATGCCCGTCATCTTGCATAACTCGAGTCAAAACATTCGGGACGGGTTGCGGAGGGTCAGTGAAATCAAGTACATGCCGCTTCCTATTCGACTCAAAACCGCATTCCACTGCATTCAAGCCATCCACGCTCACCCCCTGATGGTAGGGTCGGTCAGTTGGGGAGACGCACACAAGAGCCCCTTGAAGTCGCCGAATGTGTGAAATCTGCACTCCGTCAGGTTCAGTTAATCTGACTGCGAGCACGGAGAAGCTTGCATGGGGCAGTGCAATTTGCCGGATTGGAAATTTATGAACATCATGTTTGAGTTCGTACATCACATGGTTTCGCGAGCAGGTGTGGCACTAAGTGCGTAAAGGGCTGAGCCTTCTCGCAAATAGTTGACGTCTACACCGGTTGGAACCACGGTCTGAGATACGATGCTCGCACGACCAGTATAGTTTCGCGGGGGAATGTACATGCAGCTCGGTCGCGGATACTCATGGAAGAAAGAGTAGTACCGACTGGTGGCGACCGAGGAGCGGCTTGTCCGGGATCACTGGTTGTATAGCAATCGGCGGTCGTCCCACAAAGAATCGATGATGCCGTCGGTCAGCTCTGGGACAAGGGTTATTCGCAGTATGTCAATCTGCAATCGGAGTATCTCATTAGCTGTATGTCATAAGGTGGATTGAGAAAGCGCGCATGTCCTTCGAACGCTTGTTGTATCGTAGGAAGCGGATGTACGCATTCACCATTGTGGCCTACGAGTGCACCGTACTGGAACCTTGAATTTTTGGTCACAGCCGAAGAGGCACTTGTGAAGAGCAACCCTAGAGCTCACGGATTGATGTGGATCATGCTTGGGGGCTATAGTGATTGGCCAGGATACAGAGTAACATACCGAGTTGACGGTGAGAAGGCATTCCCAAGATCACTATATACTCGCGCCGATCATTGCAGCCCTTCAAGCTTCAAGATTTTACGCCTCCGAGTAAACCCAGCGTAGCATAAATCGACTCCATCTAAGACCACTCTCCAGATGGACCATGCACCCATGGAATGATACTACCACGGTGTCGACAAAAACCCGTTGCGACTAGTAATTGAGGAACCTGTTGTAAGCTAGTCCCCACCGCAATCAGTTGTAAACTCTCTGAGGCTAGTGCACTCGAACGCTTACAGCCGTCGTAATCTGTTTGTGCACAAGACATAGATCTATCACGTCAAGCGCATGAATGACGGAGTGGCGACATAGCGAAGATGGAAGGACCTACAGTCTAGATAGGACATGGCAGCATTGTTCTGGTCTTCAATTAGCATGTCGCTAAACTCCAGCTCAGCAGCATCCATATTTTGACGAGCGATTAATGTCTTGGGAATCCAGCCTCGTTGAGCTTGCCGATGTGCAAGTATATTGCGCACTTGGGTCGACAACCTAGTGGACAGACGAGGTAATTCGATCTTTGAAGACGAGGTTAGCACAAAATCCAGTCAAGCAGGTAATTGCAGACCATATGAGGGTCAATCTGCATAATGTCATCTACGTCCAGGAAATCCTTCAGCAACTGAGGAGAAGCATTCACTCCAATCCAAAAGATTACGAGCTCTTCATTATCTAGATCAAAAATGTTCTGAAGACTTCGCAATGTCTGCGTGTCAGAGTAGTGACTTACCTATAAGATAAATTCCGTGTGATTCCATGAACAGATGACTGTTACGCATTAATGACGGGAAGTCGATTTTGCCTGTCCCAGGATCTGGAAGCGCAACGAAATTGTCCAGATCATGGAGGGCAAGTAGCCTAGGATATAAATGTTGCATAGTAGCACCCGCCCCCATCGCCATAATTTTGTGGGCTTCGTAACTGCGCACGTCTGCCGCGATATTTCGAGCTAACGCAGCCGTGAGAATAACAAAGCGGTCTCAACTCCGCGTCACTCACCTTTCAACGGTTTGGACTTCATGATCGCCAGAGTGTACACAGGCAATGTTCGGAACGCTTCAGGTATAACCAACTGGCTCGAGCATGAGCATTACCACGACAACCAAAGCACCCGAAGTACCCACCTGCGTGTGGGCAGCTGATGCTGCGCAATACTTCCGGTAGCCAAGCAGGATCGCACAACATCTTTCCGTCAGCTGCTCTTGGATCTGGGATATCTGCTGCGACGGCAACCTTGATATACCTAATAGACAGAATGAGAATGCCGTCAGCAGACAGGAAAATGCACCTCACCTTCGCGCACCATGTGGCACACAACAGTATCCATATCGGCGTACCGAAAGACGTTGCCTGCCAACGACACAACTTGGAGAGCGAGGTTGCATGTCCGCACACGGCGCTCGCCCGACCTTGCAGTGTAAAGTACCGCGCACTGAATGAAGGCTAGCTCATGATCATCTAAGGCGCGCCCATGCTCAAACAGAACAGAGAATGCCTTGTCCGCATCAAGAGTTCCGAACTGAATATCAGTCACGGAGAGCTCAGGCTCGTGCAAATTGCCGAAGTACTGCGATACGCGCAGACCTACGAAAAGCAAGTGTGAGCCACGGATCGAACGAATCAAGACATGATAGGAACCACTGGAACACCGTACTCGCATCACGCAATTGTAACCTGTCGTCCGGGTAAGGAGGCGTCTTAGTTGGGAAGCAAGCACCACGACGTCGCGAGATGGGTCGAAGCGAGGGTGGAAGTAAAGCTCTCCTCCAGTGATAGAAGATACGACACCTGGATTGCAAGATCAATTGTACGGTGCTGAATGTATAACGAAACACGGACCAACAGACGCTACGTCAATGGGTCTTCCCATGCCCAAAAATACATTGACTCCGATTCCTTCTTCGGCGCATTGCTCTGCGATGTCCCGCCACGCATTATGACGCGGAAGAAACAGCTGTTTCTCCTTCTCTGTGCCAAACACACTTGAGTCGTCTGTTGGGGGCGTCAGGGCGCCGATGCCAACGGCTGGTATCACCCCCGTGAACACCACCACCTGTCCACCTCTGCCAGCCTGCGGTCCCGTTAGACCTCAACGTAGATTGGCACAGAATATCTGCACGCACGAGGATAGCCAGGCTGGCGGTCAACGCAGATCCCAACGCTGCTTCTGGTGCTGGTGACTCTTCTCGTACTGGGAGCGCAGACAATAGCTTCACAATGACGGAGCTAGAGAGGACATCGGCAATGAGTTGCTAAGCCAAGTACTGCGACATACTTGGACTCTCGTGGGTCGGCAAAAAGACCAGCCCTCAGAGGTACGAAAACGTCATCGCGTTCGGGTACAACCAGCATTGGGGCATGGCCATCTAACCGTGGCTATCTCCCATCAATGGAACATGTCACCAGATTATCTCGAAAGGGCGTACAGAAAGGTCATAGAAGTGCAATGTTTCATCGTAGGATATGATGCATATCTGGCTTTCCAGTGGGATGCAGGGTTCCACGGACCCATCTTCCCGGCCATATAGAAGGTCTAATAGAGTTGCGCATGCTGCATGAGTGAATCCCGACCGGATAGCTTCCAATGAGATATCGAATGCGAAGACGTAGTTCATGATCTCTGGCTTCCGGAGACCGGAAGCTGGTTCGGACACAACAGATTGATAGAGTGGCTCTATTCGAGGTGGTGGATGGGGAGCCCAGTACTCCTCAGAGACGGCGAAATCGACTGTACCCTTATTCAGCTCAGGCCGTTGCAGGTGATCGAGGCGCAACAGATTGGCATCCAAGTTGCAGAAATACTCTGGTGCAACTATCTCATAATATTAGCGCAACGCTTCAATGACAAAGGACAAAGGACGGATAGACCTTCCGTTTCATGCCCGCAAAGGTTGCATTTCCACTTTGCACCCCCGGATAACCATTTACACCAAGGATTTATGTACCCTCTGCAGCCGGCGCACCGTGCAGGGCCGATGTCACCTGTATCTATCAACGGCACAGGCTCCTCACGAGGATCCTGGTCCGCGAAGGGCTGAATCATGGCAACAAGAGGGATTTCGCATTCTGAGGCTAGACGGGAGGTGCTCGGAACGTGCCATGTCGACATCCGGATGTACCTAGGTGATGAGTTTCCTGGTAGACATCAGCTTATGTTATCCCTTCAATTCGGCAAGGACCACAATAAAATTGCAAACGGTTGTGCATATTGCAAGCTATTCACTCCTCCGGCAGCCATTATTCGCAGAATGTATGGGCGCTGTGCACGCTGGAGTCCCCGAAGGTGCTTGAGAAAGAGCAACAAGAAAACGAGTGCTTTGTGACAGGACCCCACATAAGACAGCTCAAACCGTCAACCTTCCACACTACTGAGGCCAACTTCTACCTGAAAGTTGTCACAACTCCAGGAGACCCCAGAGATACACTCAAGGTGATCGTGCAGAGATCTCACATTCCGGATTCTGGTTCTGCGCTCTCGCGGAGGAAATCTTACTCACCCTGATCAATAGCCACATATTCTGTGGTGGAAAGCGGTACATGGCTCCCGGGAAGAGTCATATAAGGCTGATCGTTCCACTGTTCTCTATCATTGTCAAATGCATCAATCGGTGAAGGGATAGAGTTGAAGTCAATGTTCGCCCGGAGACCTAAAGCGCGTTTGAGAGTATTCTTGACCAGTATCAACCAATCATACCCTTGAAAGCTAGACCAGCACTGTGTGGTGGTTGAGGGATCGGTGTGATGGGCGTCCGAGGAGTACTCATCTGAAAACGTGCTGAGCCGCAGCCGCCGTCACAATGGGCGGAAGTAGTTGTGCTATTTTTGGTTTGTTTGGCAACAGCCTCTGATCCAAACAACCATTGCCTTGTGCTCGCAACTGATTACTGTAATAGCATGATAGTTTATAGGAGATCTGATACACATTCCGCATAATGACAAGAAAATCTCTACCTGCATCAGAGAACAAGATTGCGACTTTACCGTTGTCTACATTCAAGTTGCGAAAGCACATGTTTAGTAATACTGGTGTGCTGCTATGGTCAAAAGTAACAAGGTATGGCAATCGGATACCACTATAATTAGCTGTTTACCTGACTTTGATGCACAGTCTTAACCAGATCAGCACTCCAATGAAAGCCTGCATAGCTGCTTCATGGTCATTCCACTGCATCTGATAAACAAAGTTAGCCACAAGTCCTCGCAGTGCAGGAAAAAACCCGCCAATACTCACCAAATGATTTGCATTAATATTGGGAATGACCTTGTAGTTAATCATATGTAGCGTTGCTGACCAGGTCCCATATTTTCATCTGCGGCAGCCAGGTGCGCACGGACCTGTGACCGGCTCAGTAAAAATGAGAATTGGCCAAATTTAAAATTTTGGCAAGTTTGACTATTAATGACTAATTGTGACTATTTTTATAGTTTTCTCATAGTGCCTGACCTCATATAGTTTGGACCATGTCTGTATAGTTATGTTCCAGTGCAGAAAAAAGCAACATATGAGCTCCAGAATGCCATGTATTCTGAGATAATCAACCACAGTGTCTGACTCTTGTAGACTAGGATTTAATGGCATTTAATCACATAATTTCTTGGCATGATGAGTTTGGTAACTGTAAACAGACTTCTCTGGACTTTATCTGACCATGGTGCCAAAATTTTGAATCTCATTGACTTCAGCCCGACAATTCCAGACTTTTCCCTTTTTTACTGAGATGCATGCATGCATGCATGTGACTGATGGGACTCGCGAGAGCATCGCATGTTCAAGTGAAGACGATGAGTGATGATACCCCTTCCCCGAAAGCGTCAATTAATGTTAATAATGTTTCCTCTGCCACGGGCCGCGGGAGGCCATCTGCCACCGGAACCAAATACGCCAAAATAACGCGACTTGCGTGTTGCGTCAATATTAATGGGCGCCTTCTCGTCTCCGTTTTTGTCTCGTCCACATAATACCCGCAATGGCGCCTCCAAAGTCTCAACCTGCCGACAAAATGAAGCAGAAGAGTCTGATGTCTTTCTTTGGCAAACAGTCTGCAAAGTCGTCCGCCACGCTCGACGCGGCGTCCAAGGCCAGGGCCAAGATTCCAGCACGCGTGCATGACACAGCACCATCATCCGACCCTCCCATTCCAGAGGTCCGCACGCCAATGTCCAAAAGCACTTCGCGCTCATCAGGTGTTATGAGCGCGACTTACACGAGGAGTTCTGATGGTGCACTCAGCGCCAAGGAGACACCACCGACCAGTGACCCTGTTGACGTTGATATGTTGTCTGATGAGGAGGACGACGTGAGTCAAAAGAGTGTAGAGAAATCGGTCAGTATTTGCTATGGTTATGACTATGCGACCTTTGTCTTCGAATTCGCGAATTCTATTGTGTCAGCTGGAGGATGCGTTCCAGGAGAGCTCAAACGCGTAGAGAAGGAGCGACAGTGTTACGTGTCACGACCTTCGCTTAGAATAGTGGTCTCCTTTCTTTGACTCACGATGATCTCCATTTGCAGACAACGACACGTCAAAAACGTAAGATGGTCATTGATGACTCTGACGAGGAAGGGGGTAATATCGACGCCGATGCATACAAGAAGGGTCTATCTGCGCGAAAGGCTTCCCCAGAGCCTGCAAAGAAGAACGTGTCTAATCGCGCGAAGAAGCTGCGCGTATCTGTGATGTTTTCGGACGAAGAGGAACAGGTTAAAGAGGATGGCGGGGATGCCCCCGGAATTAGTCTGTTCACACAACGTCTCACGAAGTACCAGAAGTCGCCAACCAAGATAAGTAAGTCAACTTCTGCCATTTGCTGAACCCTCTTACAACGTGCCGAACTTCACAGCTCGGAAAACAACTAGTGACGACGACGACTTCATTGTTCCCGATGATATTGACGAAGAGTCAGACGACGGCGGAGATGTTCCACGCTCATCTTCACGTGCTTCAGCTTCTTCATCTTCGCGTCCTTCGTCCCGCCTCTCCGCCTACGCCCACTCTTCCGCTGCCTCTGAGGCGGAGGGTGACAACGACACGTCCGCGCAGCCTAAGCCAAAGAAGAAGGCCGCTGAACGTCTGCCTCTCAAGAAGGGCGGCGGCTCAGAAGGCGGAGTAGGCAGTGACAGTTTCTTGACGGCGGCGGAACGACGCGCGCAGCAGCAGAAGGCGGAGAAGAAGAGTACTGAAGACCCGTTCGCCTTTCTCGCGGACGTCAAAGACAAGGACGGTGTGCGCCCAGGCCAGCCGGGGTACGACCCGCGCACACTGCATATCCCGGAGAAAGCGTGGAACAGGTTCACCCCGTTCGAGAAACAGGTGGGTTTCCTGTTACACGTTGTAGTGGATTTCGCTCATGTGTAATAGTTCTGGGAGATCAAGCAGAATCATTTTGATACCATTTTGTTCTTCCAGAAAGGCAAGTTCTTGGAGTTATACGAGGAAGACGCGCGCATTGGTCATCGGGAGTTCGATTTGAAACTGACGCAGCGTGTGAAGATGAGCATGGTGGGTTTATCCTCTCCCTGCTAGTCTCAACAGGTTTCAAGTTATATTACAGGTCGGTGTTCCGGAAATGTCATTCAACTTCTGGGCAGCGAAGTTCCTCGCGAAAGGTGTGCTTCCTCTCTCCTGGGCAGTCTGGTGATACTTATCCGTTTTGTTCAGGTTACAAGGTCGGCCGAGTGGACCAGGCAGAGACCGCTCTGGGAGCGGAGATGCGTCTTGCAGCCGACAAGAAGACCGGAAAAGGACGCGCTGGCGCGGAGGACAAGGGCAAGGACAAAATCGTGCGGCGCGAGCTCAACAAAGTCTACACCAACGGCACGCTTGTCGACCCGGAGCTGCTCACGGACGAGCAGGCGGGACATTGTGTTTCGATCCGCGAGGAGGAGAGCGAAGGCAAGGACGGCAAGCAGACGTTTGGAATATGCGTGCTTGATAGCGCCACGAGCGAGTTCAATTTGAGCTCGTTCGAAGATGATATCTGCAGGACAAAGCTCGAGACTATGATGAGGCAGCTGCGTCCGAAGGAAATCATGTTCACGAAGGTGAATATATTACATTGTGAACGCTTGTCTTTCACATGTACTCAAATTTTCTCAGGGAAACCTTTCAGTCTCGACCACGCGTCTGCTAAAGGCCATCCTTCCTGGAAGTTGCCTCTGGACAAGCTTGCGCGAGAGCGAAGGACTTACTTATGAGAAGACTCTGAAGGAGCTCAAGAAGCTGTATCCTGCTACGGACGAGGATGACGATATGGACGACTCTGGGTTCGGTTTGAGCAGTACAGTTCCGCAGGCTATTATGGAGATGCTCGGGTGCAACAGTGCAATCGAGGCCTTGGGTTCGATGATCTGGTACGTCAATTTTGGCTTCGTTTTCGCCTCTCAAGCTAAAGTATTGCTTAATCATAGGTACTTGCACACATTGAACATCGACAAGGACATACTGGGCATGAAGAACTTTAATGTTTACGACCCCATGAAACGAGGTCAAGGTCTTGTGCTTGATGGTCAGACTTTAGCGCACATCGAGGTCTTGAAACACCTGCTTCGTTTAAACTTTCCGTAGAGCTAATCATAATGCGGACAGGTATTGCTCAACAGCGAAGGTACCGAGGATGGATCGTTGTTGAAACTCCTTGGGAGGTGCATCACTCCTTCCGGTAATTTCGCCGTATACTCGCTTCGAAGCTCCTTACCAATGTCTCCTTACCAACGTATTTGCAGGGAAACGCTTGTTCCGCATCTGGCTTTGTATGCCGTTGCGCGAGAATGCGGATATTAACGCTCGGTAAGCTTACACCCACGCACTCGCTCTCCTGTCAAGCATGAAATTCATCGTGGGTTGGCATAGACTCGACGCAGTCGAGGACCTCATGGAGCATCTAACGTTCGAGGCCGAGTTCACCTCTATCGCGAAAGGATTGCCAGATCTCGAACGCATTGTCTCACGTATACATGCCAAGAGTTGCAAAGTAAAAGACTTCATAAAAGTTCTTACCGTACGTCTTCACCTTGTCTCGGGTCAGCGTTCAATGATTCCCTGACACGTGCGTTACAGTCTTTCAAAACACTGAGTGACGGATTGGCAAGGCTTGCTGATACTGCTGCGTCCTTCAACTCAAAGACCGTCCTCGGCTTGCTGCGCTCTGCACCAAACTTGCAGCCGAACATCAAGCACGTGAAGGCAATGTTCAAAAAGACCGAGGAAAGTACGTCTTAAAAGTTTCTACCTGTTTAAGCCCGAAGAAAGGCTGACGGTCAAACTTGTGTGCCAGATGCTGACGAGCTCGTCCCCGAGGACGGTAAAGACGAGACCTACGACGAGATCATGGAGGAAATTACCTCACTAGAAGAAGAGCTTGCAGATGAACTCAAGAGGCTTGAGAGCAAAGTCGGGTAAGCAAGTCTTGTTGCCTCTTCAACTACCCCAGCTGATGAGCGGCTTCTTAGGACGAGGCTCACTTACTGGCACAGTGCTACAGGTACCAAGGTAAGGCATTCTACTTTTATGTGCGATTCCGGCCTCATATGTGCTCAGGACATTTATTTGGTTCAAACCAAACCTAAGCAACCAGGTCTGCCGAAAGATTGGATCAGGAGCGGGGGCACAAAGGTACCTCACGAACCACTACCTTAATCTCGCCATTCCCCCCCTCTAATTGTCACACCAGGCTGCTGAGCGCTGGAGCGTCCCTTCGCTAGCTCCAACAATCCGTAAACTAAAAGAAGCACGCGAGAATCGCAACAGCGCGATCAAGGGATTCAAGAACCGGCTCTTTGCAGAATTTGACGTGGACCGCAGCGTGTGGCTGCGCGCAATCCGCGTGCTCGCTGAGTTGGATTGCTTGTTCAGTCTCGCGAAGTCGTCAGCCGCGCTTGGTGAGCCCGCGTGCAGGCCTGAGCTCGTTGAAGGTGACGCTGCGTGGATAGAGTTCGAGGAGCTAAGGCACCCGGCACTGTGTGTCAGCTCGAGTTTGAAGGGCGACTTCATTCCTAATGATGTCAAGCTTGGAGGAGACGTGGGGAGGATTGCTTTACTAACTGGTATGTCTATCTATTAACAGAGAAGTCAGAGCAATAAAAAGACTGACTTGTGTCCCTCGCGCACAGGGCCCAACATGGGGTAAGCTAGGCTACATTCTGTAGGTTCAGCACGGCATAGATGCTAATTATGGTGGTGTCATTCAGAGGAAAATCAACAGTAAGCACTTTTTTCTCATGCTACTGGACAATACTCATACCTTATACAGGCGATGCGCATGACTGCTACCGGTGTGGTGAGCACGAGTACAAGTCTGAGTTATTCTAACATTCAAACTCACTTTTGGACTAGATTATGGCTCAGCTTGGCATGCTCGTTCCCGCGAAGAAAGCACGGTAACTAATGTTCTTCGATCGTCCCTAGGTTAATCTTAACGGTGTCGTTTTGACAGATTGTGCGCTGTAGATTCGATCTTGACCCGGATGGGCGCTTACGACGCCATGTTCTCCAACGCTAGTACTTTCAAGGTTGAATTGGATGAATGGTGCGTTTTTCGATGCCCCCTCCCATTTTCTGGACGCGTAACATGTGTTGTCGCAGCTGCAAGATTCTCCGCGACGCCACGCCGAAATCGTTGGTCATTCTAGATGGTCGGGAACCCGCCTTTGCGTTGAATTGTGTTACTGACGTGAAACGATTATAGAACTGGGCAGAGGTACCTCAACATACGTAAGTCAGAAGCTCTATTCTCGTCTGAACTGCGTATTGAACACAACTTCCAGGACGGCATGGCTATAGCTGGAGTGAGCGCACTCGGCTATAATCCTTCGATACTTGCTGACGACGTCACACCAGGCTGTGCTGCACCAACTTGCTACACACACACTCGCACTTTCGTTCTTCGCGACGCACTACGGATCGTTGACTGACGACTTCTCGTACCACCCCAACATCCGAAACATGCACATGGAAACAATGGTCGATGACGAGAAGCGGGAGGTACATCACTTAGGATTTGCCCATGCAATGAAAACTCAACTAATGTGACTCCGTGTACAGCTGGTATTCCTTTACAAACTCGTCAAAGGCGTTGCGTCCTCGTCTTTCGGAACTCACGTCGCAAGTCTTGCTGGCGTACCCGAGGAGGTCGTGAAACGTGCCGACGTGGTGTCCAAGGACTTTGCCATGCAGTTCAAGGAGAAAATCGAGGGGAAGAAGAACCAAGCGGCGGGAAGGCTGCCACTGGTTGCCCAGGCCGACTTCGCGTACCTTTACAAGCTGGCGACGGGCAAGTGCGAGATGTCTGAGGACAAGGTGAGACAGCGCGAGGTGCTGAAGGGCCTCAAGGCTGCTGTGATTCGCTGCTTGCAAAGTGTGGGAGCTTAAGTCAGACCCGGGGTTCGGGATCATCACATCTACTAATAGCTGTTCGAAACGTTTATTGTCGTGCTGTGCAATCTTCCGAGATGCTGTCGTGCTGTATCATAGTTATGTTCGCTGCCCTTGCAGTCTATACTGTTCTTCGTGCCGAAGTTACTAAGTTTAAACCCTCTAATGAAAATAAATGGGCCGAAATCCCCAATAAATTCACTAATAAGCTAAATGTAGACGTCCGTAGAACTCAGTAGACTGACAGCGTTCTGATCTTTAAAACATCCACCCTCCCGCGAGACCCATGACATTCTCCGGGTCATACTTCGCCTTCAGCGCAGCCAAAGTGCCCGCATTGTCACCATACATCTTCTCCACCGCCGTCCCATACAGCGCATAGCTAGGATACAGTACCGCGTCCGAGATGTGCTGGCCCTCCGCGATAGCCGCGTTCTTGATGGTCTCCGCGGGCTTCACGAGCTCATCGTACATGGCACCGTCTGAGGTCGACAACGTCCGGCTGAAGTAGACGTTCAGCGGGAGGTAGCGCTGGCTGCTCTTCGGCGGGAATGTAGTTGGGCCGCAGCGCATGCTCATCAGGGTGGCGGAGTCGGATGACATCAGTGCACCCCAATACTGTTCAAAATGAGAGTGAGGATCTTACAATGGTGTCACAATGCAGGATCACGTACCAGGCTCTCGTTGTGGACAACGTCAAGCAAACCTGGGATGATGGCCTCCACTGAGACAATATTAAAAAATCCGCTACGGATCACTTTAAATAAGTCTCTGTTGCAGTGGGAGCATTCCAGAAGTAAGAAAGCATCCACCGCCCGAGGGAAGTGGTATTCCCGCCACGTGCTTTCACAAGTGACAACAAATATGGCGTGGAGACGTCGCTCAACACATACGGTATGGCAAGGAAAAATACCCGATGGGGGAAGTAGGAGCGTCATAGAATATAATTACAGACATCACGGACTGATGTCAGGTCACACCATCAGCTTCAGCCGTTCGGACTGGATTCGCATGTAAAAGTGACATACAAACCCGACGGCATAGTTATATGCCATCAACATCGGGATGCCTTGGGATCGGTGACGTTAGCGGAGAAATTCGCCGTGGCGGCTTTGAACTCCTGTGCGTATAGGGAACCATGGATTTCGATGACACCACCCTGGACACTGTGGTCAGCAAGACATAGAGCAGCCAGACCGACGAATCTCGCCCATATTTCAGTTTGCGGCCACGACTTCATAGTAAATTTCGTAACGATGCCCTGGAAACTTTGACGTTCAGCCGCACATCTCATTCGCGCCACTAGGCTGCACTCACAAAGTTGTTGAACCCGCCCTAATAAGAAAACTAAACATTAGAGAAGAACATTGGGATATGCTTCCGACGCCGACCTTCAAACTGAAATTTAGATCGGGGTATGATGACACCGAGACATCCATAGTCATACCGTTCGTACGCTCATCACAAAAAAGGCGCGGAACTTGTAATGCCATTATATTGAAATAGAATGCCATTAGAATGGATAAAACCATCAGAATGACTGGAATCTTTAAAATGTCAATCTGTCTTAACAATGAAATGTTAGAAGTTGAATAGAATGCCAATAAAATTACATAGTGTATTGGTTGTAACGGGCGAAAGTATCTGGCTGCTTAGAAGACTTGCTCCTGCCGGTGCAGTATTCGGGCTACTTGCTGCTGTATCCTCGAAGCATCAAATATAATGCATAATAACATACACAAAAAGATATATTGTGTGAGTACATAGCACATATGTGTGCGCCTTCGCACTGTGGTACATGTAAAGAGTCAGGTGGCGAATGTGAACACTGATGGTGGCGGCGAGGAGGCTCCGATCACGGTACCATTCGACCGTCGTCGTCTCGGCTTCCCGGAGGTGCGTTGCATATCGTGAGCGATACTTGGGTGTGCAGAAGCAAGCAATGAATCGCCGCAGGCAGGATGATTGCCAGTGTTGACATCACATCAGGAAAACCCCACTTTTCCTTAAAAGGACACTTAAATAACTTAAATGGACTTATGGTCCTTATTTAAGGACATAAGGACAAAAAGGGCCTAAGGCATATTCCCTGAGTGTCTGGAATTCGACTTATTTGAACACTTATGGCCTTAAATAAGGGTTCTCAGACCCCAAAGTCTAAATACGTCCATAAGAGAAAGTTGGGTTTTCCTGATGCAGCAGCCGCTGGTTAACGTCACAGCTTCAGTGGCTAGCATTGCTTGGACTTGTAGGTCTTCTGTTGGTACTCTTCGCGCAGGTCTTCAGTGGGGATCCACCTAAGCACGACACTGTGTAACAGTAGCCAGTGTAGAATTTTGGATTTTGATGACAAGCTTCCTGCGGAACGCCCTGCGCCGGTGCTTGACTCTAACATGTATCACCAGGTGGGTTCTTGCTTATTGATGTTCCTATAATGTGCTAATGTTCTTCCACAAGCTGCTTGAGTCCGAGTCATAGGAACAAGTCGCTGCACGAGAAATGAAGATATCTGCATTTCCGAGGTGCCACAAGCCATGCTAACATACAGAGACCACGTTGTAAGCAAGTAGCTAGAGGCACAAGGTCCAGCAGAGAGTCGACGAGCATGCAGAGGGCTCGGAAAAAATTGCAGAGCCACCATGCAAGAGGCAGAGCACAAGATATAGTGAGTTTGACGTAGCCTGAGCGGGAGAAGCATTTGAAGGCCAACATGGACACGCAAACTCTGTTTTGAAAATGAAAAGGTTAGAGCAGAAAGTATCAATCGACAACAAGGGTGAGCAGGAGCAGGAGCAGGCGACGACAAGGGATGTCATGGACTTTGCAGCTGTACAGTTCTCGGAACTAGCCGGGAGTTCGCAACACTCAGAGGCAGGCAGGACGAAGGCAGGACACAGCATTGTGCAGCAATCCGAAGGCAAATGGAATGAGAGTGCGAGACCCTTGGAAGGTGCAAAGATGTAGAGCATCGATTAGAAGGTGTAATATTATTTGTTATGTTGTCACACGATTGTAATCTTCTTGCGCTTCGACTACAATTGGATTATAATGGATAAAATTCTTGGATCACTCAAAATAGATAAAATCTAGCCGCACTTTTTGTGATGCTAGGATATTGTCAACAATCACTCCATGCTGGTTGGTCTTCCACGCGTATCCTGGAGAAATTATCTAGTAGCATCACCATTTTTCGTAGGTAAAACTCAAATACATACCTGTATCAGCAAAACTCCATTTGACCTCATTACATGTCTTACCTGCATTTTTTGGGCCTTTTTCGTCTTACTTGTCTTGAATCAGGAGGTTGGAGTGAGTGACCTCATTATTTTAAGACAGGCCTGTCTTTTCCAAAACAAGACATAATAAAAATCTATGTAGTGTATGTTTTAGAATACCTTTGCTTATGTGTATTCCAGACCTAACACCTCCGGAATTCCAAAAAACATGTCCTCCAGAAATGTAAGAAAAATTGCAAAAAAGACAATCAAGACAGTAAGACAAAAAGTAGAGGGGAGTTTTGCTGATGCGCCCCCTCCACCCAGTGCCACATCAGGAAAACCCAACTTTTACTTATGGGACTTATTCCGACTTTTTGTCCTTTTTTGCCTTATTTAAGGCCCATAAGTTCCCAAAAGTCAGCTTTTAAGCCTCTAAGGAAATATGACTTATGGACTTTTTGTCTTTTTTTACCTTATTTAAGACCTATAAGTGCATTTAAGTCACATAAGGACACCTTTAAGTAAAAGTTGGGTTTTCCTGATATGATAATCCAGCCACACCGATCCCGCTAATTCTCCCACCAAGGACACTCGCATTATACAGCTCGAGTGCAGCATAAACTTCATCTCAGTGAGGCCAGACCCCAAATCGACCGATTGTGACTCAGAGTCATAATTGATCTTATCAAAGAAATACATGGCAATTTCCACTTTCATACTGGAGGACCATTCTGAGTTCATTATGTGGCCACCACCTTTCACCTGGAACAATCATATCAGCTGTGTGTTGCTCCGAAAAGAATAAGGCAGCACTTATGCTGGATGGCATTTGGGCTTTCCCCAATATTTGAAGCTATCAATAATCCTGTTGGAAAGGGCTTAATTTATGTCAGAGGCACTTACAATGACACTCAGATCTTCTGCAGTGCCAGACTCAACAAAACATACAGCCTCCTGAGCGGTGCTAGATGAAGTATAGTGGAATATGTCTATTGTGTACTACTCTTCCTCTGTGAAAGACAGTCATTTTCCATTCATTTCATAACATTTCAAACGGTATGCATGAGGCCAGTAAATGTCAGATGCAGACGATATGACTAAGGCAATCACCTCACAAGTGCCCGTGATGTTCGAGGCTGATACAGACTTGAAAGTAAAACTATGAATGAGGAGCCAGACAACTTATGAGCACTTTACTGGTGGAACACATCCTGACAAGTTTTATAACAGATAGTAGGCTTGGTTGGCCCATATATATCTTATTGTTGGTAGTTTCCCAAGTAGTGGTACATTTCAAAACATCAGCTGATGACACCACCACAACATCATGGAAGTGAGAAACATCAGATGAGTAAAAATATTGAAATAAATAAATGATGCTGTCTCATTGCAATTTCAATATGTTATGGTTAACAGCCCCTGGTTAAAAAATTGTGCACAAGTGGCCTTTGAGTGATCTGCAAAAAAAAAACTTGAGATAGACAGTATTTTACCCTTTGCATCTTGCCAGGATGCAAGAAGATTGCGGATGCGAGAGGCCTAGGCGACACAATTTGGTGGCAGCACTGGTGCACAGTAGTGCCACCCACCTGAGCTTCCGGAGCATTTGATCTTGGCAGTTCACACTGTGAACAGATTTCTTTGGAGAGGTCTATTGATATGATCTTTGCTGGAATTGGATTCGCCCTTATTGCCATCTTGTGTCGAGGATGTAGGTGTGGTCTGAGTCTATCAATGACAAAGCAAAGGAAAAGATGTCAGACACATGTATGCCTCTCGCTCAGACGGACACTGGGGTCAGTCTCTCCTGACTTTGCTTCGGGAAGGCTGGCCCCTCTACTTAAGAATTGCTGATCACTTATGAGATAGTAACCGTAGTGCAAGATGGGTGGAAGTGCACTGCTCACTCTAGGCTTAAGAGCCAGTGGCAGCTCCTCCAAGGCAGGTACAGTACCATACAACACAGGTGATGGAGAAAGGCTGGCGAAATGTTATCAGTCATGTTCATGCTTGAGTGTTTGAGAGAGGCCAGAAGAATGCACAGCCTCCAGTGGGAAACATGGGTGGAGATCTTGGATGGAGCTCATGAGAAGTCATTGTTTGCGTTATGGTCAGTAAGTGACCAGTGACTAGTGACTGTTGAAACTGAGGGAGACGTGACGGCCACGGTGTTATAGTACGCGTTGTCACGCGTCACGCGTCGCGACCGCGTTCTGCGCTACGGTGATCAGTAGCGCAGAACCACCATCCTTACAGGGTTTCCATAAAACCTTGATGTCGCGCCTTTTTTTTTCTAGTGCGATCACCTCGCTTATAAGTTCCGGAGCACATCCGAGAGTCCCGAACCTCCGTCATATGGCAGTGTGGCGGGAAACAGGATTTTCATTGCAACCTGTGTACGAGAAAAGGGGAAGTGTAGCAAAGGTGCCCAAGACACAGATGGCCTGTTCCTATGACTCGTGGATACGCTACGGAGGAGTAATTGCTTGGGGAACGCACTAGATAGAGGCTTCTCACTCAAAGACGAGGGCTAGATGTCGTGCCGGAAGAAAAAAGGTGCACGGCAAGGTCTTATATATGGAGGCCCTGTAATCCTCCCCTTTAAACGCAGGCGAGAACGTCTAAACTCGGATTGGAGCATTGGTTCACATAAGTAGTGCAACACCGTCGCAAATGACCGGCAATATTTCTGTCATGAGCGGTAGAACAGCGAACGATTGATATTCCGACCGCCCTCTTTCGCCGCCTCCCCTCCGTCATGCAGCAAGACTACCCTGCAGCCTCCTCTGACATACATATTTTCTGAGTCTCTTTCATAATTGATTTCTGATTCGCTTCAGTACTCGAGAGATGTTGAACATCACATACCATTTTTGGATGTTGCGGCTATTCCCATCACACCCAAATTCTGTTCTCAGTGAACGTTGACCGCAAGTTCCACGAGCCGATACCCACCTCACCCTCTCCTCATTCTTTACCTCCGCCTCAATCGTTTAAAAACTATGTCACTAGCGCTCGTCACATTGCTACCTCTGTTGGTGTCTGCCATTTCCGGTGTGACAGCGCAGCAAACTTGGTGATTGGATTTGTCGAACGGACCAGATGTAGATCTAACCTCCATTCTCCAGCAATTCTACGTCGCTGTGCGGATCGGCCAGTCCTTGTTGCAGTGCGTCGATGCAGTTCTATACTTCTGCAGTCGATTGACACGCGCTGCTCAGGCTCGTACGGTTTCTGCGGGAGCGGTCCTGTGCGTGTTCTGTAAGTTTAATAATTCGACTCTGATACCCTCGTAGGATTTCTGCTACGGGGGATGCGATCCCCTCAGTTCCAATACCCTCGACTCCTGCATGCCCGAACCCGTGTGCCAGGACAGAAATGTACGTGCGCTCTGTGAATTCAATCTTACGCCTCATCGATCGTCGTCTGGGCAGATCACCTTCGCAAACTTCGATCGCATACTGACGAACCAGACGTACTACCACGGCAACGCTTCCGAGTACGACTTGGTCGTCAACCAAGGGAACATCATGAACATGAACACTTCCGGTGGCGAGCTCGCGATGTTGCTCACGGAGTCGAATGGCGGCACGCGCCTCAGCACGACGACCTACGTGCATTATGGCCAGATGACCGCTCGCCGTGCGTGGCTTCGTTTGCCAGCCTCGAGTGAAGTGCTGAACCACAGCAGTGACAACTGGCCGCTGGGCCGGGGTCGTGACGGCGTTCATTACGATGTCGGACATTAAGGACGAGATTGACTGGGAGTTCCCCGGAAACCAGACGACGCAGGGCCAAACCAACTACTTCTGGCAGGGCGTGATCCGTGAGCGCAGCGCATTGCACTGATGTTGAATTAGAGCTGAAGCCAGGTCTGCACAGCGGCGACCACCGCCGGCGAAGTGACTAGCAATATCTCGGACACGTACAGCAACTTCCATGATTACACGGTACGCGGGTATTGCCGTTTTTGGCTAGCTATTTCCGAGCGCTGACTCCATCGCAGATCGACTGGCAGCCAGATACTTTGACGTGGCTTGTAGACGGCCAGGTCGTACGCACGCTGCACGCGTCCGACGTCACGGACAACACCACTGGGACTAGCCGCTACCCCAACACGCCAAGCAGGGTCGAGCTCAGGTGGGTCTACCCGTCTCCGCGTGTTCCCGCCACTGACAGGACGCGTCGCAGCATCTGGCCGGCGGGCATCAACACCTCCGCGCAGGGTACGATCCAATGGGCGGGTGGGATGATCAACTGGAATGACTCGGACTATACCAACAACGGCGGGCACTTCTACGCGCTCGTGTCCTCGCTCTCGATCACCTGCAACGACCCGACCACGCCCGGTGCGAACGTGACGTCGTACGTGTACGCCAAGAACTCGTCCGCGTACACGCCCACCATCCTCTTTTCGAACGAGAGCACCATCGGCGGTGCGCTCGGCATGCACACGCTCATCTGGAGTGTGCCTGGGAGTGTCGTCGCTGCGCTGGTCGCGGCTCTGCTTGGCTTGGGCTTCTCTCTGTAGGGCACCTGCACTGTCTGTCATAAATATCTTCTTTTGGCCCTGTCGTCTGACTTCCTCCCGCATGCTCGCTTGCGAGTACGCAGCCATCTGCCTCGTTATAGGTTATAATCGAGTATTGCACCTCTGCCCAGGTTGTACTGATGTGTGTCATCCAGAATGAAACAAATTAACGGTATGTACAAGAAGTTACTCTAATAACTATCACCAGACAACAGGGTGCAACGCATTACTGCTCTTGCGACTCTGGTCCCTCAAACTCGACCATGACGCCGCTCTCATCGCCTACGCCCGAATCATCCTCCGAGAACTCGTCAACCAAGTCCTTGACTTCCTGCACTACCGCTTCAAGTGCATTCGCCTTCGTCCACGCACGCTCTCCAGGATTTGCATCGACGTCCACCTCGCCGCCAGGCAGCAACACTCGATATCCGAGCGCTACCTGCACTGAGCGTATCCGGCGATATGTCATGCGCACAAGCAGCGGCGACTCCACTATCATATCTTTCGCAGCGGCGAACCCGCTTCCCCGCCCTGCGACACCGCCCGGCGATATAGAGCGCCGGGAACTGCCTTCATCCACCGCCGAATGAGGTCGCACGGGACCGAGGTGTACAATCTTCGGCCCTGACAGGCGAAAGCTGCGGTTCGCCAATGACGGCGAGATGGGGCTCCTCTCACGTGCGTAGCCCGCTTGCCGAACGCCTAAGCTTTCCTCCTTGCGTGGCGTCGACATACGTAGGCTCGCATCGTCAAAGACCGGGAGCGACATAGAGACATTGAGGAAGGTCGAATTGCGTGGAGTTGATGCAGCAGATGAGTTAGGAGTGTCGGCCAGCATGCTGCGCCGAGGCTTCGTGAACATGGAAGATACGGGACGGCTTCTGGACGACATGGCGCTGAGCGGTGACGCAATATTAGCGGTCTGCTGCTGTGATAACTGCTGATGCAATGTCGCAATCTTCTCCTGTACAAAGCCCCGCATCTGCAGAACCAGGGGGCTGCGACTGAGACATAACCACTGCACGAAAGACCATGTGAGATAGTCAATCAACCGTGGCTCAGCGAGTCGTTTTTGCGAGACGAAGGATACGCTGGAAGGGAGTAAGAAGGGGTTACCTTGTTGCTCGCTGAAACTCTGCCCGTATTTGGGGGACTGAATTGGCGATGGGGGATCTGACAGATGGACGTTCCGCGGTCTCAGCGCGAAGGTCGCGTCTCCTTCATCGAATAACGTCCTCAGAATAGTGCCGAGTTGCGCCCATACAGCAGGGTGAATTGACATGATATCATTTTCTGCACGGATGACAATGACTTTGAGGATCTGCAGTGCCATGGTAAACACCGCTGCTGACTTCGTACTTGCAACTAATCCACGGTTGTCCTGAGACTTGCGGCGGTCAAGACCATGAGATTTTGACTGCTCCATGTGGATGTGCGTGTTTTGACAAGCCGACAGGATGTAGGCAAGGAGCCGAATCCATGCCTTCGAATGGACTTGTCTACGCTGCGCGTTTGCCCATTGGCCCTCGGAATCGGCGGCTGCCTGCTCGGAAGTCCTTAGTGCCAGCACAAAGGGTAGTAAAATGCCAACCAGGAATTCGTACGAAGGGCTACGCGTTACAAGCTCAGCGATCACGTCTGCGCCTGCGAGGGAGACCGCATGATCCATCAACGCGATAAGACTACCTCGAAGGGGCAGAGAGAACAAGAGATCCTCCGAAGCCGCCAGCTCGCAGGCCTCCAGACCAGCACGACAATACTGACTGACCACCGCATGGGCAAAAGCAGGTTCTCCGACTAGAACAGGATCGTCGACTAACTTGGTGAGCACATCAAACACACCAGAAAAGTCAACCGTGGCGCAATACGCGGAGGTGATCGGGGCGAACTCATTCAAAAGTAAGAGCACTCCTTTCAGACGAGAAGGTATATTGTGCAGCAAGACCGAGCCCATGTAGTCGCCGATGAATTGAGCAATACGTTCACTACTTGAGCGCGAATCCCTGAGAACTTGCTTGCAAAGTTCCACGATTCGGTGGGGAGTGCCAGAAGCTAGTTGGCCTCCTGCTTTCGTGAACATGAGCACCAGAGACAAGTAATCGAGGCGCATCACAAGCTGGTCGCTGGGGGACAATGCTGGTTGGGCTCCTTGCCCGAGCCCCTCTGAGAGAAACTCGTAATCGAAGTCATCCGTAGGACGAGTTTGCCCACTGTCGGCTTTCGTTCTTCCTCCACCTCTGGTAAGTATGATGGCGCCCAAAGCGTCAATGCCCTCTCGAAGAACATCGCGAGCTGAACTCGATCCATTGTAGAGATGAGGTGCAAGCAATCGGAGCAACTTGAGGAATCGCTCCGCTCGCTGGATAAGTGGATTGTGAGCAATGACCGTCAAAAACAGACGAACAAAGTCATCAAGCCCAAGACGTCTCCATTCATACACCTCAGGAACCTCGACGGCTATTTGACTTTTGTCGGTGTTACTCTTGCGCAGTGATGCAAAGAACGTTTGAGGGACATCCTCCGCTACGCTGAGTAAAATAGCTTCTTGTTCCTGTATCTTGTTAATGTCCGCGACTCCTGCAACATCGTGAGCCGACGGAGGAGCGCCGCTCTTCAAGGTGGAGAAAAGTGCGAATACATGGCCGGCCAGCCATGGACCATCGACATTGGGCAGCTTGAAGAGGTGGGATATCACATCAATGCTCTGAAAGACAAATGACTCTTGATGCAAGGCATAGAAGCGATTTACGCCGTATTCAATGGCAGCCCTGATGCCAGCATTGAACTCTGCCTCACAGTATGTTTTGAATATTGCGGGCATGAACAGGGAATACCCTCCTCCTGAAATGAACAAGCGCTTAAAGCGCGTACTTGCCATCATAAAGGCTGGTGGTTAACAAATGTCAAAAATGAGCCTGGGCTGGATAATTAATCGTGCACACTCGCCTAACATCGTGTGGCCTACTATACCAACATCATCTCCATGAGCGAGTAGTATGCGGTTAAGACCATCTACAAGGATAGCCAACTCCTGTCGATCGCTCAGATTCCGTGGCATGCAGCGGAACAACTGGACAACAAGCAGCAGGTGGCTACGGGCTAAAGTCAGCGATAACGCGGTCAGGGTGGCGGAGGGAGTGGGTGGTCGTGATTCAGGCTTCAGCGGTGCGAAGGCAAGAAGGGGGAGCGAGTCTTCATCGGCGCCATCACTTAAGGAGGGTAATACGAATCTGGTCTTGCTCTTCCTAATCACCTTGACGTCTCCAGGATCTCGCTTCAACATGTTCAGGAAGAGCATGTTCTGAGAAGTCCTGATCATAGTTATCCAGACTAACTCTGGAGGAAGAATGAACGGATCCTGGGCTCGCGTTAGCGATCTTGGAAACATGGGGCCAGGAGGAGCTGATGAAGGGAACCAAAGAGACCCAGACGGTATCAAGTAGATATCGACTTTCGCTCGACGAATCTCGCGCATAGACATTTTGCTGACTTGTGTGACAAGCTTCGCAATCGAAGGTGCTATATAGGCATAGCTCTGAAGAGGCGTCGCGGTATCTGCTGGTCGACTGGTCAGCTTGAGGAAACCGGCTAGATGATTCAAGATATGATGCGTTATCGCGGGCGGGAGTAGATGTCGCACATGTAGGAGGATCCTCAAAGAGGAGGTTGCAGATATCATGCTTCGTTCATCACCCGAAATCAAGTGGAAGATTGTACGGGTGATCAGTGTAGGATCGTCCTGCATCAAATCAAGGATTAAAGTCCTGGTTGCATTTGCTACCACAAAATCGTTGTCGTTGACCATTGAGGCCAGACGTGGGAGCATCGAGACCAAAGTCGGCACAAACACTGGCCTTCTCTTGGCTCCTTGTAAGCGGCCACCGGAACTAGAATCCTTTCTCACAAGAGACAAATGTCCAGAAGGTGAGTTCGTTGGCGAGTTATCCACACTCGGAGATGCACTCGGTGACTCTGATAACGAAGGGTCGCCAAAGTCTGCATCTACTTGGACTAGCTGCTGGCTTGGTAGAAGGGACATCGGTGTCCGTATCCACATGGTCTTCGGGTCTACTAAGCGGTCTTCCTGCTCCCAACCAATTTCCGATAGTCGTCTCCGCAATTCTAATGGGAGCACATTACCATTCCTGTCCTTGAACTCAGCAGGATCTTCTTCAAGCACGAATAAGTTACTTCCCATGTCCGTCGGGACGAACAAAATGGGCGGACGTGCAAACTTGAACGGACGACGGTGATTCCGGTCAAGGATGACATCCTGAGACATTATCTGGAACCTCCAGCTAGCAAGAGTCGAGATCCGCTGGACCGCTTTGCGACGCACTTCGGCGTCAGTGCTAAGGGGTCATGTTTGGTGACTGGAATGTGGGAAAAATAACGAAGCGTACTGTGACAAGTCACTCTCAACGAACTGCTCAAATTCATTTGGACATTTTTCCGCACACTGCATGATGGCAAAACATGTCTTCGCGACGAATCAGTATGCACCATCACAATAAAGGCACGCAGCTTACGGGTGCGATAAGGTGGCTGCTTGGGTCATCCAGACAGTGCTTCCATAGCGTGGGACCAAGGAGCAAGTAGTCATGGGGCTTGAGAAGTCCTGAAACCGACACCAAAAGGTCAAGGGAAGTGAACTTCAAGGGCTGATCCAGGGCCTTCAAAGTCTCAAAACGAGTAGCGTAAGCATCTTGTGTGCCGGCTGACGATTTCATATCAGGAGTGGGTGATGCAAAGACGGTTGTCCTATGCTGTCTTCGAATAAGCCCATGGACAGTAAACCAGATGCTCCCAAATCACCTTGTTCGTCACGTGCGATGCGTCCTGCGCTTGTATGTACAACGCTCGCAATCGGTTGAATGAGGATCTGTTCTCCTCTATTTCCTCGTCGTCCCAATCTTCCCTAGGCCGGCGATCTTCCGAACGCTCGTACAGCGTCCATGAAATTGTAGAAGGGAGCCAAGAAGCACTATAAACATGCCGAAACATCAGCGATTCGTTTGCATTGTTGACATGGAGAGGAACGAACTGTTTCAGAGAGCGCGTGAGCATTCTGATCTCCCGAAACAGAGCACAGAATAATATCCGTTGTGATACTGGGACAAGGACAGTCTGCTCCTGAAAGAGTAAACGAGGTCAGAATGCCTGTGGTAGGACACAGTGGAAGACAAATCACTTTTGCTTCTAGTAGAAGACCAAGCCGTGCCTCCAGAGCAGTGACGAACTTGTTGGACATGGCGGTCTGGACAGTGCGATATCAATAATCTTACAGCACGGCCAGAACGAGATGGAACTAACAGCACCGAGGTCCTTCGACTGGCGCACAGTCCGCAAGTGCTCGATCAGCTCCAGGAGTAATACCGACTGGCCTATTCGTGGCTTGCCCCACGCAGGGCCTTCAACTTGTTGTTTAACTTTCATGGCAGTCGCGTCACTCATAAGGGCCACGGCCATCATATCGGCGTCACGGAACCAAAAATCAGGAAGGTACTTCGAGACTGCGGTGAGGACGCATATTTGATTGGCGATAGTCAGGTCCTTGGCGGACGCCGCACAAGTGAAGACCGGTTTGAAGAACAATTTGGGATACAGACGTGAGACGGTATCGAAGAAAGACGATAGAGGCGAGCAAGGGCATTCGGGAGAATTTGCCATCAGGCGCTGGATATATACAACAAATAGAAGCTCGGTAAGTCAACGAATTAAGAAGACACGGACAGGTACTCGCATCGTTCAGTAAAGGTAATATGTGAGACACCAGCGGCAGTCTAAGATCGTCAGGTAACTCCTTCGCCACAATAGACAGCATCCGGAGGATCGCTGGCCATTCACCATCAGCAATCTACTCACGGGATCAGAAGAGTGTAATTCCGACCATCTAGATAACGCTCACCAAATCCTGCAAGGTCTTCTCAATGCTTGCCTTCCAATTCGGCAAGTCATGGTACCAGTGGGAGAAATGCATGATCAAGTAGTCTCGTTCTTGATTGCCGTCAATAGGCAACAGCTCCATCACGAGCGTTATGGCCACTGTCTTTACGTCTGCAGAGTCGGTATCCCGAAGAGCCTCCACCTCGGGGAGAATGCGAGATCGGAATAGACGGATGATGACATCACTGTCAGCGCGTGCAGCGCCCAGGTCGGACGGGGATGACAGTAGCGACAACACCGCGCTGATGAATGTTTTCAGCTTCCGGCTATACATACACGACAGCAGCGGGGTTAGTGTTAAAGAGGGCTCCGGCAGAGGCCAGTATTCCTAAATGGCGTGTTAATCCTTTGCATTGTGATCTGGCTGACAGCTTTGTTTTAACCACATACCTCTACCAGACTCTGTAGAGCCCTACGACGAACGATCTCCGAACCAAGCTCGAGACACATGATGACACTCTCGGAGAGTATCGCCTGCCGCACACTGGAGTCTTTCTCGCGAAGCGAGAAGCTCACCCCGTACTCCTTCTCAAGAGATGCGGAAGAAGGTGTCCCGCACTGCCCGTTCCGGATCGTAGAGATGAACTCCCGTAGTAAATCTGCTTCACCCTTAGAATACGAAGACGAGCTGAGCGACAAAAGAAGGGTAAATATGGCATGCAAAAGGGTGCGCAAGATCACGGGCGTTTCCACGCTGAATGCTTTGTCGCGAGAGAAAAGGAGGGTAGACAACGTTCCTAGAATACGTGCACGAGAACCGGAAGGGACGGAAGCTGCCTTACAGCACCATAGGCAGCGATGTAGTTCTGCCTACCGGAGACACTCAGAGACATGTGGTAGGAGTATGAATGCAAAGACAGACCTCAGTGGACGTTGTTCTCCATGTCCTCACCACAAACTCAAATGTTTCCACTGCAATCTCCTGCTCCTGGCTGACTCGTTCGTTCCCTTGCATGGCGCCCTGCAGGCCCAGGAACGGTAACAGGAGCGTCGAAAGCACATAATCCTCAATAGGAAGTACTCGTGAGCGACCCACAGAGGGCGTATATGTCAGAACGCGGGACAGATAACTCATAGAGGGCATCTGAGAGGTGATGGAAGTTGACATCGACTGGATTGACTGGGGCCTATGCATCCCCGACTTCTGTGTCGATTTCAACGTCGCCAGGCTCACGCTAGAGGCCATGGGTAGCGTAGTCGTAGAGGAGATGAAGGGCAAATACAAGGACGACCCCACAGTGCCTTGAGACGCCTCCCGTTCAACCTTCGGGCGCATGGGAAGCTCACCATAGCGGACGGCCCAACACGCCCTGCAAATTTCCTCGGTGAATTTGCGAGTTTCATCGACAGCTGCTTCACGAGCCTGGTCGACAACCTGGCGGAATATCTTCTTCTGACCGAAGCGGTACCCTTTCGGCGTCTGAGGCCTAGATGACGCATTCGACAGAGCGGAATCCGGACGATGAGGAGGTACCAACGGAGGACTAGCGGCACCATTTGTCGAAAGAAGGACGTGTGAGCGCAAGGTGTCCCACCGCCGTTTACCAGGAGACCGCAGCGGGGCAGACTCATCCATTAGCAGCGGCCTACCCTGGCTGAGATTGAGTGGTATAGGTTTGGGCGCACGGACCTTCACTTTCGGCGTCGCATCCTCCTCTACGTGTTCCTGCAGCTCGTCCGGAGACCGCACAAGTCCCTTCTCCGTCCACGCGCCTGCTCCTGGGTCCGCAAAGGGATCCGCCCCCTCGTTCGACTTCTCCGGTAGGCTGGAAAGTGTAGAGGCAGGGAAGGAAGGACTCTCGGTGTGCTGGCGCGACTCTGCGATGGAAGACGTGTCTGAATCTGACCCAGACTTTTCCTTCCTCAGCGAATCAATTGAGAAGAGACGGCGCGGCAAGGCCCTCCCACCCGATGGTCTCTTCGCCTTCGATGCATCCTGACGTGAAGACATGGCTGTATTATTGCAGTCACGTCTCCGCTCAAACGCCGATCTTGCTGGTGCACGTCAAGATAATTGCAATGGAGTGAGATTCGGAAAGAGCTGACCGCGATGCTACACTGGTAACGACTGCGCGGGGGAGTTAGAACCAGACTCTCGGAGTAGAATAGAGGCTTCATACAGGTATTGAGTTCGTGTCTATCATGCAGGTGTCACTCGAGTGGAAATGCGCACGTGTTGAAGGAAATGCACATAACAACACGGCAGTCTAGCTATAGTGGTAGCTTCGCTAGAAATTAAATAAATTAAATGAAATTAATTCGAGTGCACAAGGAAGAATTCACTCTACAGGTCTGCACAGAGCTCAGTGTATCCTCGACTCCTGCACACAGCTTCACTGGGAGATAAACATTTGTTTGTATGTCACTTAAGCACAATCTTTAGTGATTCCGTAGAGTCATATTCAAAGTTTGCACTGTGGTTCGAAGTGTGAATAGCACTCCGGAGATAACTCTTCTTGTAGTGCAACCGTAGATGTATAGATCTGGTAGACCTTATAGGTTGATGGCATGGAAAAGTCCTTCAAATTTTCTTCCCGCCCTTTGGGCGAGACTGCATGTAGCTGTTCCATTAAAATAAAAGTTGCACCTGGTGCAAAGTATGTAGCTGTGCTCCCTGGAAGTGTCTGAATCCAACAACATTCTATGTTGGCCTGAAAAAATCACCATGATGTCACTAGTGTTGTTGGGTATAATTTCCACTAATAGGTCATGCATTGGGTAGAAGAAATGTCCTCGTGCATAAACTTGATCACGTACAGTGCATCAGGAACTTGGGATAGCTCCATAGGCTCCATATGGTAGCGGACGGAACCCCGGAGTGATGGAAATCCCCCCCATCATACGGAGCAGGCCGTCTCCGTGCCGTGCCGGATGGAGATCACATATCTGCATGGAGCTGGATGGAGACAACACGTGGCTCGTGGGACATGTTGGGCCCGACGACGTGTTCGGTTTGGTCTTGTTGTGTCCCTTCCGAAAATGGTATGTCTCCGTTTCATTTTGAGGAGATCTTGTACGACATATTCTCGACTCAGTTCCCCTATTCCTAGTCATACGATTTCGTCATTTCCTGACCCTCTGACAAGTCACCCGCTACGTATGACGACTCGTCCTTATTCCCATCGAGATTCTGACTCTACGTAGCATCGATCCCACGGCTCAGCTTGTCTCTCGCTGACTACACTTATCTCTGTACTGACTCAGACCGATTGTACTGTACGAGTATTTAAGTAGGCCGAGAACGACGAATACACCAGAATTCTCTCGCCCCGTTTCGCAGTCTCACCGGTCTGAGCTCCGTAAGAAATAGGGCGATACCACACTTGATCAAGTGTGGGGTTACCTGCAGCAGCCTCATACTTCGAGACAGGACTCTCGCCGTTGATCGAGCTTCACTCTCCTCAGCTAATATCTTTCTGTCGACACTGTTCTTGACGTCGCTGTTCTCCCGTTGACGTTCACCCCCCCTTCGCACTCAGTGGTACACCGTTTATTGTAGTACTACACCTTCCTATTTCGTACTAAGTGCACCGCTATGGATCCTCAGGCTCAGCTCGCCGTGCTTGCTGCTGGCCTTCCCGAGGACACCTATCACGCTCTCGAGGCAATCCTTCGTGATCTTGACCACCGCGTTACTCACGCTCAGGCCCCAGCCCTTTCTGCCGACGATATCCGCATTGCCCTCGAACACGGTTTTGCAAACACCCAATTCAATCTCCCTCCGGCACATTTTACTCTCCCGCCTGCTCCTCCTCTGCCACCTGTTTCCGTGCGTCCCGGCCAATTCAAGGTCGACCTCGCACATTTCCACGGCAAGGATAGCGACGATCTTGGTGCTTGGCTGACGTTGATCGAGGATTACCTCCGAGGTCAGCACATTCCCGAGGTGGATTGGCCGTTACAAGTCCCGATGCTGTTCCGTGGTGAGGCTCAGCGTTGGTACGTTGCACAGAAGAAGAAGATCGGGCGCGGCTTTACCTGGGCTGAGTTGCGAAAGGCTCTGACAGACAAGTTCGATACGCCGTTGCGTGTTGAGACTCTGCGCAATGAGCTGCGTTCTGTTCCTTGGAAAGGGAACCTTACTCGATATGCTGCCGCTTTCCGCGACCTCGAGACTCAGATTCCTGAGGTTGACATGACATTTGGTGACCGCTTGTCGAATTTTCTCAGCCGTCTTCCAGTCGAGTTTGCGAAGGACATCCGCCGCGACAAGCCGAAGAATGTCGAGGAGATGTATTTTTCAGCGCGCGAGATTGAATGCCTCTCAAACCTTCATCATGTCCCTGCGCAGCATCAGAACAACACAAACGGTTTCCGCAAGAAGACGAAAGGGTTTACTCACCGTCTTTTTTCATCATCTTCGTCTTCTCCGTCTGCCGCATCATCCTCACCTTCGGCTCCTCCTACGTCTTCGTCACCATCTACTGGTCCAGTTCCGATGGACCTTGATGCGATGGAACAGCTGCCGCCACTGAAGACGAAGGATCGGGTTAGCCGTGTACGTTGCTTTAACTGCAATGGCCTTGGCCATTATAGCCGAAATTGTCGCTTACCTCGGAAACGTCGTCCTCCGCAGGAGTTGAACCTCTTCGAGGGAAGCGAGCCCCCACTGTTCACTGATTGCTGCGAGGAACCGTTGGAGTTATCAGTGCTTGATCTATCCGATGATGCACCTGAACCTCATTTATTGCCCACCTATGCTGTCCAGCTCGCTCCCAGTGTCAATGCGAAGCCTCTTCAGCTCGCGTCGGCCATTATTGATACTGGTGCCGCCTACTGCTATATCAAGCCGTCAGTTGTCAGAAGGGCTAATCTTACGACGTACCCTATGACGGCTCATTCTGTTCGCGGTGCGGGTGCCACTACCACGTCAGCTTGGGCTCATTTCGCCATCAAAATTGGGGGTTGGCAGAAGCCGATTTGCGCATTCATCTTGGACACCGATACACTGCGCTTCGACATGGTTATCGGCCAAGAATGGCTGCAGAAGTATAATGCGCAGCCTGATTGGGCTACGCGCTCTTGGTTCTTGACGGATCCGCGTACTTGTCAGGTTGTACGGCTGCATGCCATGACTGTACAGCAGCCTCTTCCCCTGCCGCGCGTCGCTGGAGCCGCTGCATCAAACCGTTGGGCTTCTCTTGTAGCTGCCCCATTGGAGTTGTACTCGTTAGCTGAAGAACCTGTAACTGAGTCTCCGCAGGAAACCTCTGGCCACAAATCCCCACTAGCGAAGATCAAATCGTTTGGTGCGCGCTTGCATGCGCGTATGAAGGCAAAGTTTCCACGGTTATTTCGTACGAAGCTTGGTGCACCACCGGCAGGTCGATGTGAACATGTCATCGATGTGACTGGAACACGACCAATTCGTGCGCATGGGCGTCCTTTATCGCCACCGGAGCACGAGGAGGTTCGGAAGTTTGTTGACGAAGGTCTGCAGGATGGAATTATTGAACCGAGCAAGTCTCCGTGGTCCGCGCCATTGATTCTCATTCGGAAGAAGGACGGGAAAATGCGGGTATGTGTTGATTTCCGTCAGCTTAATAACTTCACTGTACGGAATGCTTACCCTCTTCCTCGTATCGATGATTCCTATCAAAATCTTCGTGGCGCGCATTTCTTCACGACCCTTGACTTGCGATCCGGTTACTGGCAGATCCCACTCAGTGCTGCATCACGCCCGCTGACCGCGTTTGCTACGCATTTCGGCCACTATCAGTTTTGTGTTATGCCTCTCGGCCTCTGCAATGCACCTGCGACTTTCCAGAACTTTATGAACGACCTCCTTCATTCGCGTCTTGATCGCTGCGTAATGGTCTACCTTGATGACATCATCATCTACTCACCGAACCTTCCGCAGCATCTCGCTGATGTCGACTGGGTCCTCACCCGTCTTGATCACCAGGGTCTGATCCTACACGAGGACAAATGTCAGTGGGTTCAAACCGAGTTGACTTATCTCGGGCACATTGTTTCTATTGCCGGTGTCCGTCCGAATCCAGAGAAAGTCCAGGCCATCACTGAATGGCCACGTCCCGATAACGTTACTCGTCTTCGCGGTTTCCTCAATCTTACTGGCTACTACCGCCGTTTCATGAAAGGGTTTGCGAAGATTGCTGGGCCGATGTACGATTTATTAAAGGGCAATCCCCGGAAGCGTGCTGAAATTAAATGGTCAGCCCCTTGTGAACAGGCTTTTGTCGCTTTGAAATCGCGACTTACCTCTGCTCCTCTTCTCAGTTACCCGTCACCTTGGCGTCTCTTCGTTCTCGATGTTGATGCTTCGGGCCATGCTATTGGTGGTATCCTCCATCAATCGCAAAATGATTTTCCCAAGGGGGAGGGAGATTGCTCACGCTTCGCGTTCATGGAGTCTGATCTTCGGCCGATTGCTTTTGAATCACATCGTATGACCCCGACTGAGCAGCGGTACTCCGCGCAGGAGCGCGAAATGCTTGCGATTGATCACTGTTTGCAGAAATGGCGAAGCTACGTTGAAGGCTCACCTGTTGTTGTGCATTCCGACCATGAATCTTTGAAGTACTTCTTGTCGCAGAAACATTTGGGTCGCTGTCTTGCCCGTTTCGCCGACAACATCGCACACTTTGATGTGCTAATCCGGTACCGCCCCGGTCGTAATCAGCTTGCCGCTGATGCATTGTCCCATCGTGATGGCCAAGCTGATGTTCCAGACTACGAGGCCTCTGGCCCATTGTTTGCGAACCCGATGGAGCCAGCAGTGGACCATGATAGGTCAGCACTTTTCGAGACTTTGAAGAAATGGAGAGAAGACTTACTTCGAGATGCTAGTGCTGAGCCGAGTCGTCGCGGCTTCCTCGTCCGCGATGGTGCACTCTTTCACTCTGTTGACCTTGGTCAGGGCGAAGTCTTCTTGCCAGTTCCGGTGAACCTTGACGAGGCCTTGCGGGTCATTCGGGAGGTACACACCGACCTCGGACATCTCGGTGTTCGTGCAGTTGCGGAAGCATTGAAGTCGCGCGTATGGCTGCCAATTGTCACTGAGTTAGTCGAATTCGTTATCCGTCGCTGCGATGCTTGCCAGTTCACGCAGCGCGAGGCTCCACCTGCCCAGCCGTTGCACCCACTTCCTCGTACAGATGCCTTTGATCATTGGGCTTTCGACTTTATAGGTCCCCTCGTGAAATCGAAAGAAGGAAATGAGTATATTCTTACCGCCATGGATCACGGCACCGATTTTGCCTACGCGACTGCAATTCCACGCCGTTCTCATATTGCTGTCATCGCATTGCTGCGCCGCCTTATCACGACCCATGGGAAGCCTTCCACCGTCCTCACGGATAATGGAGAGGAATTTCTGTCGTATCCTTTTCAGAATTATCTTCAGCGATTAGGAATTCAGCACTTACACACCTCGCCATACCATCCGCAGACAAATGGCCGCCTCGAGAAGTTTAACGATATGCTGGTACAGACGTTAGCGCGTTATACGGCTCCCAACCGACAGGACGAATGGGATCAATACTTACCGGATGCACTTCTTGCGCAGCGTGCGCACGTCAGTCGGAGCCATGGCGCGTCACCTTTCTTCCTTGCGTTTGGTCGTCAGCCCCGTCTTCCGCACGAAATGACTTACGACCTTCTTCGGGCGCCACCGACCGATGCGGAGATCGCGACGTTGCAAAACCGTCGTCTCGAGCATGTTCAGAACCTTGAGAGGTTCCGAACCGAGGCGAACACGCGCGCCTTGCGCCGCTTGCAGGACGAGGCGCGCCGCCGTGAGGGTACTTACCACGAACGCGCGCTCGGGATTGGCGATTATGTCCTTCGACGTTCGGAGAACCCAACGAAACTCCATCCGCGCTGGGACGGACCCTTCATCGTTCACGATGTCACTGACTGGAACGTTTATCAGCTCCGCACACGAAACGGCTACATCCTTCGTACCTTGTACAATGCTGCCCGTTTGAAACGTTATCACCCGTCGAATATGGATCCCGAGTTATGGTACTCCTCTGCCGACCTTCAGCGTCGCGACGCCCGAGCGCGAATGCAACGCCGACTCGACACCAGTCTCGGTCGCGCTGGCACCTCTCGCAATGCCTAAAAAAATGGTGTCAGCTCTTTTGACGCATGACCTACCTTCTCTTATTGTCTTCTGTCTCCTTGGTTGTCAGTATTCGTCGTTTATCTTGCCGGAGCAAGGTTCTTGTACGAGGGGATGGTGTTGGGCCTGACGACGTGTTCGGTTTGGTCTTGTTGTGTCCCTTCCGAAAATGGTATGTCTCTGTTTCATTTTGAGGAGATCTTGTACGACATATTCTCAACTCAGTTCCCCTATTCCTAGTCATACGATTTCGTCATTTCCTGACCCTCTGACAAGTCACCCGCTACGTATGACGACTCGTCCTTATTCCCATCGAGATTCTGACTCTACGTAGCATCGATCCCACGGCTCAGCTTGTCTCTCGCTGACTACACTTATCTCTGTACTGACTCAGACCGATTGTACTGTACGAGTATTTAAGTAGGCCGAGAACGACGAATACACCAGAATTCTCTCGCCCCGTTTCGCAGTCTCACCGGTCTGAGCTCCGTAAGAAATAGGGCGATACCACAGACATACTCGCGAGCACCAGGGACAGGCTCGAGTTGTTGGATATTCTCAGAAAATACTCATAGAGCATGAAGGAAGAGATATCAATGCTGTCTAGATACATCTGCTTGCTTGGGGCCTTTAGCTCTCTCTGTCTGTAGCTGGCATCTCCATGCAGAGGTACAATCTCCATCCAGCTCCGGATGGAGCCGAGGAGATCTATCCTCTATCCGGAGGAATCCCGATTCCCTGATGTGTTGCTAAGAATGTGCACCTCTGCCTGAAACCAAACTTGTGCAATCTTCTTGTGCAGTCAGAGCTCATGTGTAGTGATCAGAAACAGGCATTAATACTTATGAAAACATGCAACAGAGCACGAAATTTGAGTTGCAGTAGCATGGTGCCCAAGTCATGGAGAATGCTCATGTCAGGAATGCCATTTGTGGCAGTCATTTGCCATATTGGGTAGGCACATGACACGGGGCCGCCCGCGCCGGTAGGTTACAGTTGTTTGCATATGAAACCGGAAACATGGCGATGAAATCTTTTATTTGTTCGGGACAAATATTGCCTTAACGAGTATCATTGAGTCCTCTCCGTGACTGACTGTTACGTATGCTGTTTACTATGAGTCCCTAATTATGAGCCAGCAATTGCATGAGCTTATTGCTCACTGGTACCATCATGACAAGTTCCCTGTGTTTGACATGGTGCAGGTGTCTGGATATCACAAATCTACCATCTACAAAATTCTGCCACTCTACCGGGGGGTACTTACTGCCAGGTCTCCGATCCACTTGCTCAACTGCAAGACCACCCCAAGCACTTGATGCAGGTTGTATTCACTCTCCTTGAAACAAATTCAGCAATGTATTTGGCCGAGGAGTGAATGCCACAGTGCATGGTGCCACTGCACCGGGGAGCAAGAGCTAGTGTGACTCTCAGTAAAAACGGGAAGTCAAAGTGTAGTCGGCCAATTTCAAAATTTTGGCAAATTTGACTATTACATCAGGAAAAGTCAACTTCTGGTTAGCTCCATTTAGCTCCGTTATCTTCTTAATTAAGGAGGTCCTGTTTCTTATTTGGCCAATTAAAGCCAATAGGGGTGAATAATGGAGGAATAAGAGAAGGGATCTCCTTATTTTTCCTTAATCAAGGAAATAACACTGGTAAGCAAAAGTTGACTTTTGCTGATGTACATGACTACTTGTGACTATTCTTACGGTTTTCTGTAGTGCATGACCTCATATTGTTTAGACCATCTCTGTACAGTTATTTTCCAACCCCTCAGTGCAGAAAAAAGCAACATATGAACTTCAGAATGCCATGTATTCTGAGATGATCAACTGTGGTGTCTGACTTTTACAGACTATAATTTGATGGCAGTTGATCACATAATTTCTTGGCATGATGAGTTTGGTGACTGTAAACAGACTTCTCTGGACTTTACCTGACCATGGTGCCAAAATTTTGAATCTGATTGACTTCAGCCTAACAATACCTGACTTAAATTGACTTCCGGTTTTTACTGAGTGTGACTGGTGTCACCGACTCGGTCATACTAAATAAGGTAATATTTGGCCTGAACAAATAAAAGATTTCATCGCTGTGTTTCCGGTTTCATATGCAAATGACTGTAAACATGGCCATAAATTGCTTAAAATGGAAGCCACCGTGGGATGTCGCCATTTTCGGACAAATCTCTGGCGAAAAGGCCAAAAAACGGTCCGGACAGAAAACTGCAAAGTCCGGGGGTTTTGGCGACGACCTTTGGGGGAATTATCCAGGGTCCTGGCAGACTCAAGCAAGTATGGCATGAAAATTGCGATGCGCTGGTACAACACCAGGAACAGTTGAGATACTTGTAGCCCAGTACACGAACAACATTACAATTTGATTCAAACATGGACAGCATAGCACATGAAGTGACAGCGCGAGCTTTTGCAGAATAAATAACCCAATAACAGAAATAACGTATTCCGTGTTATCCGTTCAAAGAGACAGTCCAACCAATAGCCCAATGACGAGACATCTAAAGTCTGAGGAAACGAATCAGCAATCAACCTGCGATTGGACCAATAACAACATACATGGAGAGGGGTATCAAGTGTTTTTGAGACCGAAACGTAGGCAGAGAAGAATTGAGGACGAGGACGTGATGCATGCTAGACTTGAAATTCGCGTTTCACTCCGAGCAAAGCAGAAGACAACACAAAGACAGCAGAATGAAAGGCAGGCTAAGAATTTAGGCGGCGTACGGAGACCGGAGCGAAGGCGTAGAAAGGTTCGACAAGTGCTGCAGGTGGGGAAAAGTCCACTGTCCAGCGCGTGACTGCAACGGATTGCCCGACCAGCTACTCGAGATCGCTGTTAAATAAACCCAGGCAAGTAAGAGTTGTGATGGAGACGTACAGCGAGGGAGCAGAGTTCGGCCGCACGGTCCCAGCAACGGGAACATAGACATGGGTGTACAGAGAAGGGGATGTCGCATACGGAGAAAGGTGATAGGAATTCACGGCAAGAAGGCCAGTCGGGACCGCCGCGGCAATGTGTGCTTGACCGTTCGGCTCAGTGTACAGCGGCCCGACGGAGGCAAGGACCGCATCGGGAGGAAGGGTAGCAGGAATCATGAAGGGGGCCGCATGAGGGTTTAGACCGGTCTTCGCAAAGTCTTCAGAGAGGCCGGTCCCAGTGTTGAAATCGGAGCCAGTCGGCGGTAAGTACTCGACCTTAACAGGCTTATTCGAGTACATCTGCCCATGGAGAGCGTCACACGCTTCCTTGGCTTGGGCAATTGTGGCATACTCGATCACAACCGAGATATCACCCTGAGTGACGTCCACGGAAGAGCATGGAACGATTTCAAGGCTCTTGATTTCGCCGAAAGGACAGAGTAAGGGAAGAAGGTCGGCAGTCTGAGAGAAGATAACAGCCGGCAGATTGGTGACCAGAATTTTAGCCGCATGAGCGGACAGTATGGGAAGAGGCACTTGTTCGGGAAGAGGGGTCGTGGCAAGGGAGACCGCACCAGACGAGGGCGCTGAGTGGACAGAGCCAATGTCGAAAGGCGGAGACGGAGAAGGCGAGTGACTTGACAGGACAGTCATCCGATCGCCTCCGTCGAGGAAACCTGCATGGAGACGAAAACGTCGGGAAATACGGTAGGAGTTAAAGTCGGCTACGATGAAATTTCGCACCTTGCGAGCGCTGGACAACGGCCCACGAAACGTCTATCTGATGTCCTCTGCAACGCGAAGAAATTATGAGACAGGCGAGATAACTCGAAGGTAACATACTTGATGTCGGTACGGCTCAGCGCATCCATAGCACGTTTTGCTTCTTCGTGATTGCTCATGACGACAAAACCGCGGCGTCTGGATGCGTTGTCCACCGTCGCAAGAATAACTGCGTGGGAGACCGTTCCGTAGCGGGAGAACAAGTCCACAAACTCGGCTCTTCTCGATGCATGAGGATTACAGACCATCACCGCATGAATGAGAGCAGACATACTTCGTAAGATCGAAAGGCAACCCTAGAACGTAGAGATTGCGGCGCATGTCTTGCTGTCTGCTGTGTTTTACCACGCGCGGAAAGTCCGGAGCAATCGAAGCTGTGACTGTTCTGTGATAGTATTGTAGAGTAATATAACGTGAGATTCGGCCGCATATAATGAAAGCCGACGACAAATTATGCAACAGAAAACGTACAACGGTACTTCCGCCACATTGTAACCGGACATGCACAACGCTTTCCTTGAATCAACATTAACGATCGGCAATATACAACTTGAGGTATACACTCACTTGGCCGCGTCGTTCGTATGGAATGTCAGAAAGAGAGCCCGACGACTTCCTTCGGTATGTTCTTCGCATTTACGTACCTCACCTGGAATTTTCACCGTGAGCACTTCGCCGCAAGACCGAATGCGAAATAGCAGGAGGTACCGATAAGATTACTGAACAATTCCACTATGTCATGTCGGCTCACTTCATGTGAGCGGTATGAGAGACGTATATAAACAGTGAGCAAAATACAGCGTACCGTATTCCACGATGTTCTCCACCTTGACCGTGTATGTGTCTCTATTGAACTTGAAAACGGGGTTCGGAGTGGAAGTCATTTTGTGAGAAAGGGAGGTTCGCTGAGGTTTTGGAGCAGATTCTATTAACTGTGGGTGTGATTCTGGAATGACTATTGACGTTGTAGGAGCAAGAAACGAGCAAGAACCAAAGAGAGATGAACTTCGTGAACAAGAAGGATCGGCAGCGCCCGAGATGGTTGAACGATATCTGATGACCGCACTTTTCCACGCCACAGACGTGTCGCAGAGCGCTAAGTGATCCCGCGCTTCTGCCTGGCACAGCGCTAGAGGCTTGTTCAAGTTGTTCAACTGGCTACACTTGCTAAATTTCAGGTAGTAAGTACAATTTTCAAAACTTATAACTTGTAGAAACCACGTCACATCTTGCAAATGATAAACAGAACTGGAGAAGATGTCGGATAGGCTGTTATCAATGCTATCTTTGCCCCAGTCCACACTCTCTGCCTTAACCCGAGAAGGATACGAGACGGTACAGGATTTAGCCACCATGACACCAGAACTTCTCGCTGAAGGTACATTCTCATGATGAGATGAACCACAGTACGGCTTCGGACATGACTTACTTGGAATTCTTTCACAGGTCTAAATATCCCTCTGACGTCGTCGCAAGCCGTATTTTCAGCGACACAGGCGCCGAGAGCCGTCCCTATGACTCAATCAGCAGCATCAATGGTCAGTTCTGCCAAGACGTATATAACGCTCTGTGACCCTCTAGACAAGCTTCTGGACGGGGGCCTGAAGAGAGGACACATTCTGGAGATATCCGGCCCGCCAGGAAGCGCGAAAGAGACATTGGCAGCAAACATCGTTCGAAGCTTCGTCAGTACGGGGGACGAAGTTCTCTTCATTGGTAAAATTACGCATTTGCTAGCTTCCATGCTTCCATGCTCAAGTCAGGAACAGATATGCAGAATATGATGAGCCCGGCTACCCTGAACAGAATTCTACACAGTAGGCCCCCCGTTGTTTTTCTCATGGCATACTTCTGTGACGTTTTGTGTCCGCAGAATCATACGTTCCTCCGGAACACAGGAAACTCGTACATCATCTAAATCTGCACAGTCTTCCGGACCTCATGATTTTCCTCAATAATCTACCTTATTACCTGGGTACACATCCAAAGGCAGGGGCAAGTTGTTGCATAGTAAACTTTCCAATAACAAAATTAAATTTAATAGATTACTCTGCTCGTATTAAACTCACTCTCTTTCCCCTTCCAGTCGGCCGTTGGACTCGGGATCCCAACCCGGAATGCGCTTCTGGAAAAGGTCAGGCAGACGCTGTCCAAAACATGTGCGTCCTCAAATTTAACTGTAGGTGACTTTTGCACATTTCGGGCGGTTACGACAGCCTTATGGACGCGGACATGAATCCAGATCGTAATCACAAGCCAGCTCGCGACAAAAATGCTCAACCCCGACGGTTCGGCAGCAAACTTTGATACGGGATCCAGAGCGGTAATTGTTCCTCAACTAGGTTCGTTACGCCACTTCGTTGCCAACGGCAAGGCGCCTGTAAACTGAGGTCGAACGTCTTATTCGTCGATGACAGGAAATACATACCTCCCTTCGGGCAGAACGTCCAGGGTGATTGTTGTTCCACAGACACGATCAACGGGGTCAGTTGGTTTTTCGTTGCACAAGAAGTGATGCGACGTACGGTGGCTCATCGTGTTGAGCTAGTGTGCTGCGTCTGCTGTTGTCGCCAACACACGTGCAAGGCCGCCGACGTGAAGAGAGCTACGAAAAGGCAAGTCCACTTTCACTCTGGACCAGTTACATCGGGGGACGCCCGCATTGTTGATCACGCGAATTTTCTAAGATCGGAGGTGCGATACAGTAATACGTACAACCCACATCGCGCAGCGCCTCGTGCGGTCCGCAATGTCGCACACGATGCACACTACAATCGATATGTCATGCGCAACGGGAGATGCTCGGAGAGACGGATGGTCCCGATAGCAACAGCAATACGAGCCATTTCATGCAGGACCGTCCTCCCTGCGTATGAACCCGTCTGGCCCTACTATTACGTCCATCTTCCAGTCGTGCAATGCGGTCGGGACCCGTTCAGCCACGAGGATCTGTTCACGCAGGGCTAGGGCCACTGGAGATCGCGGGTCAGTGCTGTGCACTGACGCAATGCATCTGAACACACCTAGTAAAGGCTTTCGCCGCATGTTTGTCGTAGCGGTGTACGCAGATATGTAACGATCATAGTATCCCTTGCCGTACCCCAGACGCGATAAGGATCGATCGAATGCGAGGCCTTCACGTTACCCGGCATCGTCAACGGTGTGGGGGATCATCGGGCGATACTAAGAGATCGCTGGGGAAAGCGGCGCGTACCTGGTAGTAAGATCAAATCGAGTGGGTCGCTCGCTTCGTCCAGCGCTGCAAGATGATCTCGGTAAATTCCAGTGCACTCTACTCCGGTCGTGGCAGAGAATGGAAGTACAGACCATTTTGGCGTCGTTTCTTGAGGTACTCAAAGCCGGGCTCGTTGATTCCCCATATACCGGGAGGAAAATCACGTAAATCATCTTCGCTGTGGACCCTCAGAAAGTCCATCTTTCCCTCTTGGGTAGCATCAGTTTTAGGGACGAAGAGGGTCTTTCCTACCGATAAGACAAGGATCAGTCCGATAGGCAGTAGATAACAGACCGAGACGTCACACCAGCCCGCAAGATTCCAGATACCAGTGCAGAAGTATCCACTTCACCGGATGGCATGCTGAGATAGCAGCTGATGGTCTGGCTAGTCTGAAAGAAGGGAGAGGCCAGCACCCGCTCGGTGATCACCTGGGCTGTGGACCGCGATTAGTGGAAAGGGGCCAGTAGAGTCCGACACATTTTACATTGCTGCTGAATGTCAGATGATGACAATGATCTGAGCATCGTCCGCATTGTTTTTGCCAGGACTTTCTTCTGGCTCTGAATCGCGGCCATATCGAGGTCCACAATCGTGTGTATGGGTCCTCTGAGACTGAGTGGGAAGGTGAGATGACAATCTGCAATGGTTCTAGGTCATGAGCTGGTCTCCTGAGTAGAGTTGGCAACGAGGTGCAATGCGGTGGCTCGGAAGGAGAGATGATAGTAAGATGATAGCTGAATCGGAATCAATTCAGTCTGCACTGCTTGGGCAATTTCCGAAGATAGCGTGTTGTATGGAATAATTTTCTGCAGCCGACACAAGACGCAAGGATGACTGAAAGTTCGCGATGCACATGCCATCTCATGCCATGTATGTACGCAAAAGTTTGTGTATCTTACTGCCAGCGAGGTGTTTAGCCTTTCCCCCATCAAAATGGACTACACTTTCCATATCTGGGTTCACACCAGAACAACGTTGCTGCGATCTCCCGACTCGGAGGTGGCATATATGTTCCGTTCTGATATGACTGATTGCTCTGGGTAATTGGCAGCCAGAGAGGGTTCCGGCATGGCTGAGAACAACCCAACGTCCCCCATCGCTCCTCTCGCACCGTACCCTCCTCTCCCGCCGACGGAGTCCCGCAGCCGGGCGCCGGAGTTCTATGGATTTGTTGCCTGGACGTCTACCTATCTCCTGTTCAGCCTCTATCTCCTCTGGGCACTCCTCCCCGACGAATATATCGTCTGGCTTGGCGTCTCCTGGTATCCCAACCGGTAGGTAACAGCCGTGCACTCCTCGTGTCGCTTATTTGTTAATCACCGTCCTACTGCCTGCTGCGACCGGATCGTTGCAGAGAGTGGGCCGTGCTCGTGCCAGCCTACTCGGTTGCGGTAGTGCTCCTGACATACTTCACCTACTTCGCGCTGGCGTTTGCCGGGACTCCCGCGTTCTCTGATATTAGCACGATAACAGGTGCGTCGGCATCGCGCGTATCGCAAGGGCCATCCGTCTTAGCAGCCACAGATTCCAAGGCGCATCTTCCGCCCGTTGATGCTCCAAACCCCTACCTCGCGCATGCCCAGCCGGGCGTGATCCCGGAGATGTACGACATCCCGATTGGCCTCGTCAACCGCGTCGTGTACGGCGGTGCGCGTCCTCAGCGTCGCGCAGTAGAGGCTCGGGGCGATTCCACCAGCAGCTGAGCCAGTTTGGAAGGTCCATGCGTCGGGTAGATAACGACTGTACTTCTTCGCTGATAGAGTTTGATATTGGGCATGACGTGGCCCATAAGGCGGTCGACTGGCCTCGAGCCCCTTGCTCGAATTCCCAGTGGTGTACCGTAGGCTAATTTCGTAAATCTGTGTATTAGGATTTTTCTTGCGCTCGGGGAGCCGTGAGCTGTTATGTCCGCGCCGTTTCTGGGTGGTCTGATGGGTAAACTACGCAGAGGTCGTCATTACTGCATTAACTACAGTACAAGGTATGAAGTGCCCGATACACCAGGTTGAGCACCAACGTGTACGAAGTTCCGATAGACGCACTAAGGCATGCCAACGCGATAACATGTGAGTGGGTCAAGTACATCCTCCAAACCTTGTCGTACATAAGCAGGTTCCGTAACGAAGCCGTGCCGAGCAGCGGGGTTCTCGACGTAAACACGAAGTAAGTAGACAAGAGCTAGCTCATGAGAAATCTGGCGGAGAATCGATGCATGCGCGCAGTCAGAAGCTGTTGGACGAGATGATAGCTGGGCCGGGCAGAGTGCGCCACTGCGAAAACGAACCACGCCCGTTAGTCAACAACGTACGGGGGAGGGGAGCGGGCGCAGCTTAATATACCTGGCGCGGGATGTATGGGCTGCCGCTCGCCTCGTCGTATGAGTTCCGCTCCTCGTAGCGGTCGTCCGGATTCCACGTGGGCGTCGAAGGCTTGACGGGTGGTAACGGAACAGGCAACAGGGGGCACGATGGGTGTGCGTATTCCTCATCCGAATCAGATGGGGCGTCTCTCAGATAGTCCGCGTTGGTCCGCGTGGCGAGGCTCTGGGGGACCCATCTGAGCTTCGCCGGGAGTTTCCCGACCTCATGCACCTCGGACACCAATGGCGTGTCGAAGCCAACAGTAAATTGGGACGGAGTCGAACTGGTGGTGTCCGAGGAGGGGAAAATGCCGTGGGTGCGCAAGTGACGTTTAGCGTTAGAGCGGACTGCGAAGCTCTTGTTGCAGGTGGGTATCGGACACTTGAATGCTGCGGTCAGATGCATCAGAAAAAAAAATTGCGCTCGAGGAAAATACAGCGACGTACGCTTCGCGCCAGAGTGGGAGTTCATGTGCGTAGCGAGCCCGCTCGGGCGGGGAAACATCTTGAAACAAATGCTGCACTGATGCATCTTCGATTTCTTGTGAGACGTTTTGGGCCGTTCGGACTGGGCATGGTCGAAAGGGGAAAGGCGCGGAGACGAGTGGGCTCTGACGGACGAATGAGGGCTACGCGTGCGCTGTTGCGTGGGATAATCAAACTCCTGAACGCTCGTCGACTCACAGAAAGAGGTGTCGAATGAAGATCGCGACCAAATATCATGGAAGGTGGACTCTCGGGACACACGGTGTCCTCCTGGGTTCGCGGCACCATACGACGTACGAGATACCTCAGAGGCTGCAGAGGGGGGACTGCTGTCCGAGTCCCCATCGTAATCCTCGCCCGTATCCCCGTCGTACACCAGCGACGGGACGGCAGAGGGGCTGAGCGTACTTGTCACGGACTCCACGGAGTTGCGCCGCTGCTGAGGGGCGTACGGCACCGATCGCGATGATCGAGTATCTGGCAGCGTAGCCGAGTCGGTGATCACCGGCGCGAGAGGCGATGTCGATGAGCCGGTCGGTAAGATATGGAGCATGGGGTGCATCGAGGAAGCGGGGAACCCCATAGAGGGCGAGACGAGATTGGGTATTGGGTGTGCGAGCAGCCGCTCTGATGACACCGGAGCCTGGAAATCATTCCGCGCACCAATGTATTGCTCCTCCGCCCCATACACCATCCTTCGCTCCGCGCCACCGCTCCCGGTACGCATGTGAGAGCGCGTCCTGTCAGAAGAGTCGAATGCCATCATCACGTCGTCCGCGCGGAACGGCAGAGTCCCCCCGTTATACTGAAGGTCGTAGACCCCAGTATAGGCCGCCTCGTCAAGGAGAGTCCGTTGCGAAGACTCTGGATATCCCACAAGCTGAGAAGCAGCAGAGTCGGAGTAGTAGTTAGCAGAAGTGGGAGCATGGTCGCCGTACGCGGAATCAGCAGAAGTGTTCGGATATTCCATCTCCAGAGAGTGGACATCGAACGACCACGACTGCCGCGGTACGAATGACGTGGGGGGTACGGTCGTGTTTAGCGACGCGAGAGCGGGCTGTGCAGGAGGGACATAGTACGTAGACGGCGCGTATTGATAGCGGTGACTAGGTGGGGCGCCAGGTTGCGCGAATTGTTCTGCGAGCTTGGGAGGCTCCATTGCCATGGCAGCGGTGGACCTCGAAGTCGCGTCAGTCTTGTGCCACACGTCACGAAGGCACTGCTTTCTGGTGAACATGAGGGTCTGTGTCTAGTGTCGGTCAGAGAGCTGGTGTACGAGACTCGGAGAAGACTCACCAAGAAGTGTATAGACTCGAGGGGGGGAGGTCGGGGAGAAGATGGGGTATCGAGGAAGAGACCCGGGGTGCTTTAGAGTCTGAGGAGATGAACGGTCATGTCTGCGGTGGACGAGCAGCGGACACATCCTGGGCAACGCGCATTTCATATGAAGGTTAGATGAGACACGAGACAGGACCGTGCCTCACCTGCCATAGCTGGACGACGCAGTTGAATAATGGGAATCGTGAGATTGGAAACCGCGTCCCTGTCCCAATCTGAGGTGTTCCAGCGCGCCACTTCTCATCTCCTTCTTATCTCGCTGCATCATCCATCTGTCACCAACTGCCCATATTCGCGAATCCTCCTAGGAATCTCTCCCTCCCCATCATCCAGCCCCGCCGGGCAACATCAGACTCCAGCACAAAATCTGCCAGACAGTCAGTGGTAAGCTCGCCAATGCAGATCGCGCTCGGAGGTCCTAGATAGAGCCTGACCCGCCGACGGTTGCTCGGGCGTCTGTGGGCGACCGAACGAAGTGTCTGATAGTTTTTTGGCTCGTGTGCGTTACGTATACCACGCATTCTCTTGATGAAAGCAACAAGAACACAATGATGATTCAGACTCCGCGACCGAATTTCCTCTTGCGCGGTTCGATCGGCGTGTCTTGGTTGAGATCGGTCTGTGAAGATACATCCGTCAGCAGGACACCCTCCCAGCACTGCAGACGACACAAGTAGGACACATAGAACACAGCATCTAAGTTTCGTCAGCTCATGGATCCCACACTGCTGCTCAGAAGGCTCCGAGTGACATGAGATTTCATCGATATTAACGCGAGAAACGGAAGCGGAACCAAGCAATGGCGTAACATGCACGATAGACTCGACGATAGTACGCCCTCGCAATGCCTCAACATCATCCTTCGTCGAATATCAAAGATCTTGTGGGGATTGTCAGAACCATCATCCAGCTGCCATCCACCTGCATGTTCGTGAGGTCACTCGCACACAATAACAGGCGATCTCTGCTCACTTGAACTCCGCCAGCCTATTCCTGGCAGTCGCTGTAATGTCTTCCGCCTTTTTTGAGCCTGCGGACCCGGGCCGTGCATAGCTGGCGTCATGAAGAAGACTCGTCTTGGGAGTCGTCTTTGCCTCTTCCATGAACACTAGGCTTCTCCTGCCTGCTGAACGTAGATCCTGCTGCTGCACTCCTTTCCGCTTCGAGCCAGGATGAGCGGAATGTGGTCGTACTTGCAACGGCCTTTGTCGTCCATCTGGTGTCATCGTGGTCTCGCTGCGCCTCAGCGGCGCAAATTTCTGTACGATGAACGAGATTATCAGGATCATTAATTACCGCCGAGGAAAGAAGCGGTAATGAACAGTACCCGTTCGCCGCCAGGTGCCCGCTTCCCGCTGCGCGCCCACTTCTCCCACCATCCAAGGGCGACCGTCTCGTTCCGCGCCGCAATTTCTTGCGAGTCTATTACGTCTTCCAGGTCATCCACGTCCACCATATCCTCCCCGCAGAGGGCCGCCTTTTCGCGGACGAGTTCTGCCGAGTCATCTGGGGTCACAGGCCCTGGCGACGAAGCACCGCTGCGTACCGAACGCAGTGATGCATCAGAGCACTCGATCTCACTTGTCACGTCGTCCCAATCCCATTCTCCAAAGGTGTCTCGGAGATCGGGCCCGGAGTCCACCGGCCGCCCTAGTGCCTCCTGGCCGTCACGCAGCGATGGTGTATTGCGGACTAACCCTGCTCCGACAGCATCCGTACGCCCCCTTCCATCTCCAGTATCACATGAGAATCTTCGTGCTCTGGATCTGACAACGGGCGGGCTGGAGAGTATGTCTGCACCAAAGTCGTCGTCCTCGTTGTCTCCATACGGCCGCGATGCACCTGTAGGCCGTAGAGGAGAGGAGAGTTCCGGGGTATCCAACCGCGTCAATGACGGCGACGGAGAGATGTATCCGTCTTCCTGCTGCACAGGATCTGGGTCATCCATTAAAATATCGTCATCGTCAAGTACCGGCTCGTTCTCCTTGTCCTCGACATCATACACCAAACGAGACGGGCCAGCCTCAGGGAATAATTTCTTGTGACTGGCATTTTTGTTCTTGGACTGCGGTGAAGGGGTCGCCCGACAGAAGAATTTTGAGGAAATAGGTCTCGAGGCAGGGTTTGAATATTCTTCCTGCTTCTTTCTTTTCACCGCCATATCCTGCTCCATCACCTCTGCTAGTGTCCGCTTACCGCTAGATCGCCCCGCTGTGATCACCACTTTCGCTGAACTTTTCTCCGCTTGCGCACCGTTCATCCGTGAACAACTCTTAGGTGTAGTGGCCGCTTTTGACTTCGGTGCTGCGAGCGCAAGACGTAAAACATAAGTCACGAACTCTCTGTGAAATGTCGGACTTACTGAAGAAATGCAACAGCCCACCAAGTGGAGGTTTCTCCGACTCTTTACGTCTCTCCTTAGCTCTATCCTTATCCGATTGACCGATGTTTTTAACGTTCATGGGGATGGCCTTGAGGGCCCGAGGAACGTAGGATGGGTTGATATCTTCCATAGGAAGGAGGCTTATAGGACACGCGTCGCCCTCGGCCACCTGCTTTGCCAAAGACGGCTCGATATTCCTAGACACAACCAACAGGCAAAGTGGCGTCAATACACATGTTCTCCGCCTGCCACTAGAACCCACGCGGACGCGTCAGACTTACGCTCCAACAAAAGCCTCCTTTTCGTCATCCCATTCTTCGTCATGCGGGAGGTCGTTCAGGTGGACGAGCTGCTCCTGCGTGGGGTCATACACCCGCTGGTGCAGGAACACCTTCTCCGTGAGCCGGAATGCCTCCATGTAGCCCTTCGGCACCTTTTTCTTTCCCTCCAGGCTCAACGCGCGCACCACGTTCTCCGCCGTCTTGTACCTGCGCAACAGCGCCCACGCCGTCTTCAGGCCGATGCCAGGGATGCTGGGTAGGTAGTCGCACCCGCTCAGGATCGCCATGGCACGGAACTGCACGTCAGACCAGCCCAGGAGCGAGATGCCCCCCGCAGACGTGTCCGTCAGCGACGCGAAGTCCGTGCGTGCGATACACGTGACGCGGCTCGCAGTCGTGTCGAGTTTGAACAGAACGCGCCTGCAGCCGAACACGAGCAGATCCGAGTCCTCCGTAAGTATGCCGTCGACGAGGCCGATCCGCTCCATATACGCCATTTGCGCGTCAGCTTCGTAAGGGGCCACAACATACGGTACGCTCTCTGCACGCAGCACCTGGACGCAGGCCCAAAAGTGAGAAGGGCAGATCGCTCATCGATGCCTAGCGACCACAGACCTTGATCAGTTGATATGCCATCTGGGGAGTGACGTCGATACATTTGACGTAGTACTCTCGTGCTTGGTTATGCTTGCCTTGGGCAGCGAGCGCGTTAGCTCGCGAGAGGTTCTCGTCCCGCTTCTGCTTCCGGGAAGATTCGGTTCCCTTCTTGGCAGGGAGTGGCCCGCCGTCGAAGACTATGTACGGCTGGATACCGTGGTGTCGCAACAGACGCACCCGATGCATAGCATAATCAACGTATCTGCAAGTCATTATACAGGAGTTTTGTGAGTAACCTGTTCAGGAAGGAATTATTCCAGAAATAATGGGTTGGAAATTTGATCATGGTCTCGAATCCATCGTAGCATGATGTCTCGGCTGGTCAATGGATTCCGAACGTCGCATGCAGATGCATACACACCACTGAGTTTTTTAGAAAGGAACGTTCACATTTGCGGAACGGGTATTCCTTTGTTGTTCTATCGCGACCACTGACTTTACACCTCCGGACAACGCCGCTCATCGGCATAGTCTCGCCAGAGGGCCACACGAATGCGCATTTACAGGAAAATGCGTCACGTGTGTATCACAACAGCAATGTGCAAGAGACCTGTAAACAAGGTGGTGCCATGGTGCAGCATGTTAGATTCGCCACGAAGGCCACTAGTCGGCCTGGACGACAACACAACAATCGAACACCGCGATTAGAGAAAATAGCCTGTCACAGAAAGACTCACTTGGTTGTCCTTTTTCCAGTAACAAGCTCCGGCGCGCACCCATAGGTGCCTCTATGAAGCCACACGTAGGCGTCGACGGCGATCGTCTCCCCCGCAAATTCCGATAAGTGCCTATTAACTTGTATATCTTTCAGTAGAGGTAGCAAGCCAGAGATACCCATTGCCACAGATCAAGATGGTGGATAGAAGAGACTAGAATGGAGGTGCATTGCAAGAAAGTGAAGGCCTAGGGAGGCGCGGAAGCAAACATACGCGACGCGCTTGGGGGTCATGTGATCGCGGCTCTTGGTTGAGCGCTTACTGAAAACTTGTCTTCGGCCTTGCTCTGAACCGCGGCAACTCCGCGCTCTGGGATTGTTCTCCCGTGCTCTTTCACTTGTTTGATGCCTCCTTATACCGGGGTCGCATTACGGGATAAAGCAGCCAAGAGCCTAGTGCTCGTCACCAAGTGATTGATGCATGCTGGCGAGCTCGGGCGTCGACGGTTTCTCTACGTTGGATCTCGCTCGAAACAGGTCCAACATCACAAACGTTTCGTAATAGAAAAAGCGGCATGCAGTAAGTCACTGGTACCGGTGTGAGTGCCGTCCGTGGACCACCTGAACAATTCTCCCTATATAGGTCAGACGGGATCACATCGGGCGTCGCTACTTATTCTCAACCAGTTCATGCGCACGTTGACATTGTGAGTTACGCAAGCGTGCGATGCCAGAACAATGTTTACGGAACTCGTTCAGGGTCGATCTGCCACCAATGGCAGGCTCCGTATTGTTGAGATGTCAAAGTCGCGAAGAGAAGTTCCGAAGGAAATCCCAGCGTAGCCACAATCGTAGAAGTGCCGCAGCCTGGGCGTTCTGCACGGGGGCGAACCCAGCCTCAATCCATTCCATGTCGAGGTCAGTGATCACGGTCCTTAAGGGATGAGTAATCGGTAGGTGCCTGTACATGAAATACGCCAACGCTAACAGTTACATCAAATACATACCCATGACAAGATCAAGCAGAGACAGGGACAGCAGCGTCCTTGACATGTTCCTTTGCGAACTGCTCTCGCGCCGCTCTGGAATCAGCCTCCGGGACCATTACGATGTCGAACTTGAGCAACTTGAATGAGCCGCCCTTGGCGAACCCTCGCTTAAGCGCCTCGGCGTCATCGTTCACGTCCGTCAGTTTCTGCGCGCGTTCTGAGTATTCCGTCACCATTTCGAGTGAACGGGACACATACCACCACGAGCGACTTCTTGACGCCAAACACCGCGTCACTGCTCAGCCAGTCGTCGCCCTCGGGATAGACGGCGGTCACAAGCCTGTTGTATCCGGGTGCCTCTACTATGAAGTGCAGATGGTTCGGGCGCATGTTGTGTCGACCGAGCAAGAGGAGCATGTCTCCCACCGGGCCCTAATCACATGGTTAGCGAGATGAAACGCAAGGCCTTTTACGACTTACATCGCCGGGAATGGGGTACGGGACTGGCACGACAGCCCGGAATTCGTATCGTCCGTCAGGGCCACTCTTTACACGACCTCTGCAATCGGGTGCTTCACGATTCGCGTACTGGGTATCATAGAAACCTGGAGAAGTGACCATGATGAACCGAGGGCGAGTTGATGCACTCGAAGGTAGGCATACCGTGCCCATCCGTCTCCCACGTCTCGATGGTCGCGCCAGCGATGGGCTTCCCGTCGGTGCCCAACACTCGACCCTCCACATACATGTATCTTCCCTTTCCTTCCGATGCGATCGAGCTACCGGTGTCGACTAGCGCGGAGGGTATGAAGGCGTTATTGACGTGATATGGAAAGCACACTCACGGTCAGGCGCATCATCCGTGTGGAAGGGCCCAAGCACGCTGCTCTCAGTGCCCCCGCTGATAGGAGGATTGTTGATGGCATCGACCAGTGCGGACACACCGAGCGTGTCAGACAGGAGGATACACTCCTGCCGTATGTCGGTGCACTTCTGGCCAACACGAGTGAGGAATTGGATGGTTGCCATCCATTCTTCGGTGGTAAGACTGGCTTCATCTGAGCGACGGTAACGAAGAGATGCAAGAATAATAACGCACGTAGTCTCCTCGACGAACTGGTGCAAGTGGAGGATCAAGTTTCTGAATAGGAACCTATGACGTCTGCAATAATGCACCATATGAGTTTGGGCATTCAGGTATCATGATGATTAGCCTGGTGGTGCGTACGGGTCAGGAGTCAATTCCACGAGCTTCAACAAGTTCTCCGTGATGAGCTCCGGTTTGTCGGGAAACTGCAGCGTATTTAATCATCGTCCGTCCGATATGGAGTCAATGCAAGCATACCGGCAACTCGAACGGAGGCGCTGGAAGTCCATTCGATACCGCAACATCTTCGAGAGCAGCACTGAAGTTATCGGACATTGTTGTGTAGGATTCGAATTGGTTGCGCTGGAAAAGTGGGCGGGTGTGGTGGTGGACGGCTCCGCCGCAGCGCACCAGACGTATTTATGTCGCTCCTATCCCAACACTGCGAGAACGCTGGGCCCATTTCTGGCACTGGCAGGTCAGGGGGTCATGGAGGCCGCCAGCGGTTGATCACTTCCAGGTGTTGACGCGCGGAAGCGTTTAACGGATGACATATCCCTGCCAGTGGTACGTCTTCTCGAGGCACTCGCAGCGTCCCACACCCTTCTGCCGAGCACTGTCTTATTCATGGCGCGCTGCTTAATCCACTCAGATGCCCGTCGAAAGCCATTCACACAACTTCCTATTGACTCCGATGCAGAGGATTTATCAGGTGCTCCAAGTATGAGCCACGTGATGCGGGATGATAACAATTGGCAAAACCCTTTGCTTAAGACTGCCCAGAACCCAGGAGCTGCAGAAATTTACTTAATCGCGAGAAATATACGAACAGTGAGGCCTGAGGTTCGTTGAAGTGCATTGCAACCTGCAGGACCATGGTAGCATGTACGAAACCAGTCGGCGCGTTACCATTTTTGTGGTTAGGTTGTCCTAATTTGGACAAGTACTAAGTACGGGACTTCCACCCAATTATGTACATATGTAGCGGGAATCTAATCAAAGGTTGCATTGCAAGACATTGTACTCACCGTAAAACCGTACGTTATTATAATTACAGCTGTATACGCGTATGCTCCGAAGCAAGTGGTGTGTGAGCTCACAGGCCTTCCCTCTCTCGTCCGGACTCCGTAGCCACAAAACCACGTGTGAAGTGACGGGCTGTGAACTACAGTCTTAAATCAGGATGCGCTCCGTAAGTGTTAAAAATTCGACCACGTCTCGCTTATTCGAGAGCGAGCAGGATGCCGCCGACAATAGTGATATCAAGCGTGTGACGTTGTCCCTGACAGACATCTGAATGCAGCGCTAATTCTCGAACAAGGCTTCTTCTTTTTGGAATCCGGAATCGGTCGACGGGTATATCAAATCGCATCGAAGAGACTATCGGAGACGGCAGTCGCGGTATGCACAGGTGACTCCACGTCGCGCATTATGCGTCCTCTATGTATTGCTCCCGTGCTCAGGTTTCACAAGATGGATAGGTATCAGGAAGACGTCACACTTGGAAATCTAAGTGGCATCTAGGATACGTATGCGCATCACGTTTGCGACAACAGACACACAAGAGCTTCTGGAGACACTGAGGGACTCGTTGAAATAAGGTGCTAGTCATACATGCCATTTGGGGGGCCCAAATTTAACGAAGACAACGAAGACAATGACAAATGACGTACCGCAGCAATGATATTTACCACGGAGGGTAAGACTTCGTACAGAACGAAGGAATGGCATTGAGGAAATATTGACAGATTCAGCTCATCAACAGCGGGTATCTACTGCTTCACCTGCTGGGCCAGCTCAATAATCAGTTCAGCACGAAAGTGATGCTACGTACTTTGTTCAAAAATCGCGCCAAATGCGCAATCACTTGCTCAGGCTGCTCTTGCTGTACCCAATGACCCGCGCCCTCCACCAACACGAAATCCTCTTCTTCCATCTGCGCACAAACATCGTACCGCATTTTCTCCGCGGCTCCAGGGGTCTGATAGACCCCCCAATCCTTCTTCCCTGACAAATACATCGCCGGCACTTCAATCCGCTTTCCCGCGAAAACGGTCAACCCTCGAGACAACTGCGCGTCGCGCATGCAGCGGTACCAATTCAATCCGCCCTGGAACCCGGTGTGACCGAACTGTGCGGTAAACAGCGCGAGCTCAGCATCCGGCAGCCAAGAATTGCGCTCGGCTTCGTCTTTTGAAGGGGCTCCGCGCTGCACCACGTCAGCCATGGTAGCTTCGAGGGGCATGATGTAGTAATGAGGCATCGTAGCTAGGTTGGCGATGTTCGGAGCACCAAGTGGATGCGGGTCATTCTCCGGCCAGTCTGCGCTCTTCATATGAAAGTATGCACCCAGAAACGCGGAGAGGCCTTGGGGCGCATGCACCATGTCTGCGTTTGCGTCTGGTCCGCTGAAATACGCGGTGTAGTGTTTCCGCGGGGGTTGAAGCGCCGCTAGAGCCACATCAACCATTTGTGCAAGTGACGTGAGCTGCTCAGTGGCGGGCGAGTGAGGGTTGTCGACGTCAAAAGGCAGAGAAGGAGGCCCCGTGAACGGTGCGCTCATTAGCACCACAGACTTGAACACATCTGGTCGGATGAGAGCGCAGTATCCTGCAACGCCAGAGCCAAAGTCGTGGCCCACTACCGAGGAGACAGTACGATACCCAAGTGCATAGGCAAGAGCGACGATGTCAGTCACAAGGTTAATCATTTTAAATGGCTGAAGGTCATCCTCGTAAGAGATGGGGCGGGTATACCCCGTGCGTGGTGTGGTTCTCCCATAGCCCCTCTGGTCGGGAGCGACGACTCGATATCCTAATGCAGCGAGAGGTAACATAACTTTGCGCCAGGATACAGAGAGTTCGGGGAATCCGTGGAGTAGGAGAAGAAGAGGGGAAGATGAGTCGCCGGTCTCCAGAATGTGCATATCGAGGTCCCTGATGGGCACGGTCCGCCCTCTGATACCGTCCGGGAGCTGATAGGCAGGTGAATCCATAATTCTGGGAGGTACAGTCCATCAGTTCATGGTTTAGCCCTTCTCAGTCAACAGTAAATAAAGAGTATTCTCGTTGACCACGGCACTGCAAAGACACCCTGACATATTCACAAGTATAGGTAACAACGGATTCATTTTGAAGCCCTCGTACGCTAGCCACACTTGAAGATACCTCGAAGGTGCAATCAACGTGTACGTTATTTCTCAACGAGAATCCAGATAAAACAAGTCGCGCAGAAATTTGGCCGCAGGTGGAGAGATCTTTGCACGTACCAAATTATAATCCAATGTTGATTCGAGTCTGAAGACCTAAAAATCAGTTCTCTCTTCCAGAATCTAGAGAACGCTTCAAATTCTGGAGACGTTGTCCACTGCGAATTCAGGGTGACGAAGAAAGCCAGAAGGAACTGCCTCATCCAAGATAGAGACCTGATAGAGACGGGCCGGGCCCCGGCCCGGTCAGAATAAGATCTCTATCTTCTGTCCCAGAAGTCTCTTTTGCGCCGCCGTAACGTCCAGTCAAAATTGACTTGCCGAAACATCGAAAGAACAGCCTTTCGTCAATCTGAGCTATGTCCGACTCCGAGCCTTTACCCGTAGAACTCGAGTCCACATTCTCTGCGGAAAGATACTTTGCGACACAACCTCCGCCGCACTCGCTAGAGCACGACATGGTCGGGGTGCGCGAGTTCATAAAGAGGCAGTCGGAGGACGGCCGCAACGTTGTGCTGGTGACGGTGAGCAACCTCTCCGAGGACGTACCTCCGGCCGTCGCTGACTGAGATATACACGTGGGCAGAGTGGAGGGACGACTGTACCTCTGGAGCTCAACGTGTGAGCGTCATCGCGCGTCTGTTCGGCATCATACTGCAGCGGGCTCATCGCGCGCATGCGCCTTCCAGCGTCCGCTTCCTCGACAACTTCAGTGCCGGTGTGTGGAGCTATACCTTTATCTCATATTTCGAGGCAGCGAGCCTTATGCACGAATGCAGGAACCCGCGGTGCAACGTCCGCGGAGTACTTCTTGAAAGCAGGATATGCGGTGATTTTCATGCACCGTCAGTTCAGCCTGCAGCCCTTCAGCCGGCACTACTCGCATTCCACCCATCCCTTCCTCGACTTCCTCGAGATAGAGCAGGTAGACTCAGGTCAGCCCGCTACGCCCAGTATCACCGTGAAACCTTCAGAGCGCGACCATCTGGTGGATGTTCTGACGGCGTATAAAGCGGTTCACAAAGCGGGGACAATGCACACGCTCACGTTTGTCACGGTGAACGACTACTTATGGCTTCTGCGTGCTGTAAGCCAGGAGCTCTCCGTGCTGGGTAGGAATGCATTGTATTACCTCGCCGCGGCCGTGAGCGATTTCTTCCTACCGAGACAAAGATTGGTGGGTGTTTTCGCAACCAGGGCAGTGTACCCCCTGTGGCAACGAACTAATTCATAGTTCCAGTCAGAACACAAGATCCAGTCTGGGAAGGGCAGCCTGCACATAGAGATGGACCAAGTCCCCAAGATCCTCAAGCCAATGGTAGATGAATGGACCCGCGATGGTTTTATCGTCTCGTTTAAGGTCCGTCACACCTTTCTGACGCTTCATCCCTGACTACAACCCTCCGTGTGCGCTCAAAGCTGGAAACCGATGCGTCGCTCCTGATCCCGAAGGCGCGAGCCGCCCTAGCACGGTACGGGCACCAAGTAGTGATCGGCAACGACTTGCACCACCGCAAGCACCAGGTCGTCTTCATCTCACCCGTCTCCAAGCTCAACGCCAATGCCTCGGGAGCGGCGGATACCGCGCAGCTGGACGGCCCCGCGGCTGTGCAGTCAGGCCGGGCAGGGCACGAGCAAGCATACGTCGAGTCGTGGCTGCGCATCGATCATGTGCAGGAACCGCACAAAGAAATAGAGGAGGATATTGTTGGAGAGCTGGTCAGGCGGCATCAAGTATGGATCGAGGGTAATGTACGTACATGAACTTCAAATATAATTTCAAGCAGTTCTTTGCAAGTTCTTTGGGCCGAAGAATGTTTCCATGATATGTATCAACTATTTTCGCTCACCGATTAAGCTATCTGCATCAATGGGGTAGTGGTAACCTGGGTCGTTGCCATTAATATCTCTCATGTTGAAATTCGACCCGCCGGGGGTTCAATTCCCCCTTAATGCATTGAAGGCTTTTTGTCGATTTTCGGTGTATTTGTACGAAGTATCATGTCACATTCTGAAAAGGTGGTTCGTTTTTAAAGTTCCAGCGCACGTAAACACGTCTTGATGATGAGTTTAATGATATGCAACCTATGATTTTGGGCTCTACCGAACCTCCCGTGCCCACTCTTCAACCGATGCCCACACCTTGTCCCGCACCCGCTCATCCCACCACGTCAATTGCAACACATCATGCACGCCATCCTCGACCCACACCGTGCATACATCCACGCCATCGCGCTCCATCGCGCCCACAAGCTTCATAACCTCCCTTTCCAGGCGTTCCGCATCACCGAGTACCACACACACGCGCGGGAACTCGCTGAAGAGACTTAGCCCACGGGGTGAAGCGATAACGGGGCGGGCGAGGGACGTCGGGCTGGGTTCCAGCTCGTCCGCGAGCGTGGCAGGCTCCGACGCCATCGTGCGGAGCGTCTCGCGCAACCCGGTGTCGAGGCGGCCGATCGTGAGATCCTCGACGCTCGCTACAAATGCGTCACCATAGAATGCGCGCAGCACGCGCCGCGACACAGGGCTCACGTACGGGCTGTGCATGGTCTCGAGCGGGTTGTGCCCCAGGAAGGTGCGCTGCAGCAGCGCACGTGGCTCGGGCGTGTCGACGAGGTAGTCCGTATCGGCGTGCGGCCGTGGGACATAAGACGAGGGCGTCTCGGGGAAAGCATGTGCTACAGAACGCAACATCAGCGATATGGACAAGAGAGTGGCAGTCCTGCTTACACGGGTCACAAGAAGGAGAGAGAAGTATGAGCCCAGCGGGCGGTGGCAGGAAGCCCTCGTCCCTAATCCACCGCGCGAGAGCCAGCACAAGGTTGCCACCCGAACTGTCACCAATAAGGACGATCTTGCAGTGCGTCTCGCGGGCAGCGGCTTCCACTCGTGCTTTGACCTCGTTGTTCTCCTTCTCGTTCTTCGCAATTTCAGTGGTATAATTTACAGTCAAGATGTCTGTCACCTGGGGCATCTCGGGGTGTGAAACGCTTCTCTCTTTCTTGGGGGTAACCGGAGTTTCTGATCCATTTGGGTTAGAAACATAGTTGGAGGTGCCCTTGTGCTGATGAACGATGTGAGCATATACTGCTGCCGCATCTTGGACAGCAGCCGGGAAGGGTGCGTGTTGTAAAAGGCGGTATTCGACAGCTGCTCAGGTAAAAATGTACGTCATCAAGGAGAAAACGATTTTATGGAGATGCTGACAATAAATACTTGAGAAGGTCTTGTCCTGCGATTGATAAGGTGAGCCGCTGGAAAAACAGGGATCTGATGAATTCCTCACCTCCATTAGCCGTCGGGGTATCCTTGATGTTCCTGCATGCTCATGTGCAGACATATGACAGTACCCACCGCCGTGTAGGAATATACCGATAACGGGTTCGTCGTCGCCATTGGCCTCAACATTGGACTCACTGGCCAATGCAGCCTTTGATCCATGGCGGTCTTCTGGAAGAGCGGTATTCAATAAAGTTTGCCGAGAAATGTGCATGAGCATCAGACATACCTGAAGGACTACCCTTCGGCCATACAAATGCTCCGACTTTCTTAAACGGCACCTGCTTATCTACTACGATCCCTGACCGCAAGCACTCCGGCAACGGGTCAATCCACTCAAATCTCGTCTCCGTCAACGTACTATTGTCACACGCTTCGTCTGGTTCCCGCGTGCCCCACTCGACGCCCGCCAGCTCCGTCACCTTGAATATCCGTCGATAGAAATTGACGGTTACAATCTGCCTGAGTGACCAAGATGTCCGCGGACGAAACTTCCGGGGCAGAAGTGCATAATGAAAAACCCACACCGGCACCAGAAGGAGAGTGGTGAGCAGCCGCTGGGATACATAAATGGCCTTGAGTGGCTGTCGCGCGAATGGCATGCATTCGTGGTGAAGTGAGTTAGACATGTTGCGGACGGGCATAGATGTCGCAGAGAAAAATATGAGATGTTATGTCAGGTATATGTTGCGAACGAAACAACAAAGCACCGTAAACAAGACATGGAGCAGTCGAGAGGTGAACGAGACGGACAAACTCATGGTGCGGGACCGGCACCGCCGGTCCGGTGTGACGTCAATTAGCAGGTGCTCCTTGTAAATACATCCAAAGAACGCGTCTGTGGCTGGTAGTCCGGAGTACTTGCTTGGTGACTCGTGTAGATGAGTCCCGCTCCGTTGTTGGCAAGGAGCATAAAACTGGCCCGCCGTGCCTACAAGTCTTGTTTACCTGAATTCATTTGACCACACACGTAAACACAAAATAACGCGACCTCGCAGTATTCCAAATTGTGTAAGTTACTAGCGGCGGCGTGTAAGCTGTATTGAGGTTTAAATAGTGATTTTTTGCGGCACATATTTTGGAGATAGAGCGCCGCATCGTTCTCCTCCTAGCACCTCCACGAACTTACAGACACAGACACCTCAACGAAAACGGCCGAGCGCGCGACTATATTTTTCCAACATACACCACTGGCACCTCGTCGAGTCGCGCCGCAAAGCTGCCCTCCGAGTAGCTCTCTGCCATCCCAAAGTTTTATCGATGAGTGTCGGATCTTCATCTATGATTCGACGACAACCGACTGCGGAGATTCAACATTCATATAAGGAGGGTGAGCAGAATTGCGGTCTTCATCCGAGTCTCCTTTAACATGTCGCGCGAATAGGAACCATCTGCTAGCAACTACGACCGAGTCGGAGGGCCGGCTCCATGTAGATCTCGTACTGATACCGACGTCAGGGTGGCAATAAGTCTGCCAAACGAGCGGCGCATCACGTCGTGCGAGAAGTCCAAAAGGACCTCCGGGGATATTGCCACCACACCGATACCAACATCTTCCTCGATCGTATTCTTCCAATAGATGGGAAGTTCGTGGACGACGCGCTGGAGGAACTCAAAAGAAATGGTATATACCGGGTCAGTTCCTGGAAAGATTTACCAGTTGCACCGACGAAGGAGAAACCTCTTTATGTCCCCTTCGTCAATGCGGCCAATGCGATCCAAAATATCTGCAATACGAAAGGTGCTTCTACGCTCAAAATTTCCTAGCACGATAGACATGACATAGCACCAAAGTCGCTGGATAGCATGGCCGCTATGATTCGTCCTGACATTGTTTGTCTTCTTGGCAAGGACGGGAAAGTTGTGGAGGACGAGATTAAGAGTGAGACCAAGAAAGAGGAAGATGCAGATGACAGCGACAACGAACGTAAGAAAGACCAACGCAACAAAGTCGTGAGTCCATTCTCAGCTACATTGGGGTACGTAGAGTTGCATGCTGGTGTCCCACCCTCTCCTTTCTGGCGGTGAGATCGAGAAGCCTGCAATAATCTGTATGAACTTCTTCGGGTTCTGAGGCCACGAATACGAATATCGGCAGAGGAATATGCTTGACTACGGCGCACACCGCGTGGATATCGAAGTGCGTCACTGTCCCGACCAGACCGGAATTATCGCAGAGCTAGACGAAGAAGTCCGTACGACACAGAAGTAGGCCAAGGGCAAAACGTCTGTCGGCTTGCACCTTCTGTCGCATGTACACGAGGAGGTGTGCGAGACCACCCAGGACACTTTCCTTGTCGTTCTGTGGCGTGATCTCAACGGGAACGTGAACACGAAGCCAACAGGCTGCTGTGAGCTTTTCCTACTGGTAAACGAACATTGGATCAGAACGGAGATTGGGCTTACCGGTTCAGATTTGTGTTCTTCCTTGCTTTCTGTCGAGTCCATTGCATCTTCTGGTCTAACGCATTTCATTCTCGCATATGGGTGCATCCTCTAGCAGTTTTCTATCCTGCTCGCCTAAGGAAGCACGCTACCCCGGGATGAACGGTACCCGCCGTCTCGCATTTCGCCTTCGGTGGCCTCGTCGTGCAGGCTATTGGGCAATGAAACTTGAATGGCCGCCTCCTGACTGCATCTGCTTCGGGTCGCATTCGCCGCATTGACAAAGAGCCTATGAAGCAAACCCCCCGTCGACAGTGGCTCTACGACGTCTCTCTAGCCTGTTGCGCGATCGTATAGACACTGCTATGCGAGCGCCCCCAGAGTGTTTTTCACACCAGTCCGGTCAATGAGGAAAATGTGTTCGTGTTTGTGTCTTGGCAGTGTCCCTGGAGTTCTCGTTGCACCTGATTTTAGCTTTGTCTGCCATTGCCTGCTACCATTCAAGTGGAAGGGTTCAAGTAAGTGAAAGTCAAGTTACCTGGAGGTATCCCGAGACTACACTGTAATCGTCGTGTTGAAGGACCGTATAGATGTTATCTGTGCATGCAGCACATTCGTCTGTCTTCTAATGTCACCACACGGCCTAATAGTCATATCCTCAGGCCTCGACAACTCGCAGCGATAATAAACTGCCACTGACAACAAATATTTACAAACAGCACGTCTGTGGCAGATTGGCCCACTCTCTTGCAGTACGAGAACAACGAACCAGATTGCAAGGCACGTCCCTAGATAGTCGGGGAAAAGGCACTTGCGCTAGAGAAAACTAGTAAAATATAAATCCGGCCTCAGCGGAGAACCTAGAATACAGAATAGACAGGAGACAATGAACCAGGCAACCAGCCAGAGTATTTAGATAGTGTCGTGTCGTAGCCATAGTATGTAGCCATAGAACTAGTCGTGCAAGTCAGTCTTCCATAGTCAAATCAATTACTTCGACATCCACGTTGATGGCGCTTGTTCGCGAACGGCCCACTTCTTCTCTCTTGATGCGCTTCGTTCCGGTCTACGGCCGGCCAATACATTTAGACCACAGTGAATCAACGGGTATTGAGTGACGGTAACGGACCTGTGCAGCAGCAGCGAGATCAAGTACCACTCCGGCAGGGTTCGGGCTCGACAGCACTTCCTCCTTGACGAGTGGCTCGCGTTGCTGCGCGGTCGGTATGGCATCTGCTCGCTGAGTGGAAGGTCCACCATCTACTCGCCGCGCGTATGGTCCAGCATCCGGCGCAGGGGCGCTTCTTGTCATGTCGGCTTCAGCTTGCCGAGCAGATGAACGAATACCACAGGGCATGATACCTTCGGCCTGAAGAAGAGCTGCACCCGTGTGTAGTTAGAAAGTAGCTCATTCTCAGTAGCAAGGATCTATCATACCCCTAGGGCGATAGCGGAAGATGAACCGGATGTAGGGGCGGTCCTGCCTATCCAAGTATACAACCTTGGTGGGAGGAGACGTGTGCGGAGGGCAGCGGACGCCGTCTCCCAGACTGAGCGTTTTGCATATGATTCGTCTGAGCATGGAAGTACGCAACAACAAAAATGAGACATACGAAACACAATGCGTGCCGGCCTTCTTGCTCCTTTCATGGATGGGGCCCCGCTCAGGGAAATAGCGCGGGCGGTACGGTTTTGCGAAGCGGCGATACTCGTGGACTACACGGCACACGCGCACCTCAACCACACCCAGGTCCTCAATACCGCACGCATCCGGGTTGGCGACGTCCTCGTCGTCTACCATGCATGTCAGTCCCCACTCGAGTACCACAGACACCACTTGCCCCACCTGTAACAACCAGCGGAGTAAACTGGTATGGCGAGAACGTCTCTGCCCCAGTCCGCACGCCCCAGCGCCGTCCTCTGCGCCACGGCATTGTCGCCGAGCAGCCCATGCACCGACCGTCCATATAGCAGTCCGCGGAGGCGACCTCATCCAGCTCGTTCCGCCAATGCACTTCAAATTTCTTGATAAAGTAGCAAAAATACCAACGCAATTGTGAGTATGACCTGTATGAGGAAGGTTAGGTGAACGGGACAATGGAGTGGCTGACCTTGCCCGCCTCGCTCGGTATCCAGCATGACACCGTCGTACTGTTCTCGATTCGAGCACAGTATTCGTCCACAGGATATCCATCGCAGTATATTGTCGTTTCCCAGTTCTTGTAGTACATCTTGGCGGAGGTCGGAACTGTGGCGCAACACTTGAAGTCAACAACTAACGAATGAACCCAGGAGACGCCCGTACTGTTCAGATCACGTGCTACAGAACGCGTCGCGTCGCGTCGACTCCCGCGGCCCGCGATACGAGAACTCTACGCTATCCGTCACGTACTTGCTGTGCATCACCTAGTTCTTCATTCCATGCATGTGACGCGCAGGACTGACCAGGTTTTAGTTCACAATATTTCACTGTCTGGCAGTGCGGCAGCCCAGCTTTGGGTGAGTGTAATAATGCCGATAATTACTTTAGCATGTTCATGCCCCCGTCGTAACTGCAGCTCTTGAGCTTGAGCTCTTAGTTGTGTGTTATCTGGATCTTGTGTGACGTCTTTTGTCACCATGTTTAGCGGCCGTCGAGCTGTTGACAGTTCGTACTCCCCTGCTCCAGTCGAGACCTGTCCTGGCGACTGTCGGGAAGAGGATCATGGCAAGTACTGCAGGTAGGAAAGGTAAGGTGCCATCCCCTGCGATTCCGCATCTCTAGACATGTTTTAACGGTCCCAAAGGCTTTGAGAAGCCGATAGACAGATGATCATTTTGCAGAGATGCTGTGCAAGGTGCGTCAGTGCTACTACTATGTAAGTAGCTGCGAACAGTACGAGTCATACATGTACACTGGCTGTGCGGCTGTATCACGCGTAAAGGTAGGCGGATGGGAACTTAATCGATTGTTCCGTCTGCCTCCAGGTAGGCTATAAACAGTACCCCTGTCTTCAGATTGCTTAGTGGGAAAGTAACGGTAAAACAATCTTCTCGTCCAACGGCTCAGCTGTCCGCAGCCCTCTCTGCTCTACCCTCCTACCACATATTGCAAGGGATCGTGAAGGGGATTCGAGCTGCTCGTCATCGGCAAGTGGTATCGAGAGTAATATTCACTATTTGCCCCATCAGTTACAGTTCCAAGTAGCCTGAAGATACCAGAAAGCCAGTCTATAGGATGTTCTGCCACGTTGCAGGACAAAACATGTTAGAGTTGTGAACAAGTTGCGATTGTCATGCGTGTTGGCGGTCGGCTTTCTTCCAAAAGTGTGTCATCGGGACCAAATTCTGTCGTTTTGTTTTACCTGCGCGCATGGCGTAAAGCATTCATCGCAACGCGTACAGTACTACATAGTATATGTTTCGTCGGCGCTACGCTAGTAATATACCTACCTACCGGAGTGTGCATGGTCGAAACGTCGGCGCCGGCTCACTCCCGTCTTCGTTTTAATTTTAAAGCTATCGCCAGAGCCCCTGTAAGCACGCGCTATGACCATTTCCTCGCGCAGTTTTGTGATGGAGACCAGTTCCCGCAGGCGGCGATTCTTTAATCGCTAATGCAGAGCGCGAAGTCATGGTGGTAGCCACGCGGCAAGAGAAACTGCGGCCGTCCTCGATCACAGAAGCTGTATCCTTCGTCTGTTTACCGCCATGGCGACTCCTAGTTTATAACTGCCACGACCGATTCTAAATCGTTTGAACGCTTTCTCTGCACGATGTCCAGAGCGGAGTATGTCCTACTGCCTCTCCACGCCAGCGACGACGCTGCGCCAGACGCGGACAGCAGGGCGCCATCACCAGTTCCACATCAGCACTCTCGAGGTCGCTCGCGGTGGTCATGGATACCTTACAGCCTATGGCGCCCCCGAACGCTCTTTATCCTGCTCAAGATATTCATTCCCGTCGCTGTCCTTGTCGTGGTGGGCGGCCTCCTCCTCTGGGAGCCATATTTCGAGCTTATCTTCTACCGGCGAGCCTGGGTGCGGCAAGAAATTGAACACGTACTGCCACTCGCCGGGTGCTTCAACCCAGACCGCGTCTCGTCGCTGTACAACGTGACCGAGGCATTGTACGGCCAGCGGCGGACAGAGGTGCACGCGGGGCTGCGCATGCCGCTGGGTATGGACTGCTACGCGTTCGCGGGGACGATCCCTGCGCCCGCGAGCCATGCCAGCATGCCGCTGCCCACGGAGGAGCGCACGACCTTCCATACGTATTGGCGCTCGGACCTCGCGCCGTTCACGGACAGGCAGGAGTGGTTGCTCAAGTCCTTCTTCGCGACACAGAACATAAATACCTCGCGCCTTATCCTGTGGTCCAACGGAGACCTCTCTGGAAATGCAATCCTACAGAAATGGGTGCAGCGCTTCCCCGATGCGTTTGTACTCCGCATAGTGGATTATAGTGTGCTCTCGCGAGGGACAGCGTTGGATGGGAGCAAAATGTTACGGGTGACGGACGCGAAGGCGTGGATAGATGGCGACTTGGTGCGATTACTTGTGCTGTGGGCTCATGGCGGCGTGTGGGTGGATATGGATTCTCTACTAGCAAGAGATCTAACGCCACTCTTGGAGCACGAATTTGTGACACAGTGGGATTGCGTCGGTACGTGGATATATCGCGCTTCCTCCATGCCCCCGTCCCCGACATTCATAATACGCTGCTAATAAATTCCTTTACCCAGAAAAAAACTATCAGCCATTCAATGGCGCCTTGATGCGCTTCCACCAATACTCACCATACCTCTGCGAAGCCTTCCACATAATAGCGACATCGAAACCCCCACGACGCGGCTCTAATGACTGGGGCGCCCTGCTGTATCTCAAGCTATGGCGGCGCCTGGTTGCTGCGTCCGTTCCGCCATTCAAGGTACTCCCGTGGTGTTTCACGGACGGTCGCTCGTGCTGGCGCGATATCCAGTTGCCTGATCCGTATTCTCCGGATCCCGCAGACGGGCGGTGGACAGCCGGCTTAACAAGAGAGGCGGGCGGCGGGCTGGACAAGGCCCTGAACTCCGTGTTCTCGGTGCACCTGCACAACCAGTACGAGAAACTTTTCCCTCCCGACGGATGGGTCGAGCGGCTGCTACTGTCGGAGTACGAGAAGCAGCTGGGGAACGATATACGGACGCCGGATACGGGTGAGCTCTGATATATGATCAGTATGATTTGGAGCTGGATTCTGCACTGTAAATTTTGCTGAACGGATCTACTAGGCAACTACTAATGTATCGCACTATCTGTCATGCACTCTAGTTAATGGTGTATACCCGCCGATGCATCACACTTAACGACCTGCTCTGCGAGACTCGCGCTGTGTATAGATTCACCGATCGCTTACCGTTCCGTCGGTACAATGGGATTGGCGTCGATCTTGGACAACGCTGACAGATTGCTATGCGGTGCGGTCAGATATCGACGTGGCTACTATTACGGGCGCGGGAAAGTCAACTGTTCTATGCTTGCTACGTGCGATTCTGGATCCAGAAAGTGCATCGCCGTGGTGTACCCAGAAAATAAACACGAACGAACGGTGGGACTTAATCAACATCGTCTCCGATGCTCTGGTCATCAGCGCCTTCCGCGTCCTCCTCACCCTCCTCGCTTTCCTCTGCACTCCCCTCTTCTTCCTCATCTTCTCGCTCGAATACCACGCACCAGAATGTTCTTCCCCAGGGCAGGCCATCCTCACTCGACCGCTCACAACACACGAACCGGACAGGCTCTCCATCCCAATAGCTCGTGAGGTCGAGGGAGAACCCGCCTGGCAAGCTCACGCCCACGCCACTTGGGCCGAAGGAGACATAGTTGTAGCAGAAGTCGGCAATTATGAGGTCCTACCCGGCATACCCTGGTCAGAATATAACGATATATGCGCGTGTCCGAAGAGAACAGACCTCGGGGCCTAATGTGACTTCCTTCCTACGCTCTACATCTCGGAAATACACACGTCGGTCGCCGGAAGAGTACAATAGGGAAGTATCGTTCGCAGTGGGTGTCTCGGGTGGGAATGGTGGTACTTCAGCATCGTGCGCGATGCGTCTATGTTCGAGGTATGGCATAGTGGAGATGAGCGGTGACAGCGCCCAAGGTTTGGATTGCGACGCCAGGTCCTGTTCTAGCGTAGGATCTATATACCTTGTCAAGGGCAAAAGCAAGTCAGCAAGAACGCAAGTGATGTAAGTTGAGGACCCACTGCATGAATCTCAGGGCTGTACTGAACCCCCACGGAAGGTTCAGGGGCTTCTCGAAGGCGTTTCCGAACAGTACATCATTGGCGGAGTACGGTTGTAAGAACCTCCCTGGAAGATGACGTTCAGCAGCAACGCAGCACTCTGAAAGATATACGCACCTTGCATTTGGATGCTCCAAGTGACACCCATCCTCTCTGCTTTGTTGAAGTACGAACTATCGCTGACGGCTCCACTGGGATCCACAAAGTCTTTGAGATATACTGCGACCTGACCCTCGAAGATATCACTCTTGACGTCCACTGCGATCCCGGAGTTTACCGAGACCTCGACGAGCTCGTCCACCGACGGACCTGCTAGCACACGGAGACGAGGCATAACTGGACGTTATCAAGTGCTGCAGGTGGTATGAAATGTCAGAGAATTACACGGAGAGGGAGGCAAGCGTGCGCAGTGGAGGCTGACAACGTCCAAGAGAGTGACGCACAGAGCACGGATATGGAATTAGCAGAGTACGTTATGTTACATACCCGGGCACTATACCACAGGAATACTTTTCCGCGTCCACGCCGCCCCTCGCAGGTATTACGGCAAGTCAGGCATCCGTCGCACGACCTTCCCCTCGTTGCGGACGTGGGCCCGCAGCCTCTCCAAGATGTCCGAGTTGGACCAGCGCTCCGGCGGTGTCCTCTTTCCTGTCGCCCAGTAGTAGATGTCCCAATCAGGCTCATCCATGAGCTACGCGCCAAGTCGTGTCAGCCGAGTAATCAAATGAGAGACAGTACCAGGTAAGAGGCATACCCTGTCAAACTCCTTGAGCTCCGCCTCGTTCATAGTATCCAGCTGCTCCTTCGCAAACGTGCTGAGGAGCAGGTCGCTCTCGAGAGTCCCCCGCTTGCGTGACTGATAGACGAGGCGCGCCCGCATCGTCTCGACAGGCTCGCCCGGGCGCGGGAGTGGTGTTGGCGGCGGCATGTCTGCGGGTGAGGCGGTGGATGCGAGGTGTTCTGGCGTGTTAGGCAGAGGCCAAGGGTCCGCCGATCTGCGAGTCGTCGTCGTCAGTGGGCGGAACGATGGCAGACGGCGAGGACGTGCGAGCAGCCTGAGCATGGACATGGTGATGGTGGCAGTCGATAACTGAGATCAGCGTTCGTCAAATGAGATTACCCACAGATTGAGCTGAAATATTTCCGATCCTCCGACAATCGGAGAATATGCGACCAACGGACGCGGACAGCGACGATCTTCCAAACTCTTCCCATCCTGCTTGACGAATATAGCAGAGGACGACGAAACATATTTTATCTGTATTATAGTGACCTATTCTCACATAAAAAAGCAGACAGCAAGAGGAGTGACTCGGAGTACAAACAGGAAGAGCGACGATGAAAAGTCGATGAAAAAAAATGTATGGAACAAGCGGGTGACCAGTATGGGGAATCTGCACGTTGACGTCGAGAGTGAGAAATGAGGATGGAGACGAATAGATAGGTAGGATGGAGTAGTCAGACAAATACAAAGGCAGAAGGACGATACGAGCGACTTTCGAGAAATATCAATGTGAATGGTGCGGAACAGTGCATCATATTTAGTGCTGCTATGCAGGGAGTCCATGGACATGCGTGCCAATCCTCTGGTCGTTTTGTCGCCTTTCTTCACTCCTGTGCGTCATCAACAACCCCCCACCAACCTCGTCTGGGCCTCGCCACTGCCGGCTTCCCTGGATCAGCACATGGACATACTCGTAGCTGAGCCAGTATGTTCTGCTGTCCCGTAAAGCCCTCCCACACCGCACCTCGACCACACTAGCCACCAACTGCACATAGAACCGACATCAAACCAAGGAAAGACGATGGGAGAAACAAAAGGAGCGTGTGTGACGGGGCCGAGCCCAACGATGAGAGGTGAGGTACTGACAATGTGCAGCCTTAACCCATCTTGCTCGCATCCTTCTTCTTCTGTTTGCGCGGTGGTGTTACAGGGCGACCCATGTTCACGCCTCCATATGGATACTTCGCTTTCTTTTCCGCAGGTTTCAATATCTACGAGAATAGACGCACATTTAGTTGACGTATATGAGAGAAGGGATCCACAATAGGAACGCACCTGGAATGAGCACAGCAGAGTTTCGTCGACGCTCATCATTGCCCCTGCATTGTCAAATTCTCCACAATAGTTAGGCGCTGAGAACAAGGTCACCAGATGCCGTTTTGCGAAGAATTCGTAGCCATCTTCCACCACCTAGAACACACATCAGTGGATCCGGAGAGAACTGACCCACACCACAACCACGCACCTGATGCGCCCGACAGATTAAGTCCATGTCGTGTTTTTGTAAGAACCTCGACACTACATCTGGACCGAAGGTGAATGATACTCCTCGATCGTTCTCTGACCAACCCGTGATGTCTTTGTCTGGGTCAGACCACAGGAGATCACATAACAATCCTACGGCATTATGTCAGCTTCACGAAAGAACGCCGACCGTGCTGCGCATAGCATACCGGTGTCGGGGACGTCTGTAGGGCGCATTACCCTTCGGATTTGCTCCATGGATTGGAGATCGGGCGAAAGACCGCCGTGCATTGTGAAAATTTTCTCGTCAATGATGGCAGCGATGGGGAGGCAGTTGAAACAATCCGTAAAAGTCTTCCATAGCTTGATGTTGTATCGACGCTTGCCTGCATTATGGAAGGCCAACAGCATCCAACGTAGAAAAACAGGCGGCATTATGAGTACATTATTAACCAGAGAGGGGATGGGATAAACCGCCACGCACATTCATCGTAAAACCCGTAAATTCGGTTGATGCTCGCGCACTCGTGATTCCCCCTCAACACGAAGAAATTTTCCGGGTACTTGATCTTGTATGCCAGCAGCAGACAGATCGTCTCCAAGGATTGCTTGCCACGGTCGACGTAGTCCCCAAGGAACAAATAATTGGCTTCTGGGGGAAACCCACCGTACTCGAACAACCGGAGGAGGTCATAGTACTGCCCATGGATGTCGCCTGGAGGCGAACAGGTGATGCACAGTCACGTCGGGGCATCTAATCCGAAGATATGAATGAGCGCACCGCATATCTTGATGGGGGCCTCGAGTTCGAGCAGGATGGGCTGGTTGATGAAAATTTCGCGAGCCTTTGTGCAGAGATATTTGATTTCGTACTCCTGTAGCTGCACTGGCTTCCCCGGCCTGTTTCCTCGAACTGTAGTAGATCCGCAGTCAGCGAACTCTTCCAACGCACATGGCCTGTCCACCACACACCCTCGAGTAGTCGGTCAATGACCGAGTCGAGATCGATCTCAGTCGCTGTGTCCGCCATAACTTTACACCTTCAGATGAGTCGTATAATCGATTCGTGAAGTCGCAGTCGTTAGCCAAAGAACAAGACAGTTTTGCGTGACAATGACTCGGGCTTTGTAGAGGGATCGGAGGCAGGTTTAAAGTCACAATTCTGGACGCTCTCGGGAAGGTAATGTGCAGAAGAGGAAGAAGTCGGTGGTCAGCCGGCTGCAACACCAGAAAATGCGAAATTTGTGAGAGCGAGCAGACAGATAACGAGCGACGGATGATGTGACCCACCCGTGCCAGCGCGCCACAGCAGAGGAGGCGGAGTTTGTCGGAGTTTGTCCATTCCTTATCGGACTTTTGTTCCTTCTGTGACTTTTGTCCTTGCCGACGACGGTCGTCGACCTGGCCGTTGTCAACAGCAGCCATGGTTGTCTTTGTTTCCTCCATTTCCTGAGTACTTCCTGACATCTGACATTGACATTTCTCTGAAAAGCCAGTTCGATTTCTCGGATGTTGCAAACGATTTCCAATTACCGATTCTTACGTCCCTCCTCTTGCTCACGGTGGACCGGAAATCAATGATGCCTGTGGTTCCGGACTGGTGATTTCTTAGAATCAGATATACCCAAAGAGGACTCTTGTCGTATTTTGCGTCAGAAAAATTGCCAACGAGGTCAGTTTTCATTCAATGACATGTTCGGAAGGAATCGGCTCCGGAAGCACATACCTGGAGGAAATTTTACAGCTTTTCTTTGACTATACTCTTTTGCCTTGGGTGGCCCACGTTCGAAGTCGTTCTTAGCTTCTGGCTGGTGCACCCTACTCACGCCTGTCCTGTGGAAAGAAACTCGTTTCAGCAGAATCAGCACTGCTCTGATTGTTTGAATTGAGAGACCAATCATCCGGGCTATGTTGTTCCATCCGCTCTGCCGTGCTTCCATCGGCAGATCGCCGACACTCCTGAAGCAGCCTGGGTCTACGCTGAGTTGAGAGGTGGCTGCTGGTTCACTTCTTGCGCGACTAGATTTCACATGGCGTCAAACACAATAAAAGAGTACAGTTCACATTTACAGGCTCCATTCCGAGAGTGTACACATTAAATGCTGAAACCATGTGTTGTAAGGTAAGTATGCGGGTATAGCGTGATGACGGCGCGGATCATGCAGCATGACGTGAATGGGATCAAAAACGAAGGGCGACGATGTAGTGGGTGTGAAGAAGGAGCGTCTGTAGCATATACGCAAAAAACAGGCAGATGGAGCGATGGGTTTGCAAACCGGGAGAACCGACAGCAAGAGCCGAAACATATCCAAGAAAGGCTGGAGTAAGGTTGAAAGTCGTGTATCGTTGCGGACTTGACGATGAGACGTCGTGTGGTAGGGCTCAATCTACACGCCCTCAGGTCTGGGACTTCTGAGGCTTTGCACGGTCTCATGGCCAGTAGCGGGGCGTCTTCTACGTCGTCTCCTGTAAAATAACGTCAGGGAAAAATCCCTCATGTCCAAAGAAAACTGACCGGGGAAACATTGGCCCCCTGGGCATCGGACGTTCGTCCAAGTCAAGCGCAATATTCGTCGCGGCTTGGATCCCCTGTGGCGACAACCGTCACAAATGCACAGATTAAAAAAAAGTATCGCAGAGATGCGCGCACCTCTATCCACTCTATGACCGAGGCGACATCCTGCGCCTGTAGTAAGGACTGCTCCCCTTCCAGACGGACGCGTATGACATTCTTGCGCTTCGTGTAGTCACTTGCAAGCCCGCTCTCTGCATGCTGCAAGGTGAAGGAGCTGATAAGGTCCCTCTTGTCCGGTTCCACAATCGATTGCGCAGAATTTGGAGGAAACTCCGAGTTAACCGAAGGGCTGTGGGGCATACGAGACCGCAAAAAGGAGGATGCGGACGAAGTACCGTTGGAGTTCGATCGCGCCGTGGGCGAGGGAACGGTCACCGTAGTACGCGAGGTCGAGTTTGACATGTAACCGGATCGAGACGACGACGACGTATTATCGGAGGACTGTCGGCTGCTGATCGGTGGTGAGACTGGAGAATCCTCTCGTTGGGTGTCCACACTCAGGCGTGATCTCGAATTGGTACTACTCGAGGGTAGGACCGAGCGACTTGAGCTGTTCGTACGATTAGGATGAAGGAGGCTTGCAGCAAGATGAAACTTCGATCGAGAAGACGGTGACGGCGAAGGCTGCACGGGCTGTGGTTGTGTCGGAGCTCGCTGGCTCGCAGTGAGCGATCCGCTTGGTACGGAATGTGTAACCTTCTCGTCTCCCCCCTCGGTGCTGGGCGTGGACTTCACCGCAGAAACACGGGTCCCGCTGGAAGTTCCTCTGTTCGGATTGATGACTGTGATGTCACCGACACCAACCTTGTTTTCCCACCACGCTTCGATCGCGGTAACTCCTGCAGCACTAGGAGGGCACTTGTACACCCTGAAGACGGTGCCGTCTAGTACACAAAGCACGCGCCGCCATTTCCGGTCCTTCGCTTGCTCGCCTGGCTTGGAGAACTCCACCTTGCGCGGCATGATCGCACATAAGTATATCGAGTTCGAATAACATGGCAAGTGCTCCTTGCCCTCTTCATCGCGCGGCTGGACCGGAGGACCACCACGGGGGTGGAAGGAAGGATAAGGTGGAGGTTCGGAGGTGTGCTTATATGTTGGCAACGAACGCCGTCGACAGAGAATCGGGGACGACGGGTCCATATCTTCTGGCGAGTCTGGGCGGACTCTCGACGGGCCCTGCTCGTCCTCAACGATCGTGGGAGGGCCAGCGGAAGCCAGCTTGTTTTTCCGTGGAGAATCTGCAGTCATAGTCGGCGTGCCCATGACTTCCTTGCCCTTTCGTGATACTGACAGCAGGTCCACCATGCTTCTCGACCCATGGTGGTACAGACCTGGACGCGGAGACGCGGGCGACGTGAGCAGTGGGGAAGAATTCCCTATGCCCGCAAATTGCCGTGACCCAGAAGGCATCAAGTCCGCTGGCCGTGGCGTCCGGTTCACGATCGACGACCGACTCGATTGTCGCGTGAGGTCCTTCGCATTGAAGTAATCGATCGTAAAACCCGGCTTGGGCACTGGCGTGGGTTGCGCATCACCGGAACCCGTGGAGTTCCAAGTCTCCCGCCGAGATTCCGCCGGATCACCGTCGAGGAAAGATGCCCCGAACGAAGAGGTCGTAGCGACTTGCGGAAGGTTCATGCTGCTAGGACTCACCCGCTCGGGGGACGACCCGCCGTCTTCGTCTTCGTCCCCGTCCGCCTCATGCGCAGGTGCGCTACGCTCCGCATCCGCGAAGTCTTCCCCGTCCTCTTCCGAGTCTGAGTCTCCCAGCACCGCATTCTCGTGGTCCGCATCCTGCTCACACTCGCTCGGCCCCTGCATCGGCAACGCAGGGATGCTCCGCAGAGGCGCCTGCGGTCGCCCCAGCCGCTCGGGCTGCGTCGGCGTGGGTGGAGGCAGCATCGGCAAATGGAGAAGGGGCATCGGTGGCTGGCGTGTAACCATCGAGTGCGTCACTCGAGCTGCCCCCTGTGCATTATACCGCGCCATCATCGGGGCGGGAAGCGTCGCGAGACGAGGTGCCAGGGTGCCAGCTGCCGTCGCGTCCTCTCGCTCCTGCGTGTGCGTCCGCGTGGTGGAGGATTCTGGCGGGAGCCCTTCGATCGCCTCGACCGACTCCTGGTGTTGAGCTTCCGGCATCCCAGGCGAGCGCATGGCTTGCATGCAATTTACAAGCACCGGCTCGGGCGCATTCGCGGATGTATGTCCGTTGGACGAAGGTGTATCAGAGTTGTCTGCGGAACGGCGCGAACCGATGGCTAGGACGTTCTGCGGCATGAATGCCTTGTTATTGAGGTCCATAGAGCGCGTGCCGCGTTCGTACAGTCCGACGACCTCCTTGCTCTTGCTCTTTCTTCGCTGGCTGCGGAAGTTGGATACCTTTTTGAAGATTTGGCTTGTGCGAACCTGCGGATAGTGCGTGAGAAGCCGAGAGTTGAAAGTAGTCACAGTGCTCGCCATGAAATGGGAAGTCTTCACATCTGGGATGGGCTGAGGTCGAGGAGGGTCCTCCATGGTCATCGTGATGTTCCGGGTCGCGGATCGTTGAAAGCGTTCCTACGAACGGTTATACCCAGAGTGCTCGTGTGCAATAAATCCAGAACAGAAAATGGCGAGAAAAACAGAAAGCCGAGAGCAGTTACGAACCGGGTACAGAGCAGAATTGCCCAGCGGTGCAGCAAGACATGGGAGTTCAGCCGCAGCCGTGGTTTTAGTTCTGACGAGATTGGAGGAGCCGATGCGGCACGAGGGTACATGCTGTAAACGGCAATTCTGAGACTGCGTCATGGTGGATCAAGATCTGCGGGCAGAGGGAGAAAGCGGAGAAAGGAAAGGAGAGCCCGAAATGCGCCAGTAGTGATAGAGGTGCATATTTTATTCTTAAAGAAGAATGACTCCAGATTTATTGAAACATGCATGTTTAGAAAAGTTATTGTTTATACTGTTATTTTTTGCCTAAAATTTTCTAATCCTCAATTCAATCATGGCACATTTCTGAAAAATTTTGAGTAGAGATTGTGTGATAGAGCTAAACGTATTAGACAAAAGTACGTGAAAAGTTAATATCCATATTGTTGTAGAAAGAACACTTCAATGAATGATGTTCTCTCACAGTATGAATTTTCGAATGTTCTTGTTAAACTTTGCCGAGCATGAATGAAGAGGTAAGAGCAAGAGGGCCCAGCCGGCACATTCCGAGACCGGAGGTTAGGGAGGGAGGGTGGTCCCTGGGGTCCTTATCTTGGTTTTGGTAGCAACCTTACCTCCGCCTCTGAAATGGCTCCCGACGTGCTCAAAACGCGTATCTCTAGCTCAAGACGCGTCAGAAATGTCTGGAGACTATTTGGAATGCGTAGGTGGCTCGGAGTCGACTGTGCTGTGGATCGTGTTGCGAATGTCGCGGCCGTCTATGAGGTATACTACTGTGACAATGTTGAGTCTATCATGCCTCACCCCCCTTGCTCAGGTGCGCCTTTCTCTCCACGGACGCATCCCAGATGCCTCGCAAGAAGGACAAAGGAAAACAGAGGGAGGTGAGAACTGTTTCGTGTGTGTAAATACTGATACCTGAGGTCTCGGCTAGGAGTTTGCGGAGACATCGCGCTTTTGCTTGGAATGCGAAAAGGAGATCAAGTTGGGCAATGGAGGTTCCACAAATTGGTACCAGCACATTGCAGGTGTTGCTCACCAACAAAATGCAATATATTGGAAGACTGCGGGAGGTAAAGACCAAAAGCTGACAGCGTTCTTCAGCCGACAGCTTTCTGCCAGTACTACACTGTCTGTCCCAAAACCTACCAAGATTCGAGTGCAAGGCCTTGCCCGAGATGATTCTCTGTTGCTGTCATCCACCGATGTTTTACAGCCCGCTGACGGGTCATCTGTGCACCTGATATATGTCGACGATACACCTGTCGACAGCTAGCCATCGTCCTGTATGCGATTGTCCCCAGCTTCTAGTTCGTCATGCACTAGCTCATCTCCAGCTGCAGGTCTAGCTGAATGCATACTCAGCAAACTATGGCGGCTAGCCTCTACCCTCCCTGCTTCTGTCCCTATGGGATGTGCTGATAATGCTCTAGCTGCCTTCTCACAGGAACCGTATTTCAATGCCGATGAAGATTATGAGTCTGAGTGGGAGTTTGTAGATCATACACTGAACCGCGTGTTTGGTTACGGAGACGTGGATGAGCAGATAGCAGAACTCATCTGCCGAGGCCCTCTGGGAATTGACGGGCTTATTCATTGGCTAGAGGTCTGTTTAACATGGCCTACTGTCTCTTTTGATCTTCTGGAGGGCAAAATTTGCACGCTTGTGCCGCGCTATGGTTCTGAGGTAAAGTTCATTTTTCCGGTCTCATTTTCAACATGTATATAGGCTGAATACATCTCTGTGCAGAGGGGCGACTATTGGACCATTTAACCCAAGTCCTGTCCATCTTGACTTGTCCCGACATGGCGCGGATGAGTCTTCAATAGTGCCACCGGCCAAGGAGAGCCTGCAAGCACACACCTCCCTAGTACAAGTGTCATTGTGCCTGCCATCCATGAGCTCATCCTCGCCCTTGCTGGTCTGTCCGAGATACGTGCTTGACTTTGCGGGTGGGCACTCGCCTTACGCAATATACCCTTTTTCACTTCACCTCGGCCAGTCGCTTCCGTGGGACATCTACATCAATGATGCCACACTGTTTTTAATCTCGAAGAGCTGTGCAAAAGTAGAAAGGCCTCGTTCTAACTCTGTCATGCCATGTAAACCCTGTGCGGAGTTGGGTTCACATAATATTGTGCAAGGGATCGAGAATCGTGCATACAATGGTGTGCATAAGAACGCACCTTGGAACTATCAGACAGTGTCCTCAATGAAGGCACTCCTCGAGCAAAAGAATGCTCAAATCGACGAGTTGCGCTTTTCGAAGCTCAACTTATTGCACCTCTACCTGGCTCGAGGATGTGCTCTAGATGGACACAAACACTTTCTGGTTTCCATCTCTAGTGTGCAACTGCACACTCGTGTCCATCGGGTTGTGGCAGTGGCTCATCGGCATGGAGCAAGCATACACCCAATTGTTCACCATGTGGATCAAGCCACAGCACAGTTGTGTGCAGTGTGTAGTTACGACAAGACCGAATTCCAGCAGGCATACTTGTTGTGGAAACTCGGAGGTCAGCGTGTCGCAAACATTGCGAATTGCTCGCTCGGACTGCCTGCCTTGTCTACGACATGACAACACTTTTCACATCATTCAATCCAGGCTTCATCTGGCATGCCAGAAGACATGGATCATAATCTAAGTGGCTATCCTCTTGCGATCCAGGCATGCACCATATTTACAGGGTATATGATTCTCATTGATGAGATCAAGTTCGAGGAGCGAATGCGATGGGATCTCGCAACAAACATGGTTCTGGGAATATGTCGTGAACATGAGCATAGATGTTCTCTCGAATTCTGCATGCTGGAAGAAGCTCAAGTGATCGCTGAATGTCTTCGAAGTGGAAAGGTGCATTTTGCGACAGAGGTATGTGCATCTCGTCTCTTGATTTTCACCCAATACTCACGCGTAGTTATCATTCACTCGGCAGGCAACATTCATAGCCATATCTGCTCTATCGTCGAACCATCATGATTATGCCGCCTACCCATTTGTGATATCAGGAACGTGCAAGACTGAAGATGCACAGGCTCATAAGGGTTTTCTCCAGTCTGCGATTGATGCATTTTATTGCAAGTCAGCAGGAACAGCGGCGAGGCTCTACTGCATAGCATCTGACGGAGAAATGTGCAGAGGAAAGGCTCTGGCCATGTTGACCATGACACAGGAATTGGCGCCATCTTCAGTGCTCTATCGTGCGCTCAGCCCCCTACCATTCTTCAACTTGCTTGTAGGTGACAATGAGATCACATGTGACAAGGACTGGAAACACGTTCTGAAGCATTTCCGAAACATGATCTTACGCAAGAGCGGATGCTCAATCAATGGTTGTATGTTCCTTCGTGCAACCCTAAAATGTCACCTTATGGATGGTTTGGACATGGCAGGAAGTACGGCCAACTCGTTGTCGACTCGGGGTATGCACGGGCCTTGGCCGGAGGAGCTTTTGACTCCCGGTCAAGTGAGTGGTACTTCACTGTGGTTCACCGGGCGTGGCAAACGGGAAAGTACGCCAGGCTATCACAGTTGTTCGGTGATATCAAATTTATGATAATGGGTTAGGGACGCCTGAGCTATATGTGTGATTTGTTGTCTGAAGTCGGGATGGTAGTCTGTACAATACAGACAGGGGAATGTAGAGGGGAATGCCTAGCAACCGTGTGCAAGGGCTTGCATTCTGTCTTCTTATATGATGCTGAGTCTTCTGTGTTCTCTTATCCGTGTGCCTACAACCACGTGCAGGGCTTACCGAGTCTTCGTTGTCTTCTTAACAGTGTGCCTACAACTGTGTGCAGGGCTTACCGAGTCTTCTGTGTTCCTATCCGAGTGCCTACAACCATGTGCAGGGCTTTACCGAGTGCGTGTGTCCTAATACAATGTGCCTGGCTGATAATTTTCCTACGTGTTGTCCGAGAACTTTCCGAGAACGGGTTGAGTATCTAGCAACCGTGTGCTAGACTACCCAACAGAAACGATACGAGAGTGCAGTAGTTGTGTTCGTAACAACTCACTGCCTGCGCTGAACTGACTTTGTCGGGATCCTTTTGATTACAAGTAACAATGTTACTGGGAGGAGTGGAACAAACTCCTATTCTTTTAGTTTATCACTTTGTAGGGTAAGCTACAAGCGGAGGGAGAACTCTTCACTTATAGGGGTGCTACAAGTGGGGAGAGAAGACTGAGGGTCGGGGCACCTCGGGGGTCCTTTTATACCCCTCGGGTGTCACCTGTTGTGACTGTTACATAGTAGTGTTACATGGCAGATTGGCCAATAGCAAAATAAGAGCATCATCACGTGATCAAAGGGGAAAGTAGGAAGGAAAAATGTCTTAGGACCTTCGTGTCCAATAGCATAAAGTGAGCAGGGAGAAACAGGGAAGACAAAACTCTTGAGACCTCCGTGTCCAATAGCATAAAGTGAGCAGGGAGAAGTAGGGAGAAAGCACTTTCCGAGTTTTTCCCGTCCAATAGCATAATGTGAGCATCAGGTGACACGCTCGGCCAAACATTCTCGGGTTCCGTCTTAGTCACGTGACTTCTTCGTCGAGCGCTTCACCGGTGGTTACGTGTTCACAAGCCAAACACTTTTGGTGCGTGACATCGTTACTCTCCCTGAATGATCCCCAGGATGTGGTTCTCGCATATCGCCTTCTTCATGCCATTGTCATGCTACCACCAGCACCTGAAGGTTCAAAACCTATATATCATGAGATCCATCGTATTCTCAATCTACTCGGCTGTCTGTATGCACATCTACTGGAGGTCTACACGAATGTCTGCTGCTCTCTTCGTGAGCAGTTGATACATCTTGCTGCTGCGGCACACCTTATTCTCGTGCTATACCACAACGATAGGGGCCATTTCATTTCTGCTCCTCTATTTCTCGATGTCATGATCATGATAAAAAATGCATATTTCTGTGTTGTGAAGACTGTGTGCGATGATCCAGATGCTCTCTTCTGGTTGATCCTGCTTGGCACGGATGAATTAGAGAAGATATTTGCCTTGATATGTACCATGGTCGGGAGTGATGCCAATGTGGATCAGCTGCAAGCTGCAAACCGCACCACCAGTGTGACTATGTGTGCCAAGATCCTGAAGGAACACCCAGAATGGAATCGTGGACGCGCCGTCTATCCATACGGCCTCTGGCAGAACAGGGAGATGACATAAGCAAGAAGGTTGACCACATCAATCCAGAGTCTTGGAAGGGTGATGTCTCCATCCGGAATGTTGTCCTCCAGACTTGCTGGAGTCTCGGACAAGGAATCGCTGAGTCGGAGCTTCGGGCAGCTCACATAGCAGTTCCTTTCGAGGCGTATGAAAGCTCAAATCATGACATAGACATGCTAAGGCCATTCGGAGATGGTAAGGTTGTTTACATCGCGAGACTTCGGATGGATGAAGCGGATGAAGAGCCTTCCATCATCGCAGATTCATCGAAATCTACAGGCACTGCAGAACTGCACGCATCTATGGCAGCAGAAGATTTGGCACTCGAACCCGATGTGGAGGATTTGCTAGGTCCTGAGGATGTGGAGAAGGAGAAGGGGCAGAAGGTCGAAGCATGGTTAACTGTCAGTGATGACCCTGCTGCAAAGAAACAGCACAAGAGTACAATTCTTCACTGGCTTTCCAACCCTCACATCAGCCCTGGTTTGACTGATCACCTCAGTCGAATATGCAGTTTTACATGCTATTCAAATTTCGCTGTTGTGATGGACATGGAGACTGAGTTCGGGACTCCCCTACTTACTATCGATGATCCAGCGCTCACTCTATTGCAGCACAATCCAACCGAATCTGTCTTTCTTGCAGTGGTACGCGTCTGTGACATTCTGCATGACGGTATCAGCAAATATGCACTTCCGGCGGCCAGGGTAAATGAACCTAACATCTGTATCAAGTTCGACATACTATCACTCTCCTCAATCACCCCGACGGAGGATAATCACCATGTGGACTGGCAGTGGAACATTAAATATGAGCAATCAAGCTCCTCGATAGCCCAGGAAGTTGAAGGATGAGGGGTACAGCTGATTGATCCGCAGACGGCCAGAGTGTCTAATCCACATACTGGTGAAAATTGCATTACTTATCAGTTCAAGACTGAAGAATTGTGTGTGCTCACATGTGATCTCTTTCACCGTGGATGCAATGATGTGCAGTGGGCAACCGCACCTCGTTCAGATCGATTTTCCTATCGGATACCAACAGGTAGGTTTTTCGTTCATAGTAATAGTGGTCATAGGCTTATCTCACTTTGCTCAAGGTGAACTATGCTTCCTCTGTGAGGGAGACGGCATCAACCTCGAGTGTCCAACAAATAAGCACATTTATGCACACTGTCCCTCAGTTTATCTGGCAATAACAGATGGGAAGAAGATTCTTGAGCACATGGGCTGTCACATTCTCCATGATGCTACAGTCAGCAGGGAAGCCATGCCATGCGGATTCTGCCTTAGTGTGGGTGCTACTTGTGTGGTGTACCTCCGAAAGTCACGTGAGCGGCATGGTGGTTTTGGCATTGACATGGAGCGCACTCACTGTCACAACAAGTACAAAGTCTCTGTTACACGAAGCACAAAGTTCATGAAAACCTCACCTTGTACAAATGTACCCGTCAATTGCCCACTGTGTCCAAAATCTCCACAGGCTCCAGCAGTCTGGAAATACAATCTCGAGGTGCATTTGCACCGTGCACATCCGGACACCACACTGTCGCTTTACGAAGATTTGTGGAAAGTCAGTAATGAGGAACATGCAGCCATGGAGGTGAAGTTCCTGGCGCGACACAGGGTGAGCAAGCGGAAATGACATGAGGATGCTAGCAACAACACGAAGATTTCTGACATCCACAAATGTACTGCGGTGAGTCTCATCCTGATAATTTTGACATTCATTCTGATGTCTCTTCATTACAGTACCACCGACTTAGAGCCATCAGGGTCTAGTTCGGGTATCCGAGACATTGCTAGCTGCTCTTCAACAACCTCAATGCTAGGAAATCCTATACTTCCTGACTCAGACTCAGACTCAGCATCCAGCTCTGACATTGATAGCGATGAAGAAGACAGGCAATGAAGATGGCAAGAGCATCTCAGGCTGCATAGATATAGATGAATGCGGCATTGGAACTGAGCCTACAACCTCTGACAATTCATTGTTTGCAGAAGCCTTGAGTTCGCTACAGCAGCCAGATATCATGGCACCAGTGTCAGCTTATTGTATAAATCCATCGAGTGACCTTGGTGACAGTTCCGTAAATCCACCCTCCATCATTGGCGCTGTGCACTGAAGCTAACATGCACGACTGGGACGGCAGCCAACAGTAGCGTCAGAGGATCAAAATTCACCATCGATTCTTTGCGAGGCATGCAAGGGCCCAGCTCAAGGTGATATGGTACAATGTGATGGCCCTGCATGTGGACAATGGGTATGTCATTCATCACCGCATTTACTTGTGTACTAAGATTAAATGTGTAGTATCACCTCGACTGTATAAATGTACATGAAGCACCGGCCGCTGACTGATTTTGTGATCAGGTCTGTGCAGAGAATGTGGGAGTTACAGTATGCAGACCCAGGAAGAAAGCACGTAAGGCTACTAGAAGTTAATTGCGAAGCATAAAGTATGTACACCACCCATGTAGGCGAGAGTTTTGTGGCGTAGAGTAAAATATTTCCCAATTTGGAAGGAGGGAGGGAGGGAGGGTAACCTCCGAATCCTTATCTGGGTTTCTCGACCTGCGGTAAGAAACTGAGAACCCGGAGCCCTCTTTGGTAAGAGATCTGGTTTTCCAATAGCATGATATAGCACAGAGGCACCAATCAATTCTGGACAGTGCTGAATTAATGACAAATAAGCTTTGCAAATTTTCTGAGATTTTGAATATCTTATATGATATAATGACCTGTTTAAAAGAGCTCACCAAAGTTCAAGATCTGCAAAGTTACAACTTGTCAGTGCTCTCAGAACTTCTGTTGAAACTACTTACCACAATACCCTCAAGATCTTAACAGAAAGCTGTACCACACACAATGTTAGAACTCACAGGCTACTCTTGATGTCTCTGCAAAAACAGTGCTAAGACTGAGATGTGATGATCAGTGTGTAATTCCATTCTAATGGTTATCAGCTTGTTACTACATAGGATGAACATCATACACATTTGTGCACAACTTACATTACTGATATTGCAAGTAATTCTTTGAGCAAATAAAATAATGCTGCATCAATGCAGGCCTGAAGTTATCCATGCTCACTTCATGTACAGGGCCTGCATCATCAACCAGCTGAAGTAAATGCACGGATGGCCTCGGAAACTCTAGACAAATAACATGCACTTCAATCTGACCGATGAGCTGCATATTTCATTTCTAAGGACTCATATTGTCACCACCTTCAACAAAGTAAACATTGTGAGTATGCTACACCTTTTCAGTCTCAGTCAGTCAGCACACCTGCCTACTCAGCTAGTCTAGGTTCTGACACGCCTCCTTGTCGAGAGGTCGGACAATTTAGACAGAGTTGTAATTTTACTAGTGGTTGATAACACTGAGTCACAAATTTTTGTGATCTCACGTAATGTACCTATTCCAACAAATCTGTTGAAGACTTTCTGCAGTTATTCTTTACTGCAGTTTCCCCACCTGGCATGCACGGGGTGTGTGATAGTGCACAGGTGATAGCAAGATCGTATCTGCTAGAGTTGATGATGCAGAAGGTGTAGAGATTTCTGCGTAGGAGACTAATCACAACAAATCAAATCTCAGGCTGCTTGGACTACCATAAAGCATATGACATAGCCATGAACACAGAGAAAGTGTTAACTTGTCTACATGCACCTCGGGGTGACATACTGTGGCAAAACAGATGAATGGGGACATTGAAAGGACAGAAACACGATGTGCTGGACATGATTTACAGATGCATTGTGGGAGCACGTGACATGCCAGATCGGCAATCACAACCCACAATGGACCTCTTAGTAAGACCCCCCCTCTAGATAGCAGACGTCAGACATGGATATCTGAGGCACGAAGGTTGAAGCAAAGTGGCTACAACTGCCTTTGGGAGACTATACTCAGCATACATTGGCAAAATGAGGTGCCCATCCCTAAGCCTAATGGTGCTCTCCGATTGGAGAAACTCCCAAAGTGCTGCCTACAGGGCGCCACCAACTGTGTGATAAGGCACAGCATACTAGTACATCATACAGTACAGACGAGAATGGATGTACCGTCTATGACGAAAAGTAGAAACAGTCGAAACTCTCATCCCACTCACAATGATCCTGCCTTCCTCGTGAATATACTTTACCCTTAATCTAAGATTATGAGGGGTGATCTAGGTAAAATGCTGGATCACATATATTCACAATTCTGTAGAGTCATGATTTGCCACAATAATGCTGAACTCTGTGGAACATACCTTGGCAGCTTCGCCCGCGACATAGACTTGGCACCCGTCATCAACCTGAAGTGTACATTGTACTCCTCTACGAACCTGTCATAACGCTTGACGGTGGCATCGAGACAAAATAGAAGCACCTGCTAAGATACCATCTAGAGAGATGTAGGCCATCACAAAAAAGGTGCGGAACTTGGAATGCCCTTATATCGCAATAGAATGCCATTAGAATGGATAAAATCATCAGAATGACCGGAATGAATAAAATGGCATTAAGCCTTAACAATGAAGTGTTAGAAGTTTAATAGAATGCCAATAAAATCACATAGTATATCAGTTCCAACGGGTGAAAGTATATTGCTTCTTAGAATGTCCAGAATGCTTGCGCCTGCTGCCGGTACAGTATCCAGGCTGCTTGCTGCAATTTGCTCCATGCCTCGTATATCAGAGGATACAACTAGAGATGACAGGGATAAAGCATATATATTTTGGGGCTATAAGGTACATGGGTACATGCCTTCACGCTGTGGTACATGCATGCAATGAGTCGGAAACTCCATATGCGTGCTGACAGCGGTGGCAAGTAGGCCGTGATTGCAGCGAGCCCGAAACTGCAAGGGTGCATCGAACTACACAAATGGCCAGCGGTGCACTGCATACAGTTGGGGATACGTTCAAGCATGTCGGTGAGTGACAAATCACCTTCGATAAGAGGGAACTCATAGGGTCGTGGGTAGCACAGGAGTGCCGCCGGCACTGCGAGGGTCACATGGAGGGGCAGCTGTCCTTTGCGTAGGTATTCTGCCAGGTACCGCCAGAGGATCTGGAAGCTGTCCTGCACCGTGCACATGGGCCGTGACATGCAGGGAACGTCGAACAAGGGCTGCAATAAGTTGTGCTTGAGTGTTGGCTGCCGTGTTGGTGCTGGCCGGTGGGGTGCCACTGTAGGAGACTTGGTGCTGCAGTGGGCATTGCAAGAACCAGTACATGTTAGCATCCGCGCGGGAGCGCCACTGATGCTGAGCACACGAAGGGGATGATGCAGAGACAGTGACCTTGCAAGGGACCTTCACGAGTGCCGTATGATGTGCAGTGAGAGGCGGCACTGTGGACCTGTAGCCAGTGTATGAAACGTTGAGGTTGAGCTTCGCACAGAAAACTAGACGAATGGCTTCGTGATGTCAGGTACCCAGAGACGCAGTAAGTGACTAGTCACCGCAAACCCTGTTGAAGCCACAGACTCGCTGTGGTGGCAGTGAGCGTCGCTTGGAGGTTATTCTTCGTGTATGTCTTTAATTAAGATCCATCAGAGGGCGACACAGAAGGACTGCGGCCAGTGTATGGAAATTTGATGAAGAGTCTTGCATAGAGCACGCTGCACTCATGATTGATCCTGATGTATAGCCCCGGATGTATTCTTGCTTCTAGTGTTGCAATGTCCCAATGATGCGCTAGGGTATTCAGCAAGATGCTTGAGTCCGATCCATGGGCACGAGTCACCGCGCGAGAATATAAGACACTTGCAGCTCTGAGAAGCCTCAAGCCGTTCGAGCATATAGGTAGAGACTATATTATGGCCAAGAAAAAGAAACAAGGTAGGACAGGTGTCGCAGTCCACGAGCGTGCAGACGACTAAGATGAATTTGCGGAGCCGCCGTGCGAGATTCCGACAGATACAGTAAGGCTGACCGGAATGCACCTTGATCAGGAGAAAATGTTGATTTAAGGTCGACATCTTGCTGAAATGACAAGGTTATCTAGAGAAGAACCACCGACAACGGTGGCGAAGGTTGAAGGGAGGCAGCAGCACCGGGAACGGCAAGAGATGCTGTGGAGTTTACAGCTGTACAGTTATCGGAAGTAGCCGGGAGTCGGACGTAAGTCACGACGTTCAGAGGCAGGGAGGACGAAAAGGCTTTAGAACATCGTACACCAATCCCAAGGAGATTCGAAGGCGGGCGGAACGAGATTCGAAGGCGCCGAAATCTCGCGTTTCCAGTAGAAGGTATAACATTATTTGTTACGTTATTACACGATCCTAATTCCATTACAATCCGGTTACAATGGATAAAATTATTCTATCACTCAAAATGGATAACATCTGGCCGCGCTTTTTGTGAAGTAGTATCGTTAATTCCAGTGGGCAACGAGCACAGTTTAACTCGAAGTCGAGTGGCACGACACGAGGCGAAGGTACCTGGTAAGCACAGTCGCGTCAGGCTGCGTGACGCGCTGTGTGGCACGGGTTCGTCGCGACAATGTGAGACAATTTACAAAACAAGTTCGCCTACTATGGCCCTATGCTACAACTAACACAAATGCGCTACAGGTACTTCTAATATACCAGAATATACCAGAGAAATAATACACCGTACAGTAGACCTACAGACCAAATGTCAATCCAGCTTCTTGCTATCGTCCGCATCGTCCGTTAAGCCCTCAGAGTGCTCCGCCAGTGAGCCATCTTCCTCGACCCGTTCGATTACAACACACCAGAATACACGCCCCCAAGGTTTCCCGTTCGCTCCCTGGCCATCACGAACGCGTTCACAGCACACGAACCGTACCGGCTGGCCGTCCCAGTACTTCATGATGTCTATCGAGATCCCGCCGGGAATGCGTAAGTCTATGCCCTTCGGACTGAAGTACAGGTGGCGGTGGCAAAAGTCTACCGTGATAAGATCCTAAATTACACGATGTGCTGAGACGTGAGGCTAGAGAAACAAACAGGTGGACGTACATCAGGCCCAAATATAACGCCCTGCCTATGCGCGCGATTCCGGAAATGTGTACGCCGCTTTTCGTTGTTCTTGCTCTCCATCGGCCGCGCGGCGCTGCTGCGCCCGTCAGCAGTACACAGCGCGGACGTGTCTTCGCCGGTAGGGTGTTCTGGGGGGAATGGTGGTGGTTGACCTTCCCTTTCTACCCGTTGGTGCCGGAGATACGGCATGGTCGCAATGAGGGGCGAGAATGCCCACGGCTTAGTTTTCGACGCGAGGTCCTGGTCGAGCGTCGGATCTCGGAACCTGTTATGGAGTGAAAATGAGTGGTACGTGCTGAAGCGGATGGCAGAAGACACACTGCATGAATTTCACTGCTGCGCTGAACCCCCACGGTAGCTTAAGCGGCCTATCGAAGGTGTTGCCGAACAAGATGTCGTCTGCAGAATAACTCTGCAGAAATCGTCCTAGTTACCGCATACACGGTTCAGTTTTTGAACGCATATAGCGAGCCAGAAAACGTACCCTGCATCTGAATGCTCCATGTAATTCCCTTTCTCTCTTCAGCCTCGAAGTACGAGCTCTCATTGACCTTACCGCAATGGTCTGCGAAGCCCTTGATGAACACGGCAACCTGGCCCTCGAATAGCTCGCTACTGATATGCACAGGGGTATGGGAGTTCGCACAGACTGGGTACAACTCTTCGAGAGATGGTCCGGCGAGAACGCGGAGGCGAGGCATTCTTCTACACAGGAATCTAATCGCAATACCACCGAGAAGCACGGCCGAAGGAACGAAGTAGAGTAGCCCTGCTACACAACAGTGTGAAAGGTGTGACTGCAATCGAGGAAAAGTATTAGTGCGTAAACGTCGATGCCCGGCTAATAATCATAATTCGCCACCTCTCATTCGCTCGTGATCGCCTACCACTTTGAGGAGCTTCTGTAGCTTCGTTCAACAAAATCGGGGCTGTCGACGTTGGGGGATATCGAATAAACATCGAGAAAGGTGTGTCTGAGATCTGAGATCTATATAGTCTTGGTATGCTGCGTAAAGATCGCCGCAACTTGATTGCCAAGCCAGTTAAATTAGTGAGGGTACCAAACACAGCATCGATATCTCGAATTTCAGAAGACGAGCCTGCGTACGATAGGTCATATCGGTCTGTGCTATGTGGCGTAATAATAATTGGTTCTACGATAAAATATTCACTGCGAACTATCCACCGAAAGCAATCAGTAAAAAGCACCAAGCCCAAAAAAAGCCTCGACAAATGAAGCCAAATAGACAGCCTAAAACCGAGGGGACTACAGTATTAGTGTCCTCGTACGGCGCAGCACCACAATCCGCACAACTTCACAAAAGCCCAAAAAGCCCAGTCCATATGAGTATCATACCGTCATGAAGCGAGCGTTCCAGTCATCGCCACCAACAGCGCCATAATCGTCCACAGGGTAGCACTCCAAACAGGCGTAGCAGCGTTCTTGTTCGTCACAGTCGCAACCTCCTGCACAAAACCCTGCCCGCACACCGCGTTCACGATCTCCGCCGCATGCTCGTACGTCTCCTCCAGGCCCGTCACGTTCCCAATATAAGAGACATATTCCCCCATCAGCATCTGCGTGCATCGTGTGCAGCTCGGGACGGACGAGTTCGGGAGCGGGGAGCCTTGTGGCAGCAAGTAAAGATACATGTTCGCCGCGTTTCCGCCTGCTACGGCGTCGATGTAGCAATATGTATCTGTCGTCGAGTTCGACAGGCATCCCGCCCTCCGCATCATTGCGTACGACTGAAGGCCTGGATAGCAAGAATGATGTCAGCCACTCAGGAGAGACTACCACCAAAAAATCACGGACGAACCTTGCAATGTGGTCGTCGCCATGACGTTGTTGAGCTTGAGCTCTGTCGCGCAGGACGCCTGCATCGTCTCCGCAAACCAGTCTATGTTTGCCGTGCACTGGTCCTCGCTGACGTCCGTATTGCAGGTGCCCCATACAATTGTATTCAGTAGGGTAATGTTCGACTGGGCCTGCGCACGGGAGTCAATCACGTAGACTCATAGAACCAGAAATGAACAGGGAGGATGACAATGACCACATCCAAGATTTTAGCAATCGGAACAGAAAAATTCGCCACAGCAAATGCAGGGGAAATTAAGACTATCTTCATCCTGTTACACTATGACATAACTGCAAGCTACGGCCTGAAGATACAGCAGAGTAAACGGAACGAATTGGGGAATCCCATGCGTTGGAGGGAAATTCATCTCATGCGTATGCGAGTCAAACATGGCGATCACCCGTAGTGCAATAGGTGACTATGACAATAGAGGGACAAACGAACCTGAATGAACGCCGAAGAGCTCTGCAGGAGCATTCCAAAGGACCTACACTCGCGGAAAGTCTCCGTCTGTGTCATATTGACGAAGAATTCCTGGCAACTTTCTGTAGAGAAATTCTGCGAGAGCGTAGTATCCAACGGCTGTGGAAATGGCGTGGGGAGTACTGGGGGAACCACGGGGATAGTCGGATATACGGGGCTATGGGATGCGGACGAGGATGGCGACGCAGTCGCAGACGAACCTGTGGAGGATGGCGACATAGCCAGAGCGGACGAGATGGAGAACGACAACGATTCCGTCTCGGCAGGTGCTTGGAAGTCAGGTTCTGGGTGTCGCTTGTGTGGCTGCCAATTCGATATCGTCGCCGCCCAAGTCGTCCAGTCTTGCGAAGACTGATCGGGCGAGAGCGCATCGAACGCTGTGGGGTGAGACAGGTAACGCGTGGATACTGTCACGAGCACGAGAACAACGGGTACAAGAAGGATAGTCCATCGCGTGCGATGGCCTGTGCGACGCTTCGATGCGGCGGGAAGGTGGTACAGCTCTTCGCCGGAGAGCTGCTTCGGTTGGGCTGGTGATGAACCGGGCGTGAAGGGGGGCGTGCTGGCGGGCGAAGGTGAGAGCGAAGAAGAGCTGGATGGAGTCGCTGGTGATGGATCTCTTGGGTGTGCGGTCTGAGGTTCACGCCGGATACGTTTAGGAGCGGGGGAGGCAGGGGGCGTAAACATCTTAAGAAGGGTAGCCTGGCAGATTCAGAGCACGTTCAGAATGTCCAGGGCAAAGGAGCGTGGCTTGAAACGAATGAATGCTGGTTCGCAGATGCGAACAACTCTGCAATAGATAGGACGTCAGTATAGGCGTCGATTGACCGGCTGCACAGCGAGAAATTGACACCCTCAGCACCTGTGGTGAGGGGGAGTACAGAGGAGAAACGCACAACTTAAGGGCCAAGGTCAAAAGGTAAAGGCACCTGCTGAGCGGCGAAGGTGCGACATCGACGAACACTGGCGCCGTGTTCTCAGCGCCGACTGCCACAGTGCTGCTCTGGACTGCCAAAAGTTATTCAGTTCCCAGGTACATGCGCACCAAAATGAGGTGATCTCGGGCTCTATAGCGGTTCGTTCTTGACCCGAATCAACACCGGAAACAATCAAAATTCCGGGAGTTACACCAAAAAATATGGGGGGGACATTATCGGACATCAACCAGAGAAATGACTCATTGGTTGAAACCACAAAGCGGCAATCATAGCTGTTCAAAAGATCCTTTATTCGTTCAAGTAGCTGAAGAATATGTTTAGCGCCAGGGAGACCCCCAGAAATAACCACATGCGATCTGCCCTGAGGGCCTCGACTCCGGGCCTCACGAAACCGGATTTGACATCATACAGTAGCGTACATCTGTCACCCTGAACTTCAATGCCTCGGATAACATGCAGCGGTAAGTAGCAGTAAATGGTTTGACAGCTAAGTCGAAAACGATAGACGCATTTCGACGAAACTTACTTCAGGTACGCTGCTTATACGGATTATCCCGGAACAGCAAATTCGTGTGGGAGTGCGTGAAGGGGGTAAGCCGCGCCATGGCTGGCCAATCAGCACTTCAGCAAGGAGAATTTCCATCCAGAGCGGTATTTGATGCACTGAAAATGATGAAGCAAGTTTCGTCGAAATGCGTATATCGTTAGCTGGAACATATCATTTCTGCAACAAGGGATGAACACCTTGTGATATTGTCCTGGTCTCTGAGAATATCAGAGGTGATATGATGTTGCAGTCATAACAGCCTCGAGGTAAACACAAACAAGGGATAGGATCCTGTATCATTCTGAGTCGAAGACCGAACCTAGCAGCGCTTGCTGTCATCAGACTCAGAGGTATCCAATAAGAAAAGAAGCCAGTGCGGGCACTGCAGAGTATATTCACTCAGATCAGGGAGCGTCAAAAATGGTGGTAAGACTCATCGCTAACACATCAACAGGTCAGACGTGAATGAACGGCACAGCAAGTACTTGAAATTGCGCTAACCGCAAGTGACGAACGAGACAGAACTTTGGCGCACCCACCACTAAGCACTCGCTACTGCTCACAAGTCTCGAGTGACTAGTGACTAGGTGGGATAAGATCCGCGGTGACCGCAGGTTCAGCTAGCAGCACTCGGGCGACATCTAAGGTTGGATAAGCTAGCGAGCGCTGTGGAAATACTTTCATGCACCGAAGAGATTCGCATCGCGAGGACGACCAGAATGTGCATGTGAGGCGACGCAGTGAACAAGCTCCCACGAGCATTCAACCTTATGATGCAATGATTCTTCGTGAGAAGGCAAAGCTGGGAATCCGACGAAGGTTCAAGGCCAAATTAAGATGAACAAAAGATGAACAAAAGAAACAGCAAGGGGAAGCCCTACGAGAATATATGGATACTTGGGAAGGCTGCCCAAATTCTGTATGTCCACGGGAGAACGCCACCTCAGTCCTTGGGATGTGCACCGGAGGCTGCACAATCATGATGCGCAGGTTCCCAAGGTCGTGCTTCGCACAGTACATTTGAGGGCAGCGTGTCATTGGGCCAGACCTAGAATGCAGGTGCACTCACACAGTACTCCTTCTGATTCTGAACTTTTCCAATTCGAGATACGATTCGGGAATAACAAGCAACAACGCAATGGGCGGACGCGTTGGTCTGCATCGCCCTCACAGCTTGGTTCTTCGTGAAGAGAAAAGAATGGTCTTTAGTCAGGGACAGCACGACGCCATATCGGGCTTCCTCGCATTCAGCACGGCGTCCGCCAGAAGTGCGATGGCGCATATTAAACGACTCATTGAAAGGGAGTATTTACTGACTGCGCACGATGGCCTGGGTGGAATTTGCGTTTCACGGCTAGATCCTGGACTGAGTTGTATCCTATAAGCCCTGACGACGATTGTTCTGCATGTATTGGCTACAAGGCAGGGCATGCAAAATAACGAAGTTATTACCTTCAACCTCCCCAGATTGAGGACACAGGGGATCGCGCACCATTGCACAATCTGCAATGACTTCGGGAATGCATTTGTTATTGCATCTCGATAACCGCGACGACACGATACTCTGGAACACAAGTGGACACAGCGTTTGGGACTTAAACGTGTGAATCAATCTTCGTTGTATGATACTCACCTCGGATACCCGTTCTTGCTCGGAGATCGGAGTCGACGACTCGCAACGCGCTCGGGGGAAGATCTGGGGTCGTCCAGTGACCTCACACTTACCGCCAGGAACGCTTGGCACTGTTTCGAATACAGCGCTCACAACTCGTCCGAGTTGGACTTGGAAGCAGCAGGAAGAGCTGTACAGATCAAAATGGTGCATCGAATTCCGCCACATGATATCCCTCCGACATGTTCGGCCCCTGACCTTGGATAGCGGATGATGGCCCACACACTACACAGTCAGAAGTAGCACAATCTGCGTCCATGTGTCGATGTACATCCGATTTTGTCTTCGAGGAAATTGCTTGTTTTTGCATCCTCAAGATATCCGGAGTTGAGCTGTAAACTAGAGTTGTCTTAATATATGTCCACCTTGCAATGTACAAACGCCCTGTCAGTACGCCTAAACTTGCAAGTGATGACACTCACCGCTTAGCATATTGCAGATCTGGGGGACGTTTGACTCATGCAATGTCCAAATCCACATGCAGAAGACACACCGATAGCCTAAGCCAGCAGCAGTGCCAGTATAATCGGTACGATATAACTTACATCCAAAGCCTAATCCCCGCATCACAACTCCTCACTCTCGCGCGCCCCAAAGCTCGTGCTGAGCCTCGCATCATATCTTCGGAGGAGTAGCCGGTCCAGCCACCCGCCCAGGGGAAACGGCTTGCGCCACTGATTGTGGAGGTGCACCGAAAATACCTTGGCGAGCGCCCTGTCTAGCCCCCCGCCCTCCTCCCTGCCGTAGCCCACCGTCCACTGCCCGTTGATAGGGTCCTGCTCGAACGGGTCGGGCAGTCGGTTGTCGAACCGGCACGAGCGTGCGTCGGTGAAGCACCATGGTAGTACTTTGAATGGGGGAATAGACTCGGCCGTGAGCCGCCGCCAGAGTTTAAGATAGAGGAGGGCACCCCAGTCGGTCGAGCCCTCTCGTGGGGGTCGCGAGTTTACCATGATATTGAAGGCTTCGCAGAGATAGGGCGAGTGCTCGTGGAAGCGCATCAGCGCACCATTGAAAGGCACGTAGATTTTGTCTGGTATTTCAAGTCAGCACAATACAAGAACGATGTGTGCGCAAAGACGCACCATAACAATCCCACTGTATGACGAATTCATGCTCCAGCAGCGGTGCGAGGTCTCTCGTCAACAACGAGTCCATATCCACCCACACGCCCCCATATGCCCAAAGTACCAATAACCTAACCAAATCTCCGTCTATCCAGGCCTTCGTGTCCTTCACCCGCAGCAGCTCACTACCGTGTAGTACCGTCCCCCGCGCCAAGTCCTCATAGTTCACCACCTGCAAGACAAACGCGTCCGGAAAACGTCGCAGCCACCTCTGCAGGATCGCGTTGTCCGACAGGTCTCCGTTAGACCATAGCACAAGGCGCGCGGTGTTCGTGTTCTGCGTTGCGAAGAACGACTTGAGCATCCACTCCTGGCGCTCGCCGAACGGCGCTAGGTCCGTCCGCCAATATGTGTGGTAGTGCACGCGCTCGTCGGGAAGTAACACCACGCCGTCGTGCGGCTCAGGCTCGATCGTCCCCGCGAAGTCGTAGCAGTCTACGCCTAGCCGTAGTGGGAGCCCCGCGTGCACCTCTGTTTTCTTCTGCCCGTGCAGAGCCGCGCTCAGGTTGTAGCGGGGCGAGACATTCTCTGGCCGAAAGCAGCCTGCGAGTGGGACGACTGTATTTATCTCCTGCTTCAGCCAGCCTCGCCAGTAGAAAGCTAGCTCAATGTGTGGCTCCCAGAGAATATAGCCGCCAAGGAGAACTAGGACGGCACACCCCAGGAAGATTTTGAAGAGCATGAGCACCGTCCGCGGACGGTGCAAGTTCCAGAGGGATGAGTACCATCGCCGGCGGCGCGTTGGGTAGTAAGAGGGATCTGGAGAGGTTGAAGACGATAAGCTGTCTGCAGATGATCTTCGTGAGAGGGCGTGCAGCGGCAACCGGCCATAGTTCGCGCTCGACATAGTAGTGAAAACGCCCGCAGACAGTAGGCGTGTTATCCCACGAACTCTCTGGATGTGACTGGCATTAGCAGCGAACGTCTAACTGACTTCGCGCATGAGAACATGCCTTCGTTCTATCTGCAAACTGTTCCGATGATAACCGTAGGCTACACCAGTCTTCGCGCCAGCAAAGGGACACAAGTGTCTCTGCTAGCTGCAGTACTCAGGTGGAAGGAAGGAGGAAGTTGTAATCTCGTAGTTGAAGCGCTTGGGCATGCAGGCGAAGCTGATAATTCGCTGTCTAACTCATGCACATCACCCAAGCAACATAAGACCAATCACGGGCATGCATTCTATCCACGTCAACATCTAGGTAACAACTACAGCAGAAGGGGTAAGAGTAGGGGCGGTAATAGTGACACAAAGTAAACGGAATGTAGCCTTAGAGAATAGATAGATGTCGAACACGCCGGATGTTGCAGTGGGATCGGGTGATCGATGGCGGGTGTCGTACCAGGCAAAGTGTGTAGGAGTGAGCGAGAGCCAATATGATACAGGAATGCCCTTCTGGTTGCGATGTGCCCGCGAAGTCGGTGCGAATAAAGTCGTGCCTGGTATTTTGGTCTTAAAACCATCTCCCCTTCTCTTTCCCCTCCCACTACCACATCCTCGACCACCACTTGCCCACCCTCACCCCTCTCCGCTCCCTCCTACACGTTCACCCACATACGATGTCCACTCAACAGTTCATCGCGCAACGGGTACGCTCCCACGGAACGGTGTCTGGAAGACTGGTCGTGACTGTTGCGGTACAGCCACGCCATTCTGGCGAAGGGGGGCAGAGTTGTAAACGACCTGTGCAGGAAGCTGTGCCTGCGACTGCGGCTGCTGAGGTGCCTGCTGCTTCTGTTGTGACTGACCCTGAGCCTGAACGGGCGCCTGCGTCGTGCGTGCGCTCTTTTGCTCTGCCGGCTCCTCGATGGCGCTCGGTGCGACGTATAGAGTCTTATCAATCGCTTGAGGGATAGGCTGTATCTCCGTGCCGAGCTCTTGCTCAATCTTGTACAGGTTAAAGCGGTCCTCGTACGTGACGAGGTTGATTGCGAGACCAAGGTGGCCGTAACGCCCGGAACGACCAATGCGGTGAAGGTACGTCTCCGCATTCTTCGGGAAGTCGAAGTTGATGACGACGTTCACCGCCTGTATATCAATACCACGTGTGAGTAGGTCCGAGCAGACGAGGTTACGGCACACGCCGTTCCGGAAGTCGTGGAAGACACGATTCCGATGCGACTGCAGCATCTTGGCGTGCGAGTAGAAACATGAGTAACCCAGCTCAGTCACCTTCTTCGCGAGCAGCTCGACACGGTTGGTCGAGTTGCAGAAGATGATGGATTGGTTAATTTGCAGCTACAGACCAGTCAGCTTCATGAGACTCCAAGTCACAGTACAACGTACCTTGGAGAATAGCGTGTTCAGACAATGAACCTTCTGGCGTTCTTCAACGTATGCGTAATATTGTGTAACACCACGCAACGTGAGCTCGTCCATCAGGTTTATCTCGTAAGGTGATCGCATGTGCTTATCCTGCATCACTGTGAGCCATGTATTGAACGTAATACATCGAATCCCTCCCACCTTAAAGTCTTTGACGATCATGGGGAATGTGGCACTGAACAACATAACCTGGCGATCCTTGGCCATGTACGATAGAAGCTGCTCCATTACTGGGGCGAACTCGGGGGACAACAATTTGTCAGCTTCGTCCATGACGAAGATAGGGCATTCGCTTAGGTCGGCAACGTTTTTACCTGCCAAATCTAGTATGCGACCGGGTGTACCAACAAGGACGTGAACGACCTCCGATAACCGCAAAATGTCGTCCTTGAGCGTGGTACCACCGGTAGTGACCATAACTTGCACGCCCATGTGCTTGCCGAGGATTTTGCACACTTGGGCGGTCTGCAGCGCGAGCTCGCGCGTCGGCACGAGCAGCAGTGCCTGAATCTTGTTCTTGTTCACGTCAATCTGCTGGAGGGAAGGTATAACAAACGCAGCCGTCTTGCCCGTGCCGTTCTTGGCGCGGGCGAGGACGTCACGCTTGGCGAGTGCGATGGGGATAGCTTCCTCTTGGATGGGAGACGGCTTCTCGAACCCGGCTTCAAATATGCCCATGAGGAGCTCACGGCGGAGGAACATGTCCTCGAAGTCCATGCCTTTGGTGGCTGTGACATCTTCGGTCTGCGGACGGTCGTCTCTTGGTGGTGGGCGCAGACTGGCCTTCCAGGCGTCGCTGTAACAAGCCAGAGGTCGTCCATAAGCTCTTTGAAAGATAAGCAGCGTAAAACTCACGATGTAGATGATGATGGACGGGCTGGCTGAGACATTGGTGATGAATTATGTGTTAATGGAGTGTGTAGAGGGATGAGTAGAGATGAGTGGGGTGATGTTCAAGTTTTGCTGGAGTTCGGGTACGACTGTTGGTTGTTCTTTGCGTACACGCAAGCGGGCGGTGGAGACTCTGCTTTCACAAAAATTATGGAGGAAACTTCTGTTGTGTGTTTTCGCAGAAGTTTGCTGGTGGTTGGAGTTGGGAAGAGTGAGCTGGGTTGTGTCGAGCGGAGGGAAACGGTGAAGGTACGAGAGGATGTACGGCAATTTCGAATTTGAGCCTCAGGTGGATGTCTACGTGACAGTATGTGACAGTAACATGCGATACTGTGACCTCCTAGCTGTCACGTCCGTTCACGTGAGACATTCTAAGCGCTCTTATGCTCTGTTCCATCATGTACCAATTGACTTGTTCTCGTCCGAGGGTCCGTTTGCTGCCTTTATCGTGAAGACCCCGCGTAATAATCTGCCGGAACCCACCCTCGCAACGGACGCGTACGAAACACGAACCAATTCGTCGACTTCACGCCCATTCTACCTCAGAATCATTGCGCGTTATCAGATCACGAGATTGAATCAGACACCTTCGTGAGCATTATGTCTGAGTCTGTAACTGTAGGAACATCGCAGTCTTCAACCTCACACTCACCGTCGGCGGTGGAGATCTGGAAGTGGACGTTAACCAGCGATGCAGTCGCCTCGTGCTTCGTGAAAGATGTGTTTGATATGCGAGATAGTGGAGTCAAAGGTACGTCTCAAGTACTTGTGTTTCGCAGGTTGGGTGGACTTGTTCGTAGTCCTACTGCTTTGGGCCACCGAATCTCCGTTGTCCATCCAATTTGCTGAGCAGTGAGAAGACGAATTCATCTCTAACCTCTATTGTATTTTATGAAGAGCTTTAATCCACTTGCTTTGCTGCTTCTGCGCACATTTCTCCCAGACTCTGGCTAATTGCCTATCCCTTCTTTCAGATGCCGAATTTTTCTGGCTGGGACGTGTACCGTGTCGCACCGTTCGCATCATTGGGATCCTGGTTGGCGTGCAGATATACGAACAACGCACTGTTTATTCCCGTATGTTTTCTTCCATTCCTCGATGTTCTGATATTACAACGTGAATTGATGGGCACTTTCTACAGTGGATGACGGATCGGCCGTCATTGAATGCGTGCAACGCCATTCTGGGCCGAATGTCGCCAGTCCGATGAAATCGGTTACGAGCTGCTGTGATTCACCACTCAATGCTCTACCTCCCAAGCCGCCAAAACCCGTGGCGCAAGTTGGCAAGTCCGTATGCATCGTGGGCCGTGTCACCAGACACTTCGAGTCCCGGAAGATTCTGGTTGATAGCATAGGTGAGTGTTCTCTCCTACATGGTTTTCCGGTCATCCTACATGCGTGACTGCCTGATTAAATGTGACCTAACCGTCTTGCTTCTGAATCAGTGCCTTGTGCTGCAGCAAACGACGAACCTAAGCACTGGCTCGCCGTTCTCGACCTCCACAGTTCGTACTACTTCGCATCGCACCTACCAGCATTCACCGTTCCCGCTTCCACCGCCCAACGCCCCCATGCTCCGAAAACATACACCTTGGCCGTCGACGCTGACGATAGCCGGAAGACTCCGAAGAAGCCTCAGTGTCAGACAGGCCGACACAATCACGAGAGGGACGCTGTTCAGCCAGAGGCGCGAGATATACCCACTCCGATGTCTATTGCGTCGTCCGTGGCTGGCTCTTCGCCGTCAAGCTCCTCCACGTCATCGCCAGTGAAACCAGGACAGGTGGGTATTTACGACCATCCCTCCTGGCGTCGTCCTGCTCTTCGTTGTTGCAACGCAGCACGCTGATCGTCTCATATTTCCAGTCGCCGCCTCGTCTGCGCCATCCCTCACGCCTGCACACCCGCGACCTCACAGCAAACACCTTCCGCATATACATCAAGCACTACATGGACCACGCTCCGCCACCGACCGGGCGCTCCCATTTCGCTTCCACGTCGTCATCGCGCTCTCCGTCGCCTTGCCCCCCACCACGCAAGGGCAAGGCAAGGGTTGACATGCTCACATCTGTCTACAGCGTGGATGTGCTAGACACGCCAACGAAACGTCCTCGCTACGACACTGTACGCAGGCGTGAGATACAGATCGGTCTGCTAGGAGATGCCACACCGCGTCCCTCGAGGAACACGAAGTACTCACTGCATGCCGAAAGCGGGGGAGCAGGGGAGCAGACACCCCGACCACCCCTGTTACCCGACATGTTTGGTAATGAGCACATGCCTGACGACGACGACGAAGAAAACACAGAATACTCTTGCAATACCACCTACGGCGTGACGCTCTCCCACCTCCGTCGCGTTCCCGAGCTCGCCCAACTCGCGTATCGCGTGGTGGACGCAGAAGGCCGGCGGCGCGCACGCGAGGAACGCAAGCGGGCGGAAGCGGGGAGCATGCAAGACAGAGACCACGCACGGGAGGGCGCACGCCAGCGCGAGAAAGAGCCGAAGGGGCCGAAGATGAGGCGGCTCTTCCGTTTTGCGATACGCCAGCTGTACGAGGAGGGCAGCATCGTCCTGTGGGACGGGCCTGTGCGACCTCTGCCCTCTGATCTGGTGTCGCTGTCCAGTGGACTTGGCCCTGCTGGGATGGATGCGCTTTGGCGCACCAATGCCAGCACTTCGATTGTGGCGACGTCGAATGTTACAGTGCGTAGTTCCGTGGCTCGGGGATGGCATGAAGACGAAACCGAAGAACCAAGTGATCCCCCGCCCGGCGAGGAGGCGTACATCTCACTTACACCAGCATACTTCCTGAAAGTCGTCGAACAAACGATCAGGAGTATGATGGCCGCAACCGCCTCGGACATGGAGAAGGCGAGAGCAAGGGAGAAACAAAAACATCGGTCTCGCGCAGCCGTGTCGCTAATGGAGAAACCTTCTGTGCCATCTGGACCCACTCCACATGAAATCCTGGTTTGGCTCCATCGTGACGAACGCTGGGCAAGGGTCGGGGAGTGGACGGTGAGAGAGGCGCTCGAGTGGGGGAGGAGCGAAGGGAGGGTGTGGTGTGTCGGGCGCGAACGCTGGGAGGTTTGCGGATGAATGTGGACGACCAGGTCTCAAATTGTTGCCGGTCGTTCATGGTGCTCCAGATTTCTTGCTATTCGCATGCATGAAGTCCGAAGCTTGAGCTTGAAGAGTTAATCTGTCTCCGAGGCACCAAGTGTGGGCGTCACATTAATATTTTGGGACACAACTCGCAGCATCCCGCACCTCTTATGGGCTGGTGTGAAGTCATCACATGCGAGTCGAGATTTATTATCCTTACAAACTACACCGACTATAATTATTAAGGAGGCTTGCAGAAGTTAAGAAAAAGTACGATGAACTAGGGTATTTAGCTGCGGAATATAAGTATTGTCGTCGGCCTCAATCGTCCAGTGTCAAGTCTGCCATGTCCCCATGCATGGCACTCACAAGTGTAACCTTCGAGTCAGGCGCACTACGAAGGTATGTTCCGCCGCCGTATCGGCGGTATCTCGACCTCGTTTCACTGGATTTGCAGTCCCGTGTGGTCTTTTGCTTACCCCTCACTTCGAAGTTTGTTCAAGTTGCTCAGCTGGATGGAGACGATGGGGCAGGTAGGTGTCTTCTGGACATATATTGACAGCCCGGGCATGCCAGTGTCTGCCAAGTCTTACAACGTTACTCTGTGCATCTTCCGTGCTATGCCGTGCTCCCTCTCTCTTCCCGTCCGCTCGCGATATTCAGCGGATTTTCTTCGAAGTATGTGTGTTGGAATTTAGCTTTCCGTCGCTCCGGTGCCGCCGCCAACAGTGTCTCTACACAGGCGCGGGGGCATACTGATATCTGCACTATGTTCTTTATTTTCCGTAGGGTGTTTGAGCACTGCTGCTAGCAGTACCCAACTTTTACTTAAAAGGGTACTTAACTGGATTTATGATCCTTATTTAAGAATATAAAGTCAAAAAGGGGTGTCTGAAATTAGACTTATTGACACTTATTTGAACACTTGCCTTAAATAAGGATTGTCAGACCAAAAAGTCTAAATAGCTCTCTAAGAAAAAGTTGGGTTTTGCTAATGTGCTGATGGATGGGAAAAGTTGTTGAATGAGGTCTGCGGACATTGACACCCAGTTTGCACAAGGAGATGGCAAAGGTTAAGCACTAAATACTAACTATCCCCAGTATTTAATACTCTTGAGCAGTTTGCATCAGGAAAACCCAACTTTCTCTTATGGACTTATTTAGACTTTTGGGTCTGAGAACCCTTATTTAAGACCATAAGTGTTCAAATAAGTCGAATTTCAGACACTCAGGGAATATGCCTTAGGCCCTTTTTGTCCTTATGTCCTTAAATATGGACCATAAGTCCATTTAAGTTATTTAAGTGTCATTTTAAGGAAAAGTGGGGTTTTCCTGATGTGGGGTCCTACTTTCTGCTGAACTTTCCGATAACAGTACCACACACACACTCTGGGTAGTTGTTGAATTTAGATATGAGTTTTACAAAGTAATTACATAGACCTCCAACATTAACCCCCAGGAGAATGTGTCATAAGAGGGCGTAGGAATATTCTGGCATGACATGAGCAGAGCTGACTAACTGACACTAATTGTAACTCAAAATGGGTGAATTTGGCGCTGAGCAATCAGTGGCAAGAAATGCTTAAGCAGCACTGATTCATGTTGTGCATGTCAATGAAGGGGCTAAAATTTTTTTCTAGCATACAGAAGGTCAATAGCTATCGTAAGGAGCACTGATGTGGGATAATTTGATTATCTCTCTCTGGTCATTTTAAGGCTCCTCAAAAAAAGTGATTATCTGTTCCTCAAGCTCATGAGAAAGTGGTGAGCTCAGAGGAATCAATTTGGGTATTGGGGTATTTCAAACATGATTCGGGGTGTCACCTGAACTTTAGGGTAGTTAGATCAGAAACTTTTAGTATTGCCATCTCCTTGGGTTTGCATGAACACCATGCAGAGATACACCATTCAGTGCAGACATGGTCGAGCATCGCTATGCGAGCTGCTGAAAAGTTACTCCACAAGTCATGGGATATACATTGCTAGGCCTGCAAGAACAACAACTTTGAACTCACAGCTGTAAGCACCCTCAGGCTGATATTGAATGTACATAAATGTTAAGATAAATATTGGAGTGCATGTTCGTACAATATGATGACAAAGTAAGACATAACGCAAGAGTGAGAAAATGCCATCAGAGTTCAAATGTTCGAGTTTAGGGATATATTAAAGCACACCATAGTCCTGAACGGCAAGCTAGCACAAAAACATGAGAGTAACCTGCGAGGAGAGATCAGAGGGTTGACTATTCCTCGAGACATCAGCAAAAGATAACACTTTCTTATGTAATAATAACTTAGCTGACTTTTGAGTCTTAAATAAGACAATAAGGACATAAGACCTTTAAGCTATATTCTTTCAAGGTCTCAAAGTGATTTTTATTAAAAGCTATTCACTATGATTAAGAATTATAAGATGATAAGTTTAAATAAGTTCAAAAAGAAAAAGTTATATTTTGCTGATGAATGTAGACCTTACATTTATGAGTTTATCTTGTCAGTTGCTATGGGCCCTTGTATATGCCAGACAGTAGTCTTGTGCTACCACTAATTTATTACTATGGTTCATCCCAAATCATGGTCGTGTGTTCATGTCCATCAGATTCAACTGCATAGATAGATTTGGAGCCAAATACATATCTAGCTCAATATAAAATAAGTGGCTTTCAGATCAGAATCACTGTAATGGAACTCACTTCCTAATTTGCGAGATCATCTTTTTGAGCTTTGGAAGGTCAATTACTTCAGGCAAACTGTCCTGTGTCACTGTCAAAAATTGTGAAGATTGGTCTCATATGTTGCCAATAATCTGTTTCATTAGCATTAGCAAGGCTGCAACTGTGTTGCAGATGTTCACACACCTTCTCTTCATAAAGGACCAAAGGAATGCCCTCTGGATGATTTACATTATACAAGACTAACATATGGTCTACAGCAGAATTTGAGATATTAATGTCATTAGAAAAAACCTTTCTGGTCAATAAGATCATATTCTGTAGAATAATGACTTTATTCGCCATTATCCGCATAATAGTTATTTTTTCTGTGAAACTGTCCTTATTAGTAGTAATTACAACCATTTGAACTTCATAATGAGACCTTCATCATAGCTGTACAATCTTCATGAGTTATTTGCACTCCTCTGGTCTGAATTCTATCATACTATGCTTTGCTTCCTTTAGGCATCTTGCTCATTAAGTTACGCATTTTCAGTGCCATCCAGAATTATATGAGCAATTTGGAACAATTGTAATTTCTTCAAATAAAAACAATTAGCACAGTCAGATTACATCAAGCATCCATTCTTTGTAAGTCTCACAATGCTAGCATCACATTGTATACACAGCTTTGCACTCAAAGATGCACCATTTGCACTGCAACATTGATTCTCACCCTAAAAATAACCTTCTCAAGGCCTTCAAAATTAAGTGAACAATAGCAGGTCAAAGTGGAAGCAGTCTAGACAACAAGAAAGATAAGACAGGACTACAATTATCCACTGAGAAAAACACATACTTTAGATGCTTTCATTTTCATCTCACAGCCAGCAGAAAAGGTAACTTTGAGTGCATGTATTATGTGCATAATTATTCAGCGAGAATTCAAGGGCAGCAAGGACGATAAGATAATTGAGAGATGCTAGCTATTCTGTTAGTAACAGAATAGCTAGCATCTCTCAATTATCATTAGTAACAAGAATTATGAAGAGACACATGGTGAGGCAGTAAAAGTGAGTTGCGACATGTTGATGAGACTGCCTCATAGCACAGCAGAATTCGAGCATGAATGTTGCTTCCAAAAGTTCCAGTTGACTGTGAATTAATATGATGGTGCAACAAGTACATTCATACATGACATTGTTGAGGAGAATAAGCAATCCAAATTAGAGTCAAATAGCATCTGTTTACTTTGCACCAAGTTGTCATATCAAATTTCTCTTAAAGTCTCTCCTCCAACTCTCAGTTGAATAATGCTCTTTTATTAGCTGTTCAGAGCTTTAGGCAGCACAGTTTCTTTCCATTTTTGTCAACCTTGATATACAAGACTATTTATTTACCATCTGCTGGTGATGTCTCAGTCTGCTCCTTCAACTTTGGTCCTCATTCTTTCCTGTCTTGCTCACTTTTGCATATCTATAATGTCTTTCACTCATTCCTCAGCAAAATTGTCTTAGTGCCTCTGTTCTGCCTGCTTCACCTACCTTTCCTTTATACATTATTGTAGGCCAATATTTGGCAAGTGTATTATTGCATGGAGATAAGACAGGCCCTTGCCATTCTCAATTACACAAGAGAAGGTCAATACCAGCAGCACAGCACAAAATCTTCTGATTTGTTGCTCTCTCTCACTCTGTCACATGTCAGACAACTGATGTTTATTCCACAAGTATTTCCTCACTTAGTTGTTAGTTTTGGTAGAGATGGTGAGGATATGTAGGATGAGGATGTAGGTTTAGCCTTTTAGAGACTAGGGTCTAGCTATAGCTTATGTACATGTACCAATGCATTTTAACTAATATATCACATCTCTTCTACTGCCTTGGTCTAAATAAAATGGAATCATCATATGTGCTCAATTGCTTGAATTTGACAGAACTTGTGTGTAATGATATTGAATAAGTGCAAATAAGTGTAGATAATTTTTTGCCAGGTGAGGGGAACTAACTGATTTAGTGTTATTTTGCAGTATTGCACTAACAAACTTAATAAACTTGATCCCGAGAATTTGGTCAAATTCTGATTTTTATTACCATATTTGTGTGAGAGACTTTTCCTGATGGTAAATGTGAATATTAGAATGGCACAGTAACAAACCTTCACGATTCCTTCGTACCTCAGGAATCGTTCTTTATGGGATAGGGCTTCTGCCAAATTCTGAGGGGCAGATCCAAGTGCCTTTATGTGTGAAAACGACTTTTCAATACAAATTTGTATGCATGAGATGCACCTAGTCCTGGGTTAGGTCTAGGGTTTAACTACAAACTTTGTAGTGCCT